AAGCTACTCAAATACTAGCGCCGAACACGCCCATAAAGTTCTTACTAAAAATTGAAAAATAGCTTAGACAAATTACTAATATATTGTTATAAACAATAGGATTTGTTTTGTTGAACATATTTTTTTATCAAACTTTCCTCAACTTATCTACTTAATGAAACTACATACCTTTTTTTTTTTTTTTTTTTTTTTTTTTTTTTTTTTTTTTTTTGGGATGGGAACTACATTGAATACCAAATTATTAATTTTAATATTTTCTTTTTAAAAAATATTAATTTATATAAATCAAACGATCATCTTTCTTTTCTTTTCTTTTCTTTTTTTTAATATAAATTTTTACTTCCCACATGTAATTCCTTCTTATGATCAAAACATTTTATAGCAATGACGAACCTAATATTGAAATTCATCAACTAGCGGCGAAGGACACACAAATTAATAAGTAATGAGCAAACTTATCATTCAAAAACTTATTTTACTTTTATTAATTTCAACAAATATAAAGTATTAAAATAAATGTGTTATCAAGACTCAGAGCATCAAGAATGGTGCTTTCGTTATAAATAAAACACACAATATTATATAATCCTTGACAATTGAATTCGCCTTAAACAAAATTAAATCAATAAAAGTGGTCCAACCCAAACTTATTTGCTCACATCTTGATTTGTGACCAAAGTAGGTTTAATTAGGAAGACAAAGGAAGTTGGCAGAAACTTTGCTTAATAACTTTCCAATGTGTTATTCCTACAACTCTTAAAATTTTTGAAAGAGTGTATTTATTATTATTATTATTATTATTATTATTATTATTATTATTATTATTATTAGAGAGCTACAAGAATGGGGTTAGAATCAATCCCAGATTTTCCTAGAAAAAGGAAAGTTCTAACAACTTGAGCTATCCCCTCACTCTCAAAGAAATAAAGAATTAAAAGCACATGTATCATTATATGTTTTTTTTTTTAGGATAGTCTTCTCTAAAAAATATACCAAAAAAAAGAAAAAAAAACATGTATTATCTATGTACGGACCGATATCTTGATGAACTTGCATAAAAATATAAAATGGCCCAAAGAAGCAACATAGTCTGTTACTTTATTACCCTCTCTACAAATATGACACTTGTGTCATTGTATGTCGTACCTTGTATATAGTTAGAAACTTAAGGTATGTTCTGATTTATTATAATGAGCTAAAATGAACTGAATAGAGCTGAAAAAAATATTTATAAGAGAAGGAAATTAGGAACTGAAATGACCTAAACTGAAATTAAACAGAAAAAAACATACCCTTAGAAGTTAGAACTATAGATATATATACCCAAAAATTATCAGAAATTCATATTTCCATGAATTACACATACTATAAATAAATATAGGGAGTTGTTCAAAAATATATATATATATATATATATATATATATATATATATATATATATAGGGAGATGGAATACGAGTGGATTGCACATCTAGCCAACTTTGACCTGCAAATTGATAAAGTTGGTTTTTTTAATTTTTAAATAATGTTATTTGGTTGGTTGAGCGAATGATGTATAGTTTTGAGAGGCTTCTGCCTCCTAAAAACTCCAATCTGGATGCCAAAGCTACACGCCTCCCAATACCGGCCTTTTATTTATTTTCTCGTATTTTATTTCATTTGTCATTCAACTTTCAATTTGGCTTTGGTAAATTATTCTTATTAGGCAATTTTTATTTATTTATTTATTTATTTATTTTTATATATAATTTTTTTAAAGGTAGTGCTATATGTAGTCCCAAAGACTATATATAAGCATTAAATACACTCTTGAAAATTGTATAAAATTAGGAATTTATGTCAAAAACACGCGTAAATCAGTGTAATTAGTGTTTATATTTTGATGATTTCTTAACTTTTTACGATTTTCAAGTGTAAATTTAATGCTTATATGTAGCCCCAAGGGTAAGTTTATTGCAAGTCTTGAGCAAAGTCTCAACATGAGTCTTACTCAAGATTCTTGCAATAAACTCATCTAAGACTCATGTGAGTCTTACATGGAGTTTGGAAAATCCAAACCCATGTTAAGACTTTGCAAGGCCAATGAAAATTAGCCACCTCACCAACCAAAAGTTTACAATAATTTTTTTTAAAATAAAATAAGATATTTTACAAAAAACTAAAAATATTTTGAAAATGATTAAATGAGTTTGGAGTGAATCTTGGAATAATGTGTAAATTTAGAGAAAGTCTTGTATGAATCTGAATAATATAAAAGTATTTTAAAGTTAGTGGAAAACTGATGTGGCAGAGTTGAAGCTGAGTCTGGGGATAAACTCACCCTAAGGGCTATGTATAGCATTTTCTTTTTTTTTAATAAGTAGATCTTTCCCAATGTATTTCAAGCTTTCCTTTATTTTTTACTCTCTCCGTCCTTTTATTATATACCTATTTCCCATTTTATACGAGAATTAAAAAAGTTAAATATTCCTTAAAATTAATTATTTTTGGTGTTTAGAGAGACACAAGGGTGTGGTGAGAATCATTTCCAAGATCTCTTGAAACCGGGAGAAAAACTCTAACCACTTGAGATATTCTCCACTCTCTTAAAATTAATAATCGAGAGTACAAATATGCATATGGGGTTAGAGAGACACAGAGAAAAAAAGTGATTAAGATTTAGGAGAGAGAAAGTATTGAAAACTAATGTTAAAATACAAAAAAGAAAAAGGATGATAAATCATCAAAAAGAGAATAAAGTACAATCTATAAATAGAAATAGGAACTTAATTTTGATGATCCAAAAAAGAAATACATGCATATAATAAAAGGACGGAGGCAGTACGTAACTTCTTATTCAATGCTGTATTTTTTAGTCGAACTTCTAAATTAGTATTGTATACATGTATTCGTTAAAAAAATATTGTATACATGTATTCATTAAAAAAATATTGTATACATGTATTCATCGTTTAGTAATTATTGTATACGTCAATAGTCGTAAAGGACTTGTACTGTTCAACTTAATTTTAGTTTAGTTTAGCTCCAATCAGTTCAGTTCAGTTTAGTTCCTAATTCCCTTCTCTCATAAACAATTTATTTCAGTTCAGTTCAATTCAATTCACCTCCAATCACTTCACTTCAATTATGTTATTTTCAATAAATCAAAACAGACCCAAAATTTGCATCTCATAGCGTTGAAGTTGTGCGATCAAATCCCACTAGATTCACTTTGGGGTGAGGATTCTCTTATTGCCCCCCAGACCCCCCCCCCCCCAACTTTTAAAGTACCGAGCCCGCTAATTCAGGCTGGGAGGATTTGTGAGAGGTTTCAGCCAAGTAAGGCCCTTCTCCTTACCAACAATATACAAAGTATATATATATTTAGATAAGATGGACTTTGTTTGCCTTACAATAAGCATTTATTTTGTCAAGAGTAAATTCCAAATATTGCATTTAAGTTAACTTGATGATCTGAGAAATTAAGTAAAGATAAGTTAGGTTCAAAGTAAAACTTACGAAGTATAGTGTAATACTATATAAGGTGAAATGAATGTACTGGACTTATTGGGCTTATGGCTTGGTGAACATCAAACTAACATCTATCTTAATTAGTCTTATAAGATGAAACAAGTTAAAGTTGGCTTGATTATCTATCATTTGAATACTGAATTATAGTAGAAGGGATGATTGAAGGGGAAAAAAAAAAGTCTCATAAGAATAGCGGCTTGAGTGAAATTTTTTAAAATGCTTTCGATCCCCCCCCTATAAACCTGTCATGATTTTTGACCCATTAAAAAAATAGCAAAATTGACTATGTATGTAAATTCGCGCTCAAAACACAAGACAACACAAAATAAAAATTAAGAGCTTATCTTTATCTTCGTATAATATTCTTTTGTCAAAATTTCATGAAATTAGATGAGTCATAATTCAATATAACATTCATTTGTCACTATTCCATGAAATTATGATTCTAGATTTTATTATCTTTCAAGAAAATAGCTTACATCATACTATCAAGTGTAGGATTTAAGTATTTTACAATATTAGTTAAACTTGTTTACCAAAGTTGATGAGCATATATGTATAATTTAAAATTGATTGCTCAAAGTCAAAGGTTGATGAAACTTGATCTGACTTGCACTCTTGTAGCGATCTTGGCCAAATTGGACCATATATATAGAAGAACTGCCTTTGTTGATGAGAAGATGGAGGACACAAATGGAAACCTTTTTTTTAGTTTTTGGTCTTATTAAAGTAGAAACTTTATTAATTCGGTCCATAAATTTGATTAGGATTAAGTCTAATCATTTATAGTCTCATTTGTCCTCATTCTCAAATAATGTCCAATCATAAAGGAAGAAAAGCAACACACTCACCACCTCTACATTACTTATTCATTCATACATTCAATAGTAATTAGATATTGTTTCGGCAAAAAATGGCTAACCGGGCCCCATTGGGTTGCTGATGTGCCTCGGATGTGGGCTTCCGTCGGACCTGCAAAATGAACTACAAGAAAATCCGTCCTTTTTAGACGCTTTCAAGCTATTTTTCGACGCTAAAAGGCGTCGAAAATATATTTATCGACGCTAAAAGGCGTCGAAAATATATTTATCGACGCTTTAAAAAAGCGACGAAAATATGTGGGTCGAGAAAATTAGACGTCACAAAAAAGCGTCGCAAATCTGACGCTATAAGACGTCCAAATTTTTAAACGAAGCGTCGAAATTTGCAGTTTTGGCGCACTTTCTCAAGTTTGTCGACGCTTTTTTGTGTCTAAAACCTTAAATTTGGCGACGCTTTATTGTGTCTAGAGTCTCACATATTAGGTATTTAATATTTTGGCGATGCTTATTGCTGTCTATATTCTCATTGTTTGGGACTTTTTTTTTGGTCCAGATTCTTTACAAAATCATTTAGAATATAAGTACCTAAAAAATTATTTCACACTAAAAATTTACTACTCCGTAGTATACTAGTATTACCAATATATAAATATTCAGTAAAGCACCAAAGCCAATTTTTTTATTGCATATAAATATGTTATAGTACATGTACAATATTTCATTGTAATGAGTTTTCTATTAGGTAGTACAAGAAATATAATTCCAACCTATACGTAATTCATGACTAGTACATAGTGGAACAAATCTGCTCATTTCTTAAAAAAAAAAAAAAAAAAAAAAAAAAAAAAAAAAAAAAAAAAACTTCAATCGATCTCCAATTAGCTGCTCCTTAATCTGCTTGCAAGGGGCGTAAATCAAAGTTCATATTGTTTCGAATCATTGTTTGCCTTGAATTCATAGCACACCCTTTGATGTTTGTGGATCCTTTGGTAGGAACTAAATGATTTAGTGTGGCCTGGGAAGACGACAGACAACAACATCATCATGGACCAACAGAACAACAATAATTATAGTTAGTTGATCACATTCCCTAACCAAACAACAATAATTATACATTATATACTACAATGACAAAATCAGAGCTTTAAAGATAGTAAGTTAATAACTTTGGTGTGTGTTCAATAGAGAACTAGTTTACTTGTGAAACTGTAGAAGCTATAGAGAGCTTATATATATATGAGTGTATATTATTATGTTTAGATACATAAGTTGATAATCAGAAAATAGAAATCAACCTGCAATTTTTTCTAATAATACATTAGTGGGATTGATAAACTTGTGAAGAACCCAAGTAAGCATACACCTCTAGCTGAAAAAATTACAAAAATGTAACGAATCCTTCCCCTGTTAAAAGCCATTCACTTCATATTCAGTAAAGCACCAAAATCAAGCATTTGTTTACAATGCAAGAACACAACCGTACTTCTTTAAACTAATATATAATTAATTAGAGGAAAATCAGATTAAAACAAATAAGAGAAGCCAATGAATTCATTTTAGCAAGCCCACCCAACTTCAGGAAAAAAACCCACACACACAGGCATCAAGTAAATATAACAGCCCCGCAGCGATAGAATCAAGCCAGAAGACCACAAAAATTTCCAGAAGGCATAACTCCTAGCACACAATTCCAAATTGAGAGATTCTTGAGCCTAAATTGGATGACTTTTTTAGATCTATAACTTTCATGAAGGGATTAGGGGATAATTTTTGGGATGAAAATTACTGCAACTACAGGACAGTGGTAAAATAACATCATCAGCAATACATAGCTGCAACATATAAAAAAACTCCAAACCATGGTAATATACCAGCAACAAAATATAACACACCTACACAGCCAGAAATAAACAGAATGTGTAGAGTTGGAATAGTCTCACTGCAATTGCAAAGGTAAGGCTAAGTGTCACTTTTAAATTGAGACATTTTAACTGACTAACCTCATCTTGGGAGCTAAACTAGAAGTATTCACATAACCAGTATGGTAATAAAAACTAAATTCATTTGAATTCATAAATTTTTAATTATAAGAACTAGTAAGTCTCTATCACAAACAAGGTTTCAAAAAGGTCCAAATGTAATCAAACTTTTACAACAATACAACCATTTTAGAGTCTATTTTAAATATTTCAACTCTAGGCATAAGAAGTAGAATAAATCAAGAGAAACATGGACAAAAAAATACCGCCATACCACTCAACAACAAGGATAATTAATAACTTGATAAAAAAAATCAAATATTTGAAAAACAACAGTAAGCAAAACAAAAGCTCATAGCAAGTATAGTACACAACTTAATTGTGCAATTTTGAACTTATAATTATCTCATTACTTTCCTAGCTATAATGGATTAATAATTCTCATGTTTTGAGTAAATTTACCGTAGTTCGTGTCTCTATTTCATACTGAAGACCAGTATACTCTATTTCATACTGAGGACCAAAATAGTTCGTCAAGATCAGCTGTGCTTAATTAGCATCCAACTGCAATGCCCTGCCAACAACTTCATAACATTATCATCAAAATCATTCAAAACCAGTGAAAACAATAAAGCAATCAATATCTCACCATTAATTAGTTCGATACAAGCTCTTCTTTCCAGGAGTTTCTTTAGCTCCACGTTATAATCTCTAACCCTATAAACCATTCGACTCTGCTCCAATAAGAGTAATTTGATGTTTTTTTTTTTTTTTTTTCTCTAATAAACAAGAAATTTCAATGTCAAGCTTTTAATACCGTAATAAAAAAGATCTTTACTTTTGAAATCCAATAAGAGTTTTAATTGAAGAAATAGTGGTTCAACAAGATCTATAACCTAGGGTTTTGAAACGAGTAAAATTGGGTAATTGTAATTTGCAAGTATCAATTAAACTCACACAGAAATTGAAAGAAGTACTATTAGAATTTAAAAATCAACAAAGAGTGATATAAAAATGTAACCTTTGAGGAGAACACGAACAATAGCTATCGCATATCAATTTTCAACGCAAACCATCAGATCTGAGAGGAAGACAATTATTTTCGGCAAAATATATCAATTATTGTGATAGAATAATGAGAAACACAAGGGGAAATGAGATTTGAATTCGAAATCTAAGCCATGACACCATGAATTTGTGTAGAATTCAGATCGAATGAAGGGAAAAAAAATTAGTTAGGGTTTAAGAGTATATGAGGCAGTTGGGGGTTTCCGGGTTTGTGACATTGGGTGGTATTTTAATCCGTGGGTTTACCTGATTTAGTTCACGTGCGGGGCAGATGTTCGTGTTCTCGACGCTAAAAATAGTCTAAAATTACTTTAGACACTAAAAAGCGTCGAGGAAACACGGATATCATAATTTAAAGTTGACGCCCTAGCCGTAGCGTCGAAGCAATAGCGTCGAAACTAGGTCCTTTTGTAGTAGTATATATTCATTCATACATTAAATAGTAATTAGATATTGTTTCGGCAAAAAATGGCTAACCGGGCCCCATTGGGCTGCTGATGTGCCTCGGATGTGGGCCTCCGTCGGACCTACAAAATGAACTCCGAGCCCCGGGGGTGGACCCCGGGGCGGAGCCTCCGACGCTCAAGTTAGTGCCAAACAATGGATATTTTTGAGAGAGGTTTTTTGAGGAGAGATAGGTGTTTTATGGTCATCTTAATGTAAGAGTGACCAACCTCTTTACCTTTGCCCTAAGTAGTGTATATATAGAGGTTATGAATGGGCTTTTGGACCCAAGCAATGTAAGACTTATTTAGACCTTTTAGGCCCTTTGGTCTTATGAGGCTATAATGGGGCCTACCCATTATAGTACCCAAACAATTAGCCCCCTAGACCCAATTCTATTTGAAAAATGAGTTGGGTTTTATTTCATTCCCAAATAAGTCATTCAATAGAAATTGGGCCGGAGATTTTTGTCTGTTTGGATTTATGGATTGCAGCCGGTGCTACTTTCTTAGATCCAAAGATCGTAAGAGATGATCACTCCTTATCCAAGGATCATTAGAGTGTTGCTAGAGATATTTTTCGGATTTTGAGGTTGTCAATTTTTTACCTTCATCCGATATTTTTCGGATTTAGAAGTTTGTCAATTTTTGGCCTTCATCCTATCCCTCACTCTTGATCCGAGGATACTAGGAGTTTAACAAGTGCGATCACTCTTTATCCGAGGATAATAAGAGTTTAACAAAGGCAACTTTCTTAGAACCGAAGATCATAAGAGTCGATCACTCTTTATTCGAGGATCATTAGAGTGTTGCTAGAGATATTTTTCGGATTTTTGAAGTGCGTCAATTTTTGACCTTCATCCTATCCCTCACTCTTGATCTGGGGACCGTTAAAAACGTCGAGTGTTGCTAAGGATATTTTTCGGATTTTTTCGAGGTGGTCAATTTTGACACTACCTCATCCTATCCCTCACTCTTGATCCGCGAACCGTTAAAAACGTCGAGTGTAGCTAGAGATATTTTTCGGATTTTAGAAGTATGTCAATCTTTGAAATTCATCCTATCTCTCACTCTTGATCCAAGGATATTAGGAGTTTAACAAAGGCAACTTTTTCAGATCCGAAGATCATGAGAGGCGATCACTCTTGATCCGAGGATCATAAAAGCTTAACAAAGGCAACATTCTTAGATCCGAAGATCATAAGAGGCGATCACTCTTGATCTGAGGATCATAAGAGCTTAACAAAGGCGACATTCTTAGATCCGAAGATCATAAGAGGCGATCACTCTTGATCTGAGGATCATAATAGCTTAACAAAGGTGACATTCTTAGATCCGAAGATCATAAGAGTTTTACGAGCCTTCGGATACGTGGGTCCGAAGGGTACTCTCGAGCCTTCAGATACGTGGGTCTGAAGGGCTTTTTTATCAAAGGCAACACTCTTTGATCCGAAGATCATAAGAGTTTAAAAATTTCCAACTCTTTTAGGGGTTAACCCCTTGCCCCCCAGAAACTGGTTTATTCAAAGTACTTCGGTTAAACCATGTTTCTAGTTGAGCTAGAGAGGTATTTCTTGTGATCGTTAGAATGATATTTTTATCACTATCATCGTGAGGATGAGTAATGGGCATTTTTATCATCATCATCGTGAGGGTGACTGATGATTATTATTTTTATCATCAATTTCGTAAGGATAATTAATGATGTTTTTTTTTTTTGTAGAAAAATATTGATCCAAAATATTGGACCCATTTTCTTTTGCTGAAGAAATTTAGATAAGTGGGTCTAGATGAAAGTGAGCCCAACCCACCTACCATAATTTGATGGGCAGGGAAGATATTTGGGGCTTTATTTTCCCACTTTATACAAAAATGTACACAAAGTATGAGCTTTTACTTTCACTCCAGTATAAGCAATAACAAAATTATACGAAGTATATATGAATTATGGTAAATGAAATTACCAAAGATATTTGCTTCAAATTGTTTGCTTCATCCGGATTATTACGAAACTTTTGAAAAGGTTTCAATTTTGAGGCTAGGAGCAGTACCCTCGGCCTCGGGGATTCAGCTTGGTGGCTCTTCAGCGACCCCTTCGGCTCATATCACCTTTGGCTCGGCATGAACCGGTTTCGGCTCGGCTGAACCTAGATGGGCCTCGGCTAGGAGTCAAGCTTCGGCTCGAATTTACCTTCGGTCCGACACCCCACCTTCAGCTCGACCCCACCTTCAGTGTGGCCGCCTCGGTGTGATTTTAGGACTTTCGGCTTATCCGAAACTTCAGCAAGGCCCGCGACCTCGGCGGGGGATAAGGTTTGGCTTCAGCTCAGATGAACCTCCGACTGGCTGAGGGAATTTCTTCAGCTTCGGATCGGACCTACTTCGGCAGCCGGGTGAACCTTCGGCTGGGAGTCAAGCTTCGACGAGGGTGAACCTCGGCTAGGCTCGGCTTCGGCCATGGCTAACCTCGGCTAGGAGATAAGCTTCGGCTCGGCAATGGTTATCAGCCTTGGCTCGGCCTCGGCATTTGGGAGAGCTGAACCACCTTTGGTTTCTGCTGAAACACCTTCGGCTCACACCGAACGCCTTCAGCTAAGGCTGAAAACATCTTCGGTCTCGGCTGAAGAACCTTCGGCTTGCCCAGAACACCTTCGGCCAGGGCTGAAGCACTTTCGGATAGCCTCGGCTCGATGAGCTTTGGATTCCTTTTGCTTATCCGAGCTATTTGCTTCGGCAACCTTTGGCAAGGACAACTTCGATAAGGAGCCAAAACCTTAGTGGTAAAAGCCTCGGCAGACATGAACATTTGCTTCGGCTGTAATGAGCTTTGGCTCAGATGAACATCGTCATTTTGCTTCGGCTTATGTCAAGAATTATTGGCTTAATAGCTCAAAACTCAATTTAATCAAGGGTGAATTTTACCCTTGATCTGTTAGTTCAATGAGCTTTGCCGTCTGACTTATCTGTTTTGCCATGGCTCTTTTCATTTGTTTCGGCTTCCGAATTTTTACTACTCACTTTTTCTTTGTAAAGAATAGAAAAGTTGGTCAAATTGTTTCGGCAAAAAATGGCTAACTGGGCCCCATTGGGCTGCTGATGTGCCTCGGATGTGGGCCTTCGTTGGACCTGCAAAATGAACTCCGAGCCCACCGCAGTGATAAAAAGGATTGATAAAAAGGAAGTGTCAAGGCCACACCGGGTGAAAAGAACCACAACTTATGACACAATGCCGTAAATAGGTACTCTTTGTCTCTCCTCAAGAAGAGAGACTTTTGATGACATGCGGCTATGAACCCCCAAACTTTAATTTGCATTTGGGGAGCCGCCTCTAGGCAACGATTTGATGACATGCTATAAACCCCCAAAACTTTGCACAACTAACTAAAGTTTGAAAAATGATTGTTAACAATTTTATTACTTAACACAACTAACTAAAGTTTGAAAAATGATTGTTAACAATTTTATTTTACTTGAGAGGTATATTAAGGTTATCAAAATACATTAGACTTAAATTGCTCATCTCCAAAAATTGTCTAAAAGTCCGTAATTTGCAAAATTAGGCAACTAAAAAAAACAGAGGAATATATTAATAATTTCCTTTACATAGTATCAATTAGCTCTGATTAGATCTAAACAAAGATACATAAGTTTTGATAAATGAAATCTCGGTAAGAAAAATACAATGGCAGGACTCGTAGTACATGCATTATCTTCCTTAGTACCTTGTATATTGTATTAGTTGTAAGTTGTAAATTATAATTAATGCCATCCTTTGGAGAAGTCTTGTATTGCTTCGTACTTTTCCAATCTCATTTTTCACAACTCGATTGTACTTAGAAAATGGCATTCAACTTTCACATAAAAAGCTTGCTTGAATGTGTTGAAACTATACTTTCCAAGTTTCCTACAATTATTATCATTTCTCAAAATGAATTCATACACATCACGTTTCCAATTTTCCTTGAAATCTAGCTAACAGAAAAGGACATCCATTCTTATAAAATACTAGTGACAAAATTCACATTTGCTTCATTCTTTTCACACTCTTTAAACTTTCAACACCTTTTAGTCAAATATTATAACACTACTTCATCAAACAAATTCTAATACAACTTTTACATTCACAATTAAAAACCAAATTATACAATGTGTTACAAGGGGTCGAAACTAAAGATACAACGAACAATTAGATTTCCATACGAAAGAAATCATACAATAATGAACTAGCATTAGACAAGGTGATAAACTTTCAAATATTACTGAGATAAAGAGACCTTTAGATTCTAATGGTTTATCCCCAAAATAGTTTTTTTTTTTTTTTTTTTTTTTTTTTTTTTTTTTTTTTGTATACTCTATTTCATCTTTAAAAATATGATGACTAGGAAGAAGATAATTAAATATATAAAACAACAAAAACCATGTGATTAGGCCTTGTATATATTGACCAAGCTTACCTTAAAACTTAATATCGCCAATACATACAATAAACTTGACTTTTGTAACAACTTTAACCTTTTTGTCTAATAAGGTTCTCACCCACCAAGGCATAAATGCCTATAAATAGTCATTAAATGAAGATTAAGATTTCAAAGTACATTTATATATTGTACTTGTACACTCACCATCAAGCGCTAACGTAGGTATCATAAGAGATTTCCTTAGAATAACAATCGATGTTTTAGAATAACAATCGATATTAACTTACAAACATCCTTGTTTGTACGTATAAGTTCGTTCTTAAAATCAAAATATTCAATTACTATGTATAAATCTATTTTAAAAATTAATCGTAAAAAATTCATACGCAAAACATAGTGAAATAATTGGATCATATGGTGACAACTAAAACAACTTTGATTATTGATAGGGGAACAACTAACTAGTACCAATTACAAAATCTATTATAAGTAGTTTAGAATTTCTAATTAAACTATAGAGTAGTCGGCACTAACTAAAAAGACAACCAAACAAGAACATAAAATCTAATTGCCAAATACACCAAAACTTTTGTGATCCACAATAAAACAAAGGGACCCATTTGTCGTATTAGTGGTCAAGATTTAATTCCACACTATCTATATTTCCCTTCTTTTCAATCATTGTTCTTATTAATCAACTTATCAAATATAAAAACACTTATCAAATTTTTATTTCCTACAAAATAAAAAAAATGGCAGAAGATGAAGTTTTAATTTCCAAACACCAAAATAAATCATATAATCGTAGCTTATCTCATGCTAACGATGAATTATGTACTGTACGTTCTTATTTACGTTACATGTGCGTAGACCAATCAACTATATACAATATTATTCTTTCATGGACCGTTTTCATCATTTTTACTATCATTGTTCCTGCATTTTCCCATTTTTACTTGGGTTGTAAAGCTTGTGATGCTAAGCATCATCGGCCTTACGACGGTATTGTGCAGCTCTCGCTATCTAGCATCGCGACGTTGTCGTTTTTATGCTTGTCTAAGTTTGTGAGGAAGTTTGGTGTTCGGAGGTTCTTGTTCTTTGATAAGCTTGTTCATGAGAGCAACTCTGTTAGGAGTCACTATACTTCACAACTTGACGTATGTTTCTAATTCCTTTTATTTATTATTATTGCTTGATTGCTTGTCGATGTTTTATTTTATTATAATTATTACTTGAAATTAAATAGAGTTTTTATTTGACATTATTATTATTACTCGTCTTTTATTGGAGTGAGTTGATTGGTCGAGTTTATTAATTTAAAATTTATAAAATTATGAACTTTTTAACACGTTAAATTATCTGTTAGTTTTGCACGGATATATATACGAGTTTTTAATTTGAGTGAAATTGGATTGGGTAAGGTGATCTTGTATTCTTGAACTTTAGTAGTACTATAATATAACAACATTACAGGTATGATTTTAGTCTACATTTGTTAGATTGTGTTAGGTGAGGCTTGATTGTTGATTTAGGTGAATATTGTTGCTAGATTTGGTCCTTGCTACCTTGTAACCTTGTTGTTATTTGTTAATTGTTATGACTTTTGAGACCAATGATAAGGAGAAACATTATGAATTACGAAATTTATTAAAATTAGGATAAAAAATGAAAAAAAAAACTTTACTAATTAAGTTGATAAGAAATATGACGTATTTTTAACTTATCCAAATGATCAATAGATGCTATATATAAAATACTAATTAACTCATATGTAAAAATGAACAAAGTAAAAAGGTTATACTCATTAACTCATATGTAAAATACTCATTAACTCATAAGCACTAAACTCTCATGAAAACATCAACGAATTCTTATCTTCAATAGTTACTTTTGAAAACAATATATATATATTTTTTATTCTTATCGGCTTGTAGATCATTTCATTAGTTAACTCTTATCAATCAATTTCATCTATGTTTTTTTTTTTTTAAGAGGTTTTCATCTATGTTTTTAAAGAAGCATTAAAGTATTTAAGTAATATTTTCCACTAAATGATTTATACTTTGAGGATGACATTCATGTTTACAACCTATATCGTTTAAATAATGATATTTTTAGAATCTCGCATTACTTTCTACTTCCAGGTTATGACACCTATGCCGATCACAATAGTATAAAAATAATGCTCCCAATATTTTTCTATACTTTGTAGTTTATAACCGTATATATATCTATCTAAGAAATGGATGATCCATGTCCGTTGAAAGGATCTCGTCCTCTAAAGAACAAGTTTCCCATGACCCTATATTTTGCTTTCAATTTACAAAGTATCTCATTCCAACACAACATGTGGCATCTATTGCGGATGAGATTGACAAACCTTTAATTTTTATAAATAATGAGTTTTGACAAAATTATGATTTCTTTATTAAATGATGAAAATGACAACATGCTAATGTGTTACATTAGAGTAATAGACCTACCTATATAAAACAAAACAAAAAAAATAGCATAACTTATCACAACTTTATTCAATCTTCCCATCATATAAATCGTTTTCCAAACCCAAAAAACAGTAGATAAAAATTGCAAGAAACCCAAAAAAAGAAAAAAAAAAAACCCAGAAAAAATGGAGGAAGAAGATTTAATACCCAGAAATGAGAAAAAGACTTATAATCGAGTATTATCACATGCACAAGATGAATTGCAAAGTTATCGAATTTATCTACGTTGGATGTGCGTGGACCAATCAGATTGGTTGAATAGTATCATATCATGGTCTGTATTTTTGATATTTGCAATCATAGTCCCTGCATTTTCGTATTTTTACCTCACATGTCCTTCGTGTGATGACAAGCATAGACAACCATACGACGCCGTTGTGCAGCTCTCATTGTCAAGCATTGCAACGCTGTCGTTTTTGTGTCTTTCTCATTTTGTGAGGAAGTTTGGTGTCAGGAGGTTCTTGTTCTTTGATAAGCTTTACAATGACAGTGATTCTGTTAGGCATCATTATACTACCCAGCTCAATGTATGTTTCTAATTTTGGAGGGTTTTTTTTTTTTTATTAATTTTTGTATGTGTTTTAGTATTTTTGATGATTTTTGAGGTGGGGTTTGATCATTGAATTACATGATTTGATGGGTGATTTTGGTTTTTTTGGGTTAGTTTTGGTGTTTTAATGGGATAATGATGTAGACGAGATTTGATCAAGCTTTTGTGGTATTTTTTTGGGGTTTATTGATTTTGATTGAATTGGGTGATCTTGTGGTTGAGTTCAAAGTTTTATGGTGTTTTAATCTTTTAAATTTGATGGGCTTTGAGTGGTAACTAATTGTTAATCTGGGTCAAATTTATTGCTTCATTTGATTCCTTGCTCTAGTTTTAATGGTTAATCTAGGTGAAATTTATTGCTTCATTTTTCTGTTTTGTGGCCTTGTGGATATTGTTATTATTCTGAGTTTATGAGAAAGTCAGAAAATGGACCAATTGGCAATTGTTTAAGGAGTATATTGTTGCTGTAGTTTGGATTTTGCACATTACACATTAATTAGAGTACATAGAAAGATATGCTTAAGTGAGTTACACTCCTTGGATGAGATGTATTCTTCATAATAAATCAAAGATCTTGTATGTGAATGAGGAGTTTGGTATTAAGGAAGGACCAAGATTTTTGTTGTTGTCGTAGTGGCCGTAGTCGTGGTTGTCTTAGGTGACACTCCTGTAGTTTAAACCAAAGAAGATCCAAGTTTGATACTTGGAGGGTTTGGAAACCTCTTGTCATATATGCTTTGGAGGAAAAAGTTTAGCTGGAACGGGGTCAACTGTTAGTTTAACAATATGCTTGACATAAGAAAACAAATAAGGAGTACATCTTAACAAAACAGCAATCTACATACCTTTGATGGCCTAATATTTTGAGTAGCTATTTTTATGCCTTGGATTGGGTATGACATTATTGAGTACTATAGTGGCATGTTTAGCTGACCACTAGATCATCGTGTTGCTTTTTGGCCTGGCTGTGTACCAAAGGAGATAGACCTAACGAGCGATGCATCATTGATGTTTGGAGACAATAGTTGTGTATATGCTCAATTAACCTATTACTGCTTATCCTAGTATAACCATAAAGACTTCTTTACATGTCCTACCATACCATAGATACGACTAGGAAGTTGGCATTTTGCACAATGGCGGCGGATTATTGCAGAAACCAGGAGTCATATCTTTTGCACCTTTCCAGGGCTCCAGCTACATGAATCCATGTGGCTGGAATGCCTAAATCATTTGGCCATTAAAACCCTGATCAATCAATTACGACTTTGTACTTCATGAACTAGGCCTGGTTGAGGATCCCAACAAATATTTCCAACTAGTCAAGTGAAATTTGTTATGGTCTTCACTATTTACAAACTTTCCACTGTAATGTCATTGTGAATTGATTAATGATAGTAGTAATGATGGATTAACTTCTTTTTTTTTTGGTTTATGCAGAGATCATTGAACATCCTGTGTATATTTGTTATCCCATGTTTTGTAGCTGAATGCGCATATAAAGTCTGGTGGTATGCTACTGGGGCCTCCCGAATTCCCTTCCTGGGTAATGTCATCTTGAGTGATGTTGTAGCCTGCTCATTGGAGCTAATCTCATGGATTTATCGGACCTTAGTCTTTTTCCTGGTCTGTGTCCTCTTCCGTCTGATATGCTACCTCCAGATATTGCGGCTCAGGGATTTTGCGTCTGTTTTTGAGGTAGATTCAGATGTAGCTTCTATTCTAATAGAGCACCTGAGGATCAGGAGGCACTTGAGGATCATAAGCCATCGTTACCGTGCATTTATTTTATTTTCCTTAATATTGATCACTCTGAGCCAGCTTACTTTCCTGGTGTTGACTACCAAACCTAATGCTGATATGAGCATATACAGGGCCGGGGAACTAGCAGTATGTCTCTTTTTTAATCATCTGAATACTAGTTAATGCTCTGAAACCACTTTATTTATTAATACTACTTCTGGTGCAGCTCTGTTCTGTGACTCTATTGGCAGGGTTGATGATAATACTGAGAAGTGCTACAAAGATCACGCATAAGGCACAGGCAATCACCGCTCTATCAGCCAAGTGGCATGTCTGTGCAACGATTGACTCCTTTGTCACTTCTGAGACTGAATTGCCAGGAGCAAACCATACTAATGCAGGTCTCTTTGATCCTAGGAGCTTAGATTCAGATGACGATGATGCAGGATCTGAGGAAGATGATGTCGATACTACCAAATTTCTCCCGGCTTATGCCTACAGCACGATCTCATTCCAGAAACGACATGCTCTTGGTAAGCTTATACTTGTGTTACTTACAAACAGAAATATTTATGATTTCTTATGTAGATAGATATTGAAGCTTATATATTGCACTCTTTTATCTGTATGGCAGTAACATATTTTGAGAGAAACCGAGCTGGAATTACATTGTATGGGTTTATGCTGGATAGAACTTGGCTCCAACTTATTTTTGGTGTTGAATTATCCTTAGTACTCTTCTTGCTCAAAAAGACCATTAATTTTTGATGAAGTAATCATAATATTTAGCAATTTGGTTCCTAAGATCATATCGAACCCCTGCTTAATCTCCGTGAAGTTCTCCCTTTTTGTCATTTGGAGTGATGAGCCAGGAGTTGCAGCCTTGCAGGGCTGGAGAGAGAGAGAGAGAGAGAGAAAGAGAGAGAGAGTTTAAGGTGATGTAAGACTTGTTTCGTAGTCTTGGTTCGGTCTTCCTACAAAGAGGCATCATTGCAGTATAGTGAGCTTCACCATTTTGTTCAGTAATTTGTAATGTTCTTCCTGTTGTGAATTCTAAGATCCTTTATATTTTTTATAATCTTGTAATTAACATCTCCACTTTCTGTGATATATCATATATGTTTTTTTTTGATGTCTTATGTGATACTGTAATCAGTGCAATTGTATAGCAGTATGGGCGTGTGTATTCCTGTAATATGGTCCGATCCTGTGCTGTATTCGTATGACTGTATGGTCCTGTGTTGTAATCTTATGGCCGCATGGTCCTGTCTCCTGTGTTGTAATCTTATTACTGAGAAAAACATAATGGAGCGTTTGTTTCTAAATTTTTGAACTTTAGCTTTAATCTTCTCTAGTTCTTGCTACATAAATTGAGTTAATGAAGGAAAGGCGATTGCCTGAAAAAAGCTTCAGCAAACAGCAGATATGCATTCAGTTGACATACAAGCTTGTACTCTTATTATGTAATGCTGGTAACATTCGACAGAAGTGTTGTTCAGTACGTAGTACGATATTTTTCACTTTGGGCTTAGCCTGCACGGAGTTGTTTTTGGACACCTAATAGAGTAGATGGACACGTACTTATAAGCAACTAAGCAAGTCATCACCACTTCTTTATTCTTATCAGATGGGGCTTTGATTGCATACCCCAGCTCATTACGAGGTTAATTGTACTCCTTCCGGCCTCATGAGTCGTGACCGAGCCTCACTCCTGTACCATGCTAGGATTGTTAATATAGTCCAATATGTGTGCATAACCTTAGTCAATTGCATACTGAGTACTTACGTAGCTAAGTTACACGGGACTGGAGACTATACTAACTACCTCTGTTTCAATTTATGCACAACATTTGAATTATTTTTTGTGGAATATAAAAAATTAATCATTGTGCATACAATAAATTGAATCAGAGGTAGTAGAAAATTTCCCATTCTCCTGAATTTTCTGCAAATTGGCAAATAGAAGTCAGAATGTTGCCAAAAACAAAAGAAGCCGTGATGTTCAGTATTAGCCCATGTGCAAAGTCCGCAATGAGCATAGATTTTGCGACACTCCAGCTTTAGTCAATTGACCATTAGTTGTCCTTGGGCCGTCAATTTAATTTTAGCCAAACTAGTGCTTAAAATATTTTTTTTGATTGACATTTTACATTGACGGATTCAATTTTTGGCTTTCTTAGCTTTACAAATTTATAGGGAGAATTTGATCTACTATGTAGACCTCACCATGCAATTTTCTATTTAGGCGTAGTAAAGAAGTCATAACTTAAAAATATATACTTGCTCTATTTCTTATTATTTGCGATAAGAGAATTTTTATGTCTCGAATGATGTAAATAAAATAATAAGAATTAGAGGTATTATCTCTTATGTCAACCAAATGACTTGTATATTACATCACACCGGTCATGTACGACCATCCTTCCAGCTCGTCTTCCATGACTCTTGCAACCCTCTTTCCTGTTCCTCCTCCTAACCCCATCACTTCACAATTTCACAATAATAAGATACAACTCTCATTCTTCCTTATAAGGTATAACCTCTAAATCTCCAAGTCATTAAATTATAACGTCAAAATATTTGTGACTTTATGTTGAAAAAAGATTAAAAAAAAAAAATACAAAACAAAAACAAAGACTAAAAAATTTTAATAATTGGGCCAACTATTTGACTATATGTACTTTAGAAATATTCTTAATCTCCGTCACTCTTTTTGGTAACCTTTAATCCTTAAATCGTTATTTTATTATGTGGCAATTTATGATGTAAAGACTACAATTATTTTTTTATTTACTTATTTTCGGTTAGGCGCTGTTCACTCCATCTTAAAAAAAAATAATAAATATAATATTCAGTAAAAATTATTTCACTTCAGTAAAATTAATTTCATTTCAGTAAAAATAAATTCAGTTTAGCAAAAATAATTTCAATTCAGTGAAAATAATTTCAGTTCAGCAAAAATAAGGCGAATTGAATAAGGCCTTAGTCTTATGCAATATATGGCTTTTTAAGAATCATTATTTCCTGTCAAAAAAAAGAATCATTATTTATCCAAAAAAAAAAAAAAATCAAATTAAAATGTCAGCAAATTGATTACATAATCACCAATATTTTGTAGTGATTTGTTGCTTTCGTTCTCTTAAGAAAAGTGACATATTATCATAAAAAAAGAAAAAAGAAAAAAGAAAAGTGACATATATTTTATTTTATAATATAAAGAATTGACAAATTTTACTCCTATAGGCTGTAGCTAAATTGTTGTAAACTTGTAATCACCAAAAGAATATACTCGGTAATTCATTATGATGAAACGAATAATTTAATTAACACAAATTCTAGATTAATAAAGTATTATTCAAGTATAAAGTGTATAGGTCAACTATCTCATGATTCTAAGAGCAAGTCTTGACTAGTTGATTATGAATTGATTCTTCATTATCTGTAAGTTTAATAACTTCTTGGGACCTATAAATTAAAAACGTCTAGTATTTGATTACTTGATGTTGATAACCTAACACAATCTTGAAGGGTGCCTACAATACATGACTCGGTTTTACTAATATTAATCTGATCCAATAACTAATGTGATTAATATTGATTGATTTATGACAATAAATTAATCAACATTAATTTGCATATTACATGAATTATTGTAAATAATGAGAATATTAGACAAAACGGTTGAAGAAAATTTGATAGCAAAAAGTACCACTACATGCATAATGGTACCACTAAACACCTCAAAATGCCCTCCGATGTGCATTTGAAACGCATAGGCCCTATCCCTATGCGCCTAGATTCAATCCCCTAAAGCGCATGAATAATTTTGTTAATGAGGTGATAAAGTCAAAAGCTTAAATTATTATTATCATTATTATTATTTTTTGAAAAAATTATTTTTATTATTATTATTTTGACAACGAAATTATCATTATTTTTAAGTATGATGTAAGTTTGTAAATAAAACTAGGACGTAATTAAATAAACACTCTATAACCTCTCCATTTATGCGACAAAACTTGATGAGGACGTGCCAATTATCAACAAATCGGCCGCAATCACATAAAAACCTACATACTATATACAAGTATATTTTTTTATTATTATTATTATTTTTATTTTTTTATTTTTTTTTTGGTGTTTGATACTACACTTTTAACAAATTAATGCAAATCTTAATGTCATGTCACAATACTACGATCACAAGTGTCAACATACTTAAGGGCCAGCCTTAGCTTAGAATGTATAATTAATAATTAGCTGTTTAAAAATCAATGTGAAGGTTGCAATCTTAGGATGTGGCACAATATTGTTGGACATATAAGCACATTTGACGGGCATTGATTGTGCCAAGACACAATATTATTCTATTGTGAAAATAACATGATCGATGCTGGACCTAATTGGCTAGTTGTGTACCAATAAAGTATAAGGGCTTGTTCTCATACGTTGAAATTCAGTTCAGCTCAGCTCGCTCAGCTCAGTTCAGTTTAGTTCAGCTGAATTCAGTCAATGAGAACATGTCCTCTTGATAAATCTCTTATAATGTTAGAGGTATGGGGTTCGAATCCTACTAAGTGAGGGCATTTGGGGGTAGGGACTCCGTTACCTTCCCCTCTACTCCCAACTTTCCAAGTGTTTGGCTCGCAAATATTAGATCAAAAACACCGTGAGGGTTGAGGTCTGATCAGAGTTCTCATTACCAAGCCATTAAAAAAAAATAGTTAATTGTGTGTCATGTATATTTCTTCTGTTCTTAAAAGTTCATTTGAATGTTGATCGCGCCAAGTTATTATATTACTCAATATTCTTTTATGAAAATAACATGGTATTGGACCGAATTGTACTTCCTTTGTTTTTAAAAGTTCTTTCTATTTTCTCGTCACGGAAAAAAAAAGGTTCTTTCTATTTTGATTTTGGTTGCTACTCCAAATCTAAAGTTTTAATAGATATGTAATTGAATGGTATAAAAAAAAATGCACTTTAAAAAAAAGATGCTAAAAGGATTTGGAAAAAAAAAAATAAATTAAATGGAAGAAGTACAATATTGTCGGCCAAATTAAGTTTTTTTTGTTGCATCACCATACTTTTGTAGTTAAATTAAATTTGTACTCCGTAGTTGGTAAACAAAGGGATTTGTAGTATTTGCAAAATATGATTAATGGACAAAGTGCCAAAATCAATTGGTTATACTGTACTACTAAACTCACATGGGAGTAAGGGACAAGTAGCTAGTGGTATATCATTTGAGTATGGGATTAAGTATTTAATTTTCTCTAATATATAGCTAATGATTTGATTTAAGGTTGGTATTAATCAGGGAGATAGTAGGTCTGTAGGTGCGAGATCTGATCTAATTTATATGTCAATTATTACTTGCATGATAGGTGTAATGGAATAGTAGGTACAAAATTATGTCATTGATATTTGAAGGATGTATGTGGTCGTTTGATTGTACATGAAACGTTAGATATCCCTTGATTTGCAATTTCTAATACACTTCAGTCTTCATATATGGAGTAGCAAAAATTAGTTGGATGATTGCAAAAGCTCATAATTTTTAAGTAAAATACTACTTATATATAAAAATTACTTTTTTTTTTTTGAAATAATATAAAAGTTACCTTGATATAAATAAAAGTCATTTATCCTTTATTGATAAAAGTTACACAAAAAGTCTAAAAATTACCTCGATATTTAGTAGCTAGTAATATTATTGTACATCAAATATTCAAATGTATACAAAAGTTTTTGTAAAGTTTAAGTAATATTGAGGGCCGAGAATAACTTATGCAATATCTAAGGTCCTAGTTAAGATTTTCAAATTTCTTTTTAGGGATGTTTTAGGTTGGTAATTGAAAGAATTTTTCTTGATAATACATGAATTATTTACGTAGATAGTGTAATGAATTTTATTCTATAAATTATTTCCTGTCAAATTTAGGAGTAACGAAGCCACAAATATTGTAACCACAAATATCTATGAAGTAATTTATAATAGCAACAAAACTTACACTCATAAACCAAGGTTGTCTAAATCATAGGAATAGCTTTCAATTTGCCACCTTAACATTGGCAAACAATACTTGTTTGAATGTTTTCTGTCGCTAATGTAAATGTGGATGAAACTCAAAGCCAATCATGTTAATAACTTTCTAAATTTTGTTGGTAGAAATTATAGATTTACTAGATATTGATGTAAATTTCCTTAAAATAATTAGGTAAAGATGTAACTCCAAGTTGTTAATTCTATTATTGTAAAGAAATATTTTCGATTTTACGTCAATTACATGTAATGAAGTAATAAGTGTTCTAATCACAATCTAAATTTATCACTTTGATTTTTATATTTTGAGTTTGTTACAAAAGAACAATCAAAACTAACTACTTCGTATGAAACTATTCCAATTCCATTGCTAGCTCGTAATTCGGAATATCACTTACAAAACGTTTCTTATACCATGGACCAAAAATTGGTATCGAGTTCCATATCATGGTCCTATACATATTCCTTATGCTACAGTGTTACACTAACATGATACTCCATATCTATATACGTCTTTACATTCTTGTAACATATCAATCTAATATACTCGATAATTGATATTAGATACTGTATTTTAAAAACTTATTATATATTATATTACATATAACCAATCAGTGTTATTAAACTTTAAACTAAATACAGATTAACTTTTCTTACATATTCACGAGTCATCTTAATCCCGAAATTACAATACCACTTATCAAACAAGTCCTTATAGTACTAAACTATCCATATAAAAACCCCCTACACCCAAATAAACATTCTTACACCCTCTTCTCTTCTTACATCTTTCTCCCCCAAAAATGGGGGATGATGCAACCCCAACACATAGCTTAATCCCAACATCCCGAAATCCCAGAAAATCATTCAATCGATTACTTTCGCACGCCCATGATGAATTGCACGGCTTCCGTTCTTACCTTCGATGGATGTGCGTTGATCAATCAAATATTTACACAGCAATTTTATCATGGTCTGTTTTTCTTATATTTGCAATTCTAGTCCCTGCATTCTCCCATTTTTACCTTGCTTGCCCTTCTTGCGACGCCACGCACGACCGCCCTTACGACACGGTCGTGCAACTTTCTCTCTCCTCCGTTGCGACGCTTTCGTTTGTTTGTCTTACACAGTATGTAAGGAAGTATGGTCTTCGAAGGTTCTTGTTCTTTGATAAGCTTGTTGATGAGAGTGATTCTGTTAGACATCATTACACTACCCAGGTCTATGTATGTATTTTTTCCCTTAATTTTGTTGATGATTAATTGGTCAATTATGGATTTTTAATGGGTTTTTGTTTGATTAGTGAATTGGGTTTTTGATTGGTTGCATTGGGTATTTAGATTAATTTTGTTGGTTGATTTTATTCTCTGTTTATGGGTTTGTTGATTTTTTGATTGAATTGGGTGATTTTGTAATTAATTTGTGGAATAAATGTTCCATTTTGGGGTATTAATTGGTTTAAATTTGATTTGTGTCATGGGTTTTGGATTAATTTGGATTTTGGTTTATATTGTATGATTGCTTGATTTCATCCTCTGTTTCTGAGTTTGTTAAATTGTCAACTGAATTGGGGTAATTTTAATTTTAAATTACAAATTTTTCTTTGATTTAATGGATTTTTTTATACATTGAATGTGATGAATGACATGAATTATGATCAATTAGTTTGTGAATTGTTTTTTTGTTTTTAAATGTGGTTTGATTGTGACATGGGTAGGTGTTTCTAGATTTGATCCCCTGTTCTTGTATTTTTATTTAATTTCATTTTTATGGAGTATATTATTTTATGGTATGATTCAATTTTTTGATGTCATAATAATTGATTTGGAGACTTTATGAGCTGGTATTTTCGGTGATTATAATTAATATTTGTGTGATAATTAGGGTTCTTAAAGTCTTAATAATTCTAATTGAATTACTGTGATAAAAATGATTTCTTTCTAAATTTGGATTTTCTTGATTCATTCATTAATGCGAGTCCCTTTCCAATTTATCCTTTCTTCTTTTATGAAATGTGTTCGGATTGAATTATGCTTTAGTTCTTTTGATCTTTCGCTGTCCTCGAAATCGGTCAACTTAGTGTTTATGATCGGAATGTTGGTAATCCGAAGCAGAATGATTGCCTGAAATTTATCTTACTTCTGGAATTCTGGTTTGCTGATTGCTCGGTATGTTTAAGAAGTTGATGTTGTCACTCTACTTTGACTAACTTTGGTGATTTATATTTAAGAGCAAATCACGTGGGTTCTTGTTAGATTCGTCTTAATTTATTTATACTTTTTAACTTGTTAGATACTCATGTCATTTTCTTAAAATATGTATTGATCAGTAATTAAAAATACTAATGGTTGAATTTATGCATCTACAAACGTGAAAATAAGGAAATACTCGGTAATTGATAACAGCCGAGCTGTGATTCTTGTGAAGCTTGTTCTTTTGGTCAATATAAGGTCGGCTACCAGCCTGTCTTCTCAATACAGTTACCTTTCCTTCTCTCTTTCATTCTTTAGGAGAAAATATGCTTTGTGTATGCTCTTTTGCGTGTGTCATGTGTTTTGGGATGTGTCTTGTTTTTATTAACCAAAATAGTTTACTAGTTTAGTATTTTGGCTTAATATAGGTGTAAAATTATTTGATAAAGAAATAAATCTTCCTGACCATAACTTATTGTTCCTTAGAGTATTCATTCACCATGCCGTACATAAATTGATCTCCATAATTACGGGATCAGATGAGTTAATTAAAAGTAAGATTTGGGACCGACAGTGATTAGCCTTTTTTAATACTCTACATTATTCCTTAGTTAATCTTGCGACATAAAGTAATGATATAGTACTAGTATCATCATCAACTAGAAGAATCTGGAAATATTATGGATCTTGTACTAGTGGGTTTATGTGATTACTATATTAGTTGGTCTTGTTTCTTATCCACCTCATAAAGCACTGCATTAACACTTAAGAGCTGTTCAACACGACTGATTAGGCCGAAATGGGTTGGGTTCATCACGATATGATTGGCTCTGGTCAAGCATACTAAAGTGCAAACAATGTTTTCCTATAAAGTAGTATGAAATAGTACATGTAATGTACTTTTGTCATTGGAAATTAGGGGTGCTTCATGCTAAGTGGTAGGCCCTAGGAATTTTAAACATTTCATAATCATGTAATTGTTAATTGAATGGTGATAATTGATTAACTTTTCTTCTCATGCTTATGCAGGGATCATTGAAGATATTATCTGTCTTTGTTCTCCCATGCTTTTTAGCCGAATGTGCCTACAAAATCTGGTGGTATGCTTCAGGGGCCTCCCAAATTCCATTCTTGGGTAACATCATTTTAAGTGACATTGTAGCATGCTCATTGGAGTTGATATCATGGCTTTATCGGACATTAGTCTTCTTCCTGGTCTGCATTCTCTTCCGTCTGATCTGCTACCTTCAGATCCTGCGGCTCAAGGACTTTGCCAACGTGTTCCAGGAAGATTCAGATGTCATGTCTGTTTTGATGGAGCACCTTCGGATTAGGAGGCACTTGAGGATCATAAGCCATCGTTATCGTTCATTTATATTATTGGCATTGGTTTTAATCACTTCGAGCCAATTTGCTGCCTTGCTGTACACTACCAAAAACCATTCAAATATGAGCATCTTCAGAGCTGGAGAACTTGCAGTATGTCTCTCTTGTCATATTTCCTTTGTGATACTTAACTTTTTCAAAAAAATCTGTCTAAAACTACCTCATTAATTGTGCTAAAATACGAAAAAAATGCCCTTAAGTTTTAACTTTGATTTAGCTAAGCATACACTAAGTAATGGTAACATGCTGGTATGCGCGATCCTGGCTATTATGAAAATTTTCTCAGAAAGTTTTGGTCTTAAAAATGTCAATTTACTTATAGAAAATACGGAGTAATAAAAGTGTAACAACAATATCTAATGAGAGTACTTTGTTCTCTTGGAATTGTGCAGCTATGCTCCATTACTCTATTGACCGGGATTGTAATAATACTACAAAGCGCCACAAAGATAACACACAAAGCTCAAGCAATCACCTCTCTTTCCGCAAAATGGCATGTGTGCGCGACAGTTGAGTCCTTTGGTACTACCTCTGAGACTGAAACACCCGTAGCCCAGACCAGTAGCGGAGGAAGCCCAGGTTTCTTTGATTCGAGGAGCACTCATTCAGATGACGATGAGGCAGGGGATGAGGAGGATGATGTAGATAACACCAAGTTCCTCCCTGCTTATGCCTATAGCTCAATCGGTTTCCAGAAGCGACAAGCTCTAGGTAAGAGTAATAATTACTTCATTTTAACACAGTATAATCTCCGAGTTTTATTTGTCTTCTGATAGTGATTAAATTTATCAGTCTGCAGTGTTAATAATTTACATACTGATATCTTTATCTTGGGTATTCTTGCAGTGACATATTTTGAGAACAACAAAGCTGGAATTACAGTTTACGGATTTATGTTAGATAGGGCTTGGCTCCAACTCATTTTTGGTATCGAGTTATCTTTAGTACTCTGGCTACTCGGAAAAACAGTTGGTATTTAACAGACAAGAACATCCTCATTTGCGCGTAATATTATACACAAACTTTGCTTCTCTGACCTTATACGGTCCTTGATATCCTTACAAGATCAATTTCTTCTAGAGAAAGTGAGCGCGTCAAGGGAGTCAGGGAGCTAGCATAAGGACTGATTATACGGTCTCGGTTTGGACCTCATCATGCAAATAGATACTACTACGTATTGAAGTACAGTTAGTTTCACCATTTTGTGTACTTAATGCGATGATTCTTTTACAACATCCATATGAATGTAGATTCTATAAATATGTTCATGTACTTTAGCTTGTTCACAGCATCTACGAGTCTACGACCTGTATTTGACTATCTTCATTTGGGGAGCTTATTGGCTTGTCTTCATGGCATTTGCTTATTTTTTTTTATTTATTGGTGTAATTTATTTGGGAAGAGTGGTTATTTGTATGTTGTAATATTGAGTATCAGTAATAATATAATGCATCATATTTGTTCTTTCGTTTTTGCAACTTGGAGTTTCTCTCATGCTTTTGTTTTATCATTAGAGATAATCAGAGTTGATTTAAGAAGTGTAATTTCTGTCCAAGAAGAGATGATTAAAAAAAAAAATTGTAGGGAATGGGAAGAGAGAGGTAGACGTAGAACTAAACCTCTTAATCAATCTTACATAGATGGTATGGTGAGAACTAGTTTTCACATTAACTCATATAAAGATTAATTTTTTTTTTTAACATTATTTATGGAAATAGCACCACTTAGAAGTACTCTTTGATCCTAAGAACAATTACTCTCTTCATAACAATATTTTTTGTTACCCTATATGATTAACCCATTCCCTCAAAAAAAAAAAAAAAAAAAAAAGTATTGCATGTATATCAAAGTAAAAAAAAACCTAAAACAAGATAAACCTTCCAAATTTAGATAGAGAGACATAAATATAGGGAGATTAGGGACCCATGTGATGAGAAGACAGATAGAGAGAAGTGCAATTAACAAAATATTACTCCGATACTCCGTTAAAATTTGTATAACTTTCTAAAATGATGATGGTCAATATTTAGAAAATGAAATACTTTCAAGATAAGACAAACTTTTAAATAAAACGGATGTTCAGTAAATTACTGAACATCCGTTATAAAGTGACAATAAAATGTGCAAAAGTTACACTAAAACGCACAAAAGTTACCAAGTTATTTATGTTTCATTAATAAATTTGACAAAAGTGACACTAAATCTGACAAAAGTGTAACCGATGTTCAATAAATTACTGAAAACTGGGTGTATACAAAAGTTTAATTAGCATGGACTTCCCTATGAATCGGCATTCTAGTTTGGACTATGATACTCCGTAATAATCTCAAACGAAAAGACTTGAAGCCCAACAACCAAAAACTGATTCCACTTTCCACTCACTTTTAAATAATTGGTTGGATTACTCAATTCCAGTACTTGTGTTAAACCCCTCTCACTCTCTCTCTCCTCGCTTCTTTACGTCCGCCATTTTTCTCACCTAAAACTTTCATTTTTTGGGTTTATCTAAGGTCAGAGTTCAACAGTATTAAGGTAATTCCGACTTTTTATTTCAATTTGATTAATTTCCTTATTATAAGTTGTACTTAGCTTTCATTTCAATGTATTATACGGAGTATCCTTAATTTTTTTGGCTGAAATCATCAAAGTTTTGATTTTTAAGCAATTTCTAGTGCTACCCAGGTTAGATTTTAGGATGACATTTCTGTTTTCTTTTCAATTTAGACCCAATGAAAGGCTAGTTATCTTAATTTCAGATTTTTAATTTTTGAGCAATTTTATCATATCCTAGAATTAAAGTGCTATTTAATTTGTTTGTTTTAAATTTCTGATGTTACCCTTTTGACTTTAACACCCATTTAATGTTGCTTATTGCTCTTTGATTGTTGTTGTTTCATTTGTGAAATCGTTCAACCTAGAGTAAATTGTTGTTCTTGGCATATTATTACCACCTACCAAACGAGCCGTTAGTTTTAGTCCAAATTCGAGCTAAGAAATTAATGGTTAATTAATTATAATTTTTCAGGTGGAATATTTGTAGTAGTAAATGATAACGAAGTTTTATCATTGTTCTTGTTGTAATTTGGTTCTCACTGATAAATTTCTTCCCATAATTACAGTGTTTGTACCCATGTCTTTACCTAATTTTCTCTTGTGCTATACAGCTATAATAGTCAGCAAAGATGCAAGCTGCTCTTGTCGTTCCGAATGTGGGTTCAAACTTCGCTGCTCCCTGCATTTCAAAACGATTAGCTCCGAATGCTCGTAGCTATCGGCCTTTGAAATGTGTTTCTACACTCTCAAGTCCAGCAGCCGAACCACAGACAGTTGTTACATCAGAATCCACAGGGGGGAAGCTCAACAAGTACAGCTCTCGCATTACTGAACCTAAGTCTCAAGGTGCCTCGCAAGCTGTGCTTTATGGAGTGGGGCTGTCAGAAGATGATATGAGCAAACCTCAGATTGGTATTTCATCGGTTTGGTACGAAGGTAATACTTGCAATATGCACCTGTTAGAGCTAGCAGAAGCAGTGAAAGAGGGAGTCCAAGAGGCCGGGATGATTGGCTTTAGGTTCAACACTATTGGTGTTAGTGATGCTATCTCGATGGGTACTAGAGGCATGTGTTACAGTTTGCAATCACGGGATTTGATTGCTGACAGTATTGAGACGGTTATGTCTGCTCAATGGTATGATGGAAACATCTCTATCCCTGGATGTGATAAAAATGTAAGTATTACTTCTTCTGATTATCAACTTGTCTATGGTGATCGAGATTAGTATCTTCCTTTTGTGCTGAGTTACAATATCAAGTGTATTGTCATCTGTGGGATTTAAAACATAAGGGTTGTTATAATGGATAACCTCAAAATTTGAATAGTGACTTACTTTGAAGTTGTAATTTGTGAATAATTCATTCGTGTGTTGATTATTTGTTTCTGTGATGCATAAAATTGAAATTAGAGCATTTTATACATATATGTTGCTCAAAATTTTACGTAAATGAGAACCGATGAATCATGTTATTTGGTAATGTGACACATGAGATAAATGTTCAATGCAAAATGTTGACTCTCATTTGAATTTAAAATTTTGAAGGTGTTCAGTATCCAATTTCTAAAATTGGGTCCCTGTATCCTGTTGTTTGCTAAATATATTATTGCTTCTTTGAGGCTGAAACAAGTACTTCGTATTTATATAAAATGCTATCTCGAATTTGGTTAAGTATGCTGTAAGTTGGGCCACTGCCTATACGTTGTTGATGATTGTGCTGTTTACAGATGCCGGGTACAATCATGGCTATGGGACGCCTTAATAGGCCAGGCATCATGGTCTATGGTGGTACGATCAAGGTCAGGATTGGAGATTGGAAACTTTGTATTGCTCATCTTTCTTTGCCCCTCTGTAAAACCATCTTTTATTTATTATTTAATTTTGATTTGCAGCCTGGTCATTTTCAAGGTAATACATTGGACATTGTTAATGCGTTCCAGGTATGTAGCTAATTTTCCTTGCGACCTTCGTTTCCTTGAATTTGAATTTTATCTTCTTTAGTAAATTGTGCTGGATTTTAAGGATTCCTTGTCACCTTAATGCACAACTATCATGCTGTCAATTTATCTTTCCCTGTATTTCTACTTTGAATGAATGGCAGCATTTTGGAAATGCATGCTATAACTCTTTAACTCTACTACTTAAGCAGCTCATTTGAGATTTTCATGCTGTAGTATTATTTAGAATATGTTTGGGGGACTATTATTGATGATAAATGCTTTGTGTTAAATATGTAATTTGTTGCTGAACTAAAGCAATTACTTTAAGTGCAAATGTGCAATTTTTCATTTTTTTCTGTGACTCTTCTGTAGTGTTATGGGGAATTCGTTAGCAGGTCTATTAATGATGAACAAAGAATGAATGTCATCCGTAATTCCTGTCCTGGAGCAGGAGCTTGTGGTGGTATGTATACTGCAAATACCATGGCATCAGCTATCGAGGCCATGGGAATGTCTATTCCTTACAGGTATTGTATTTACGTTATAGAGTTGAGATTTTGTTCTTTCTTGGGTTATAATTCCCCCTTCTCTTTTTAAGCTCGTCAACACCAGCTGAAGACCCTTTGAAAATAGATGAATGCCGTCTTGCTGGAAAATATCTCCTTGAACTGCTTAAAATGGACTTAAAGCCACGAGATATAATAACTGAGAAATCTCTGCGGAATGCAATGGTTGTGGTGATGGCCCTTGGTGGGTCGACCAATGCTGTCTTGCATCTAATTGCTATTGCCAGGTGAGAGATGCTGCTGTGTAATTTCTGTAGCCTGCTTGAAATTGGTGCCTAATAGGCCTCTTGTGTCTTTGTAGGTCCGTTGGTGTAGACTTAACTCTTGATGACTTTCAGAAGATAAGCGATCAGGTTCCATTCCTTGCAGACCTTAAGCCAAGTGGAAAGTACGTCATGGAAGACTTACATAAGGTACATTTGAGCTCCCTTTACCTTGACCAAACTTTAATTTTTGACTTTTGTAGCCAAATGATAATTTCCTTACTTGTTGGGCTATTAGGTGAGCTTTTGTTTTGTTTTCAGTATTGTAGCTTATACCTCTTCTGATGGATCTTTATAGGTTGGTGGCACACCTGCAGTGATTCGCTACCTTCTTGAGCTAGGATTTCTAGATGGGGACTGCATCACTGGTAATTCTTCCTGCACCCTTGGACATGCTTTTGCTTCAAGTCATTTGCTTTTGTTAATCTTTTATCTTAAAAGTCATGATCTTTTGTGTTTCTTGTTTGTCTAGTTACTGGGAAAACATTGGCAGAGAATGCCAAACTATTCCCAGCCTTGGCTGAAGGTCAGGTATGATGCATATCTTCCAAGCTAGTATTCACTATTCATGTAAAAACTTTTATTCTTCAATTTTTCTTATTAATAATCTATTAATCTGTTTGTTAATATGTTTCAGCAAATAATACGGTCATTGTCAAATCCCATTAAGGAAACGGGGCATATACAGATACTGTATGGTAATCTTGCTCCAGAGGGCTCTGTAGCAAAAATTACTGGAAAGGAAGGACTATATTTTTCTGGTAATATCCCTTCTAGCCAAGCACTTTTTGGATTATTATAAATTTCACGGCCTTCTAATTTTAGAACTATGTGAAGTTGTGAACAAACAGGGTTTTCCTAATTTTTTTCTCACCAGATCTAATAATGCAACTGAGAAACTTCTTATCATATAAACTTTCAGGTCCAGCCCTTGTTTTTGAAGGAGAAGAAGCTATGATAACTGCTATTTCAGAAGACCCTCAGAGTTTCAAGGTACTTTTTGTGCAATAGTTGGTTCATTCACAGTGACTGAACGATCAAAATATTTCATATATATATTGCTGCTTACTTATAAATTTAAACATTTTTCAGGGTAAAGTAGTAGTCATTAGAGGAGAAGGGCCAAAAGGTGGACCTGGCATGCCTGAAATGTTGACACCTACTAGTGCTATAATGGGTGCAGGACTGGGGAAGGTATTTTGATCTGATCTGTATGCTTGCATTGTGCCTGAAATAATGTAATCTTGATCTCACTCTTCCCAACCTCCTTAGAAGCTTTGGTTTAATAATGTTAATGTTGGCATTCTGCTAGGCATAATCTCACTGTTTATTCTTTATCCAAAACGGACTCTCACAGCCTTTGGTTACGGCATCAGCAAGTTTTATATCACTTTATTTCTGGGTCAGCTCATCATAACTGATAGTAGTGTAACCCTTCACATATCTTGTTAGATGTATATGATTTCATCCCAGATGCTCACCTGATTAATTAACATCATTGACATATACAAAATACACATGATATGATGACATCTTTTGTAAAAGAAGGAAGAGGTTTTACTTTCCAATTTCCCTTGAACACTCCCTTCATTGGGTATTCCTTTGATGGGAAATGAGGTTGGGATTCTTGGGAATGGGAAATGATTTCCTAACTTAACTTATTTCCCATGTTTATTAGAGAGGAATGGGAAATGATAGTGGAATTGCGAATGGGAAATGAAGACCTCATTTCTCACTGTATTATTACGCAAGGAGAGGTAGGTATTGAGGATGGGAATTGGGAGAAGAGTAAATTGGCTTCATTGCTATATTATGGGAAGAGGAGAAGAATATGTAAGGATATATTTTTAAATTGGTGTTTATTCCCTACTTTTTCTGTCAATCCACCAGACAAGAAATTGTCAATTAATTTATGAATTCCCAAATATCAATTTCCAATCCCTATCCCACTCCCACTCTCTATTCCCCAATTCCCATCCCACATACCAATTGCCCTGTTAGGGTCAGTCCAACAGTCATGTAGCTTCTGTGTCTACTACGTAGTTATTTTACTTATAAAAGTATGTATTCAATTTTTTGTGGCCTTTTGTACTTGTATTTCTCTATGTATTTGATAAAGGAAAATATGAAGTATATAGCAAGCACTACTGCTACCAGTTTTGAAGGAAAAGGGATTTTCGTATAAAATGCCAAAAGCTATGTTAACCTGACTCTTTGTTTTGCCTCAAGTACCCCTATTAGAGATCCTTCCTCTCTGAGACCTGAGTTGACACTTATTTCCGGACAGAGAACAGAAAACATGGATTGTTTTTTATTTTTTTTCTGAGGGACACTTGGACAGGTTCACAGTACTCGTGTCTAACGCTAATACTCAGGTTTGAGTTATGTAATCCAAAAGAACAAAAGGGTGTAATATTGTTAGTATTGTATCTATATAGTTGAAAAATCAGATTTTTTTCTTGAATTAATGCCTTACATTACCATGCTTTGGATTGTTGCAGGATGTGGCTCTACTAACTGATGGAAGGTTTTCAGGAGGCTCACATGGATTTGTTATCGGTCATGTTTGCCCTGAAGCACAAGTATGCACAATTCTTCATCTTTCAGCGTTTACTCTTTCTTTTATAATATTTTCAACTTAGGCCTTGATGGGTGTGGTTTAATAACTGCAAAGTTCTAGATGAAACAAATATGGAAGGATCTTGAACTATTCTACTTTTCGGAATGTTTAGGAGGGTGGACCAATAGGTCTGGTGCAGAATGGAGACATCATCACAATTGACGTAGGGAAAAAGATCATGGATGTTCAGCTGACAGACAAGGAGATGGAGGAGCGAAAGAAAAAGTGGACTGCACCTGCATACAAAGCTAACAGGGGAGTACTGTACAAGGTATCATCTTGCATTTCCTTACACCCTTCTAACAAAATCCACACTCATGTAATTTTGCTGATAGTTGTGTTCCTTCATTTTCAGTATATCAAGAATGTGCAGTCAGCTTCAAGGGGCTGTGTAACTGATGAGTAGCCAGATGAGAAAGCACTGATTTACTCCAAAGCGAAAACAACTCGCATTCTTGATTCTAGTGTGGGATTTTGAAAATTCCCACAGATGTTTGTAGGCTTGAGCATTTTGTTTACCGGGTGTAGTTTTAGTGCTTGTAATCTAGTCTGTTGTGCGTTTTATGAGGTCTAGTATTCTTTGAACAGAAACGCTGAGCAACTCAGCATTTTGGAGGAGAAAGGGGTTATTGATTGAAATTATGCCTGTGCTAAGTTGCTGGGCAAAAATAAATTCACCGAAGTTTTTGCATGTTTAACTTTTAAGTCCCAAGTTTTTTCATGTTCTATGTCCTAGTGCGTTTCTACTTCAACTTTCACCATTAGTCGAGTACTAATATCATTTATTCTTTAGGGCAACAGGGATGTTTAATATTAATCAAGGGGATAAGTTAATCAAATTTTGCAACATGTTACATGTGTTAGAATTACAAGAGTAATAGTGTTTCTCTAGGCTTTCACTTACACCTCTGGCTTACCACATAATAAGCTAACGTTTGAAATTAAAATTGTCACGTCATGTTATATTAACCAAATAAGTTTAGATTTGGGTTAACAAGGGATGTAAAAGTATATTCAAGTAAAGATGGCATTGGGTCGGATCAGCCTAAGGCTTAGCATGGTCCATCACATGGCACGTTATTGCCACCTTTTGGGAGAAACACGATAAGGTGCAACATAATTTGGCATAAAAAAACGTGCTAGAATCAATGTAATTTTGCTTAGGCACGTAAGCCTAGCAAGGTGCGACACGATGGTGTCTTGGCTTGGGCCGTGCACAGGCCAAACATTTAAAAAGTTCGGCCTGAAATGACATGACACAAAACTCATGGGCTGGAGATACTAACCCCAAAGCATGTGGCCCTGACACGAGGCACAATTAGAGACGGTCTAGAGCTATCTTGACGTTCAAGTGAGTTCCATAACAATTAAATAAATTCAATAAGTCGTAAGAGAAATCAAGTGAACAAAATGCTCCTAACAAATACTCATATCACTCTAATTTAATTGTCACACCAGGTTTCAAAAACAAAAAATAAAAATAAAAAATTGTCACACCAATCTTTGAACAATTTTATTTATTTATTTATTTATTTTCAATTCAATTTTTGCATGACAAATTGATATCAAGTTATCAACCGCCCAACACAGGAAAACTGGAAAATCCAGCAGTACGGCAATAGCATTTCAACTGTCAGCAAGTTTGGAGAGAGGTTGCGCGCAAAACCCTTGCCAAAAACATATTCTCTCTTTGCCTGCTGTTCTTCCCAATCAGCGTCGCTCCGAATTTATTCCCCAGGTTTTTTCTTCTTTAGCCTTAATTTCTCTTTAAATTCAATTATTTATTTATAGTGAATGATACACTAAATTACAGCCGTTTTCTGAGCTTGTTGATCGATAAAATCAATTATCACTATCATGTTTGCAAGATTGAATACTAAATAGCAGTGATAAGGAGCATGCACAACAAGTGTTTGATAAAAGTCTCCTTTGAATTTGATATGTTTTCTGAGTTGAAACCCTGTTAAATGAAGCATTAATCTGCCCTAAACCTTGGAATTCAACCAAAGATGATATCTTTCTCTTTTTTCTCCATATTAATTGAGTATATGTAGTACAAATCCTGAGATGGGTTTTCCAAGTTACTGACAGCAAGCTGAAAGATGAACTGTGGGGGTTTCAACTTTCAATTTATTTTATGGATTCATTATTTTGGTGTAGAGAGACCTACAAAGGAGATATTGTATACAAGATTTAATCCGAAGTCCCGGTATTATCTCCAAAACCTTACCAACTAAGCTAGCTGACATCCAAATAACAGTAGAAAATATGATTAGCTATAAGCTAAACTTATGGAGGAAATTCTGACTTGGAGTATTGGGGGATAACAAAATGATTGAGGGTGTTTTCGCAGAAAGTCTTGATATTTGAGCATCTAGAAGTTGCTACATGATATCTCTCTGGCATTTCTTGGAATTGAATATAAATATTCAGTTTATTTTATATGTCAAGGACCTCCAATTCTAAATTCTAGTTGTTTGTTTGGTTTGATTAAAAGAACTGTGTGTTATTATGTGGTATGTCACTCATGTCAATATGTCATCATGTGCTTCTTTTTTGAGGCCCTTAATTTGGAGGGGAAAATTTTACACCATACATGATATATCCACTTTCAAGCTGACATAGAAATTCATCCATATAAGCTGTGAATGAAATGTTATCCTGAAGTTGGTCCAACCTTAGTTCCTAAATTTCATGCTATATTTTGCTAGTGCATGTTATATGAATTAGTTAGTGACAAAGAAGAAGTCCCCTCTTTGCCTTCCTTACTAAGCTCTATGAGGATGGATCAAAAGGTTCTAGTCTAGCCGTCTAGGCAATTCTTACTGCTTCTTGGTTGGACTTGTGCACTTTTAAGTTGTGACAATCATCTAGTAGTCTTTTGTATATCATTGTGATGTACTCTAGAAGTATATAATTTTAGTAGATTTATCGGCACCAAAAAAATGTTTTCTATTACATACTTGAAAAGTTGAAAGCATAGAAACAAAAGTTGATAATGCTGGTGATAATTATTAACATACTTTTATTTTTGGCAGGAAGATTTAAAATGCTGCCACCTCGTTTGAAGAAAAGTGTCATAGACAATCCAAAAAAGCTTGCTAATTTGATTGATCTAGTAAATCTCCCATCAACTCTGCGGGAGTTTGTTGGTCAATCGCAGATTTCTCGCTTGGGGTGCTTCATGCGAGTTTGGTCTTACATCAAGACAAATAAACTCCAGGTTACACTAAATGGTTCCTCTTTGATATTTAATTCTGATGATCTAGGGGATTTGTTTTCACAAATTTAAATGTTTGCTGTTATCAGAATTTTTTAAAATCATTTATGGTTAGATCCTGTTTAGTCAGAAGATATTATTTGTAAATAATTTAACATTTACAGTGTATTGCCTAATTTTCAGCTGCTTTTTCTGTGGAAGTTTAGCCTCAAAAATTTCTATACTTATGTGGAGCAGATTTTAGGCTTAGGCTTTAGACCCATGGAAATTAAATCCAAAGCTTCTTCATTTTTTTTTCATGGATATTTTATTGGAGCTAGCTATACTATGTGGTTGGAACTTGGAAGTGATAACAAAGAAATTCATATTGCCTTCTAGATATTCAATTAATAGTTTCTGCTATACTTTCAGTCCATTTGGTACAAGGTCATAGATTGAGGTGATTTCAATGAGTCTGTGTTTTGTTTTTTGTTTTTAACTTTACTGCTTTTCATTTCCAAGTATGCAACTTTACTGCTTTTCATTTCCAAGTATGTTATTTTCTTCATTAATTCTCATTCCCTACTCTAAAGGTATTACCAAATGGTAGTGAAAATTTAGGAAGAAAAACACATGCTTGGGAGTGGAGATACAGTATCATAAACATATCAATAGGACATTCCATGGAAAAGTATGCTCAAGTAATCATTACCTCTCATTTAACTTGTACCAAATATACAATTTGTATACTTTTAGTGTGACCTTGTCTCATACTCTCATGCTTTGGAACCTCTTTCATCTTACCTTATATATTAAGGAATCTTAGATATGTTGCCTAGTTTTATTCTGTTAAATGAACTGATGAAGGGAATAAATAGAAAGGAGGGGAGCAAATATGTAACAACAGTTCCTGTCCTCCAATTATCATAGTACATTTGATTCTTGACACATTGTTTGCCTTGATGCTGACAAGAAGTGTGTCTATGCAGGATCCACAAAACAAAAATTTTGTCATTTGTGATGATAAATTGAAGAGTATTTTGCTTGGAAAATCAAAGGTGGATTTAGCTGAGCTTCCTTCCTTGATCAAATTGCATTTTCCCAAGGAGCCAAAGTGATGTTCACCCTGCAGTTAAGGTTCATGCCATCCTTTGCTTATTGTTGCAATACTCTATCATAAGTAGGCTCTTGTTTTTCTGCTTTACATTCTGTTAACTGCATATGAAAGTTCTTGCGAACCTGCAATCAACATGAATATCTCATAAATCAATAGAATAAGTAGAACTTATTTAATCATTTTGCTTGTCAAAGTTGGGAAGCGTGGGAATGAAATAGGAGGCATCTCTCTCTTCATTTTTTTTTCCAATAAGATTCTGTATCAGGATCTGAGACAATGAATTAACAAGACTATGTACTCCAAGGAGTAAGGAGTAAGGATTAAGGTGCCTGATGAAAATTGTGTTATACAGTCATACTATGATGTAATGTGGTATGCATATGACGCCTCATTGCATTGTAGGAGGGGATCATATACCTTGTGTCAATTATAGAAACTTGGTTGACCATTTCTTCATCAGATGAGCAGCTACAAGACCATTTGTTCTTTCAGTGGGATGGAAAGCATCCCAAAATACATATTTATCAGCATCTTTACATGTGAATGGGTTGAGTTGATCACACATATAACCCATCTCAAGATATCCAGTGGCACAACATCCTACATCTGCATTGTCAAATCCTGAAAATAAGAAATTAAGCATCCATATGCATTAATTACTTGAATGTGCTGCCACAAATATAGATTACAAAAGGAAGAGTGAAAGGTTATATTAAGTTGAGTTTTGCAGTTATAAAGTACTCCCTCTGTCCAAAAATGTAGTGCCTGTTTTATTTTGCACAATCTTCAAGACATACATTTGTCCATCAATGCCTTTAATTAAGTATTAATAGAAATTATAAACTTTATATTATAAAACTACAAATTGACATACATTTGTTCATTACATCTTTTTGTGCTTCGCATAGATTGATGAGAATTTTCAGTTAAATTTTTTGAAGTTTGACCATGAAAATTGTATTAGGCATTACAATATGGATGGAGAGTAGTAAGATAATTCTTTAGACTTGTAATAGCAAATAAATAATAACTACTCGTATTTGTATTCTCCTGTTAAAAATAAAATTGTAATAAAACAGTTGTAAACAGAGTTACATTTTATTAACTCACTCCAAGAATTGACTTACAGTCTTACAGTATATATAAGGCCTGATAAGGGTATTTTCTTGCAAGTTTACTTAAAAAGAAAGGTTATAAATTCATGTTTGGTTTAAACTGAAAAGTAATTTTTGTATGTAAGTGCAAGATGTTTTCGTGAAAAATGTGAGCCATGAAGCTTAAAATTTAATGCATTATGTTGTGCTGTATATGATTTTAAGGATTTAACTGCCCAATGGTTGAGTCTAAAGCCAGCTAGCAGTTGCAAAACGTTAGTTGAAAAGGTAAATAGCATGATGTTTCATGTGACTGGAAATGTTTGTTGCATTTCTTCACCCTTTTCAGGCTAGACCCTTTCAGTTTTAAGTGAAAATATCTTACCGAAAGAAGATGGATTTTGAATCATCTCTAAGAGAATGTCGTAAGGGTTTGATAACAATAGCTGTATCCCTTTCAGCTCTGTGTTTAGCCTGTCGACCAAATTTGCCAATTTCATATTAAATTCTCTAGCTACCTGGTTGTATTCTTCTATGCATTGACGCTTAAACATGATGTTTCTGGTTCTTTCCAATGGCAAACATCCCATTGGAGGTAGGCCACCCAGAGATATTCTACGAGCTCCAAGATTATATAGATCTTTGATGAAGTCACTAGCAATCCCAATGAGGAAGTTTTGGTACTCTTCAATACTAAATTCCAATCGTCTTTTATGGCGTGCATAGTAGTTCTCTAAGAAATCATTGGTTCCGATACTTATTAGGTATACTGCTTCTTCAAGAATTGTGTTAGCTCTGTCATCACCAAGATAGTCCCTCAGCTGCTGCTGGTATTGCTTATAATACTCCACTTCCTTCCATAGTGGGAGAACAGACTGCATGTTATAATTATGCACAATATGTTAGCTTTTTTTATACATTCATCCTTATATAGGTACGACTTGAACTCTTGGAGCTAGAACACCAAATTTAAGCACATTAAGAAGGTTCAACACTTTATGAATCAAGAATTTGTAGCGATAGTAGAATGTTTGCATTTTCTTTGGAAGTTAGAAGACTTACTAGTGTATCAGACGTAGCATTATCATACCCTGTTCCTGCTGATGCAAAACAAACTCCTGTAGCAAAATCATCTATTTTGTAATTAGGATTCAAGAATGCAGGGACTACTGGTTTCAGCCCAAATGCCTCAGATATGAAATCTGATGGAAGACGACCATTGGAAAACCTCCCAGTGGGTTTGCCTCCGAAAAAATCACGACCATATGGCTCAAAGTTGCTCCTCAAAATTGTGGAGAGCTCATTGTTGTTCCCTGTATCAACAGAGGAATCCCCAAAGACAATGACCGCCGGAATTTCAGCATCAATGGCTAGGAAGTATTGTAGTAGTTTAACAAAGAGAAGCCAAAAGGTAGCCTTGTGTATCATGTGGGTTTAGTCCTATGTGCACTCTTTTCAATGTTAAAACGCTGGATCTGCTGGGGTTAGACTCTGCTTATTGAAAATTGAAATAGGCTAATGCTAAAAGAATTTCCCTGCTCTTTTTTTGTATTTTTATTTTTCTTTCCTTCGATGAAAAGATGGTAGAAGAAAAAGCCCAATAAGAGGGAATTCTTGAAATTTGTCGGTGTAGTTTGTTACTAGAGGGAATTGACTTATGCTGTGACTTGTGGTAGTTAAAAAGGAGTAGTTTTGCTTCCTGTTATTGTTTACAGATGGGTGCATCAGGTTCAGATTATATACTTTGACAGTTATACGAGCGCGCGTCGTTGGAGTTATTATAACTGATCGATATAACCTATGATGCGGGAAATAATTGATGCTCTGTATTTAATACTTCATATGTATTACCATTACTTAATAGCTAATCTTCCTCATGTATAACTTACCATTCTTTCATCATTATAATTTCTTGTTCTGCTAAATGCATGTACTGTCAATTGTGTATTGAAGAGCATTTATCTTTCATCAGAAAGAAGTTCTCTGATTACTGTCAGAAATGAGAAGTTCAGATACAGAAAGGTTGATAGAAGAAAAGGCAGTGGAAACTGTTATAGGCTAAGCTAAACTTTAACGCTTTAAACCCCTTTGTATGCCCTCATTGCTATCACAGTTCAAGAAATGCATGATAACCATTTGTATTTCCGTTTAACGTGCATTATTTTTGTGATTAAATGCACCTTCACATTTTCACTAAACTGTTACATTGTGGTCTTGTGGATACAGATGAGGACGAAGACGTTGGTGCTGGTGCATGCTGCTTCCATGTCTGCTGGTTAATGATTCGACATCAGAGTGATCAATGACATGTATTTAATACATATGTATAGCATAGTTGTTAGCGAATATGCAGCATATCATAAATTGAAGGTTCATACACTTTTTTGTTACATCTCTGGGATTTAAGCAACTCTTCTTTTGGTTAGGAAAATCTTTGAGTACACACATACTTCTTATATTCAAACTATAATAAGAGCAATCTTGTTAAAAGTTCGTATAAATGAATTTATTTCTCCGACATATTGTGTTTTTAAGTTGTCGTCGTAGCAAACTCGTGGTTAACCATTATTAACATTATCGAATTGAAATTTCAATTAAATAGTAAAATGATTAACCAAATTTGTAGATACGGTCTCAATTTAACGATTTGTCAAGTTAAATTTCTAACGGGAACCGAACCTGAATTTGGATTAAAAACCATAAGGGCGGGATAGGTTGGTCTTACGGTTACAATAGGATAAGTTGGGCCCATTATATATCTCATTGCCACCAAGTAAAAAGTGAAGCATTTTTATGGCATATATTGCTCGAGTAGCTTGGCATTAAGCAAGGAAAATTGAAAAAATAATGGCAACTACTTCTGTAGCAAAAAACATCCTTAAACAACTACCTTGTAATTTTGGTTCATCATCTTTCTTAACAAACAATTTGTACAAATCTTCTATAATATTAGCAACTCCTAATGATAGATTAACTAGGCAAGTTGTTCTTCAAGCTCAAGCGCGCCCCACGTGGCTTCCTGGCCTTGACCCTCCATCTCACCTTGATGGAAGGTATGATTGTTTCTCTTCTTTTTTGACAAAAGATTGTTTCTTTTTATTTCTTAATAATTTTTTTGATTGCTAAAATTTGCTTAATCAATCTCATAGTTGAACATTAGTAATTTCTTGCATTATCATGTTACTAAGGATGAGTTCTCATCAACTTATTCCGTAATCAGACTAGCTAAGACTAAACAAGAAAGATATCGACCAAATCAATTCGGAACAACCTTATATTATTCGGTTCACTTATTGCTTTAATTGTATAGATTAATGAACATTTAGACATTTGTATTCTGTAGGACACATTTAAAATGAATTTCGCAAGATCTCACTTAATACTTTATTTATTTTTCCCTGATAGTCTGATACATAATGCAAAAACACGGAAAGATTTTAGAGAAATAATACGTAGTAATAATAATAAAAATAAATAGATTAGACCAAATCTTAACAAAATTAATATCAAGCTAATAGTGCATTTTTTTTTATGGAATTTAAGTAGGTCGGTCCATTTGTATTTATAATTTTGAACTTATGAGAGTGAGGGATAGCTCAAGTGGTTAGAGCTTCCCTCCCAATTCCAAAAGATTTGGGATCGGATTCTCACCTCCGCCCTTGTGGCTCTCTAAAAAAAAAAATTGAACTTATGGGCTTTGGTTTGCTTAGTTTGGCAGGAGATTTCGGGTTCGACCCACTTGGATTGGGAGAGGACCCAGATAGCTTAAAGTGGTATGTTCAGGCTGAATTGGTTCATGCCCGTTTTGCTATGGCTGGTATTGCTGGCATTCTTTTCACTGATGTAAGTACTTGAACAATGTAGATGATAAATATAACTTGGCAAATGAATCGTACTTTTGTATTCATTATATAACATAGTTGTTGCACGTAACCATTTTATGTTACTCGTATAGATTTTGTTAGGCTGATTGAGGCAAGTAAAATGAGAAAGGGAATATAATTTTTTGAACTTGACTATGAAGTCTATTCTACACTATGCAGTTGCTTCGGACTGCAGGGATCAGTAGATTGCCAGTGTGGTACGAGGCTGGTGCAACCAAATTCGACTTTGCTAGCACAAGAACCTTGTTATTTATCCAATTAGTCCTAATGGGGTAAATTGTTTTGGCAAGATTACCAAGATTTTGCACTCTTCATTTGCTGTAATTTTACTTAAGTCCCTTACTAATTATAAACTATTGCCAGATTTGTGGAAACTAAAAGGTATATGGACTTTGTTAATCCTGGATCACAAGCTGATGGTCCTTTCTTTGGCATGGAATCAGCATTTGGGGGCTTAGAACCTGGGTAATTTTAATTATAATCATCTTTTCATATTTAAACTGTTATAAATTTGACTCTTTTTTTTTTTTTTTTTTTTTTTTAAATTTTTTTTTAAGGTGTTTTAATAAGTTTAATTTACATTTATTTAATTCTATTTTTTGATTCTTTTTTTCGTTTTGAGGTGTTTTAATAAGTTATATTATCATATCATCTGTTATATTTTATACCGTACCAACTTAAACACATTGCTCACTTATTTTTTTCCCCAAACTTCTTTAAAAAACTTGTATACAAATGAGCAATATAGATGCACCAAAAAATCAAAGTAACTTATCGCATGCAAAATTGTAAATTTGACAAGCTTATGAAAAAAGTTCACTCTACAATGGTACATTATATGTACCATTATGCATGTATAATGTACTGTTAAAATATAAAGTGTCTAAATAGTACTTTTTGTGTACTATTATGCATGTAGTGATACTTTTTACCATCATATAAGTTGAATATTTCCCCCCAAAATATTTACCACCTATCACTTATTATACATGTAAAGGTATATTTTTCATCCTATATGTTTGCTAAACCCATAAAAGCTATGCGCAAAGGGTTAATCCAATTTTTCTGGTTTGGCTTAGATGATTTATAAATTTGGAAAAACAGGTACCCAGGTGGCCCACTGTTAAACCCTCTTGGGCTAGCCAAAGATATAAAAAACGCTCATGATTGGAAGCTCAAAGAAATTAAAAATGGTAAGTTTTTATTAGTTCATTAGTCTAATTTTCCAAGATCAATGTTTCCTGTTTATTTTGTTTCAATAATAATTATAAAAGCTTTTCAAAATTTAGACTTTATATATAGATGTTGATAATTAAGTGTGAATTATAATGTTTTTCAGGAAGGTTGGCAATGATAGCTATGTTAGGCATATTTGTGCAAGCTTATGTAACACATACTGGTCCAATTGAGAATCTTGTGGAGCATCTCTCTGATCCATGGCATAAGACTATCATTCAGACACTCTCCTCCTCAACATAATTCATTCTTACCTTATTTTTTTCTTCTGTGATTGGATATCGATCCAAAGTTATTCAATGTGTAACATGATCAATACGAAGTAGACCACAAATTATCATTGTTCTATAAGAAATAATATATACTCCGTGAGATCTTGTTGGATTTGTTGCAATATCTACTTTACAATATCAAATTTTTAAATGTCTGCATAAACGACTTTGGAGATATTTATGTTTTAAGACGTGTCTTAAATACCATGAAAAATCAAATGCAGTAAACAAATGGAAACAAAAGGGACAAATAGCATAAACTATATGACATTTCACATTTCGTTTAATTTACTAAGATAAAGTATAAGATATACTTGTACATGAAATGTAATAAAGGAAGAAGAAAATAATTGATCGCGCTTTTTCATTTGGATTGGTTTGGTCAGAAGAGACGTTGATGACACAATGAGTGTGTGTTCGTTGCATTTTGGTATTAAAGTTGTTAAGGACCGAATCCTACTTTTAGGAGGACCGGAGGGGGTGGGAGGTTTACGGTCCAACCCGTTTCGAGCAAGCCAGTAGAACAAGAGCCCAGTACAACATACTTGTATTAAGATGACTCACTTGGTCATGAATAACTGGGATAAGTAGGCCCCTTATCCATCTCATTTCCTACCACATATATAGCCTCTAAAAAATTTTGATCCTGAAAGAATTAAGATAGTCCTCCCATCTTCAATTCAAATAAAAAAGTTTACAACTCCTTAAAATAAAGTTGGTGTACGAGCTATCACAAGATCACCAACATCAGAAACTAGCTAAAACACTGAAAAAAATGGCAACTTTTGTTGCTGCTCTTTCATCCAATTCCCTCATTTCTTCCTCTTTACTTCAACAATCTTACATCAATGCCAACAATCCTTCTCAAACACTCCCACCATTTTCGCTTTCATCTTCCTGTTTTTCTTCCTCCAAATCTTCCTTTTTCTCCCCTCTAATGAGTCCCTCACTTTCATCAAATCGCGCTGTTTTTCCTCTGATGTTCAGAAACAGCAGCAATGTCTGCAGTAGCGGTTTCAGTGTTAATGCCAGTGCTTCAGATAAGAAAAGGGTGCTTATTGTTAACACCAATAGTGGTGGACATGCTGTTATTGGTTTCTACTTTGCTAAAGAGCTTCTGGGTGCCGGTCATCAAGTCACAGTCCTTACTGTTGGAGATGAAAGCTCTGACAAAATGAAAAAACCGCCTTTCACCCGCTTTTCTGTTAAGTTTCATTCCCTTGAATGTTTATCTTTTAGTTACTCTAATCAAATTACTGTCTGTTATATATAATGTGGTACATTTGGTTGTACATGTGCTGTGTTAGGCTTAGGCACACCTCACATACAACTGATACAAGTATACAACCCTGACTGTGGCATTTCGAGTTGATCATATTGATCAACTCGAAATGAAATCTATTTCGAATTTGATAAAATTGATTGTGACAGTTTCTATCCTTTATTTTGGTATGATTAGGAAATTACAAGTGCTGGAGGAAAGACGATATGGGGGAACCCGGCTGACATTGGGAGCGTAGTGGGAGGAGAAACCTTTGATGTGGTGCTCGATAATAATGGCAAGGACCTAGAAGCTGTGAGGTATTCATGTTGTAATATGCTTTATCAAAACTACTTCGATCTATATTTATGACAAGGATCATGAACTCTTAGCTTATTATCTTGTCAAATAATTTCGATGAAGATGATGTTTGTGTTAATTATAACAAAATTACTGATAAAAATCAGCTGTAACATGTAGTCCTGTGATAGACTGGGCGAAAAGCTCTGGAGTGGAACAGTTTTTGTTTATCAGCAGTGCTGGAATATATAATCCTACAGATGAGCCTCCTCATGTTGAAGGCGTAAGTTTGCATTTCGAGTCCATAGAAAATATTGTTGCATACTTGTTTGTACAACAAATTGTTTATCTTAGTTTGATCATTCTGTTTTAGGATGCTGTTAAAGCTAGTGCCTCGCACGTTGCAGTAGAAGAGAGTATTGCTAAAACTTTCAGTAATTGGGCATCTTTCCGGCCTCAGTATATGATTGGATCAGGAAACAACAAGGATTGTGAAGAATGGTTCTTTGATCGTACGTTCATCATTACATTCTTCTGATTTTTGTTCATAACTTCAGTCTGACAGACAATATTCTTAGGCTAAGTTCTGTTCACTTGCCTTTTTTTTAGCCTGTTATCACTGCGTTTTACAGATTTGATTCTACTATAGTATAAAACATATTCCTGAGTTTCAACCATCAGCTTAAGCTTTTGGTTGAGATAGTCCTATAACGCGATACTGGAGCCATCAGCTTAAGCTTTTGGTTAAGATGGTCTTAAACTGATTCATTTGAAGATGATTATATAAACTGATTAATACTAATACTAAAACTAAATGTTATAAATTGAAGATAACAGGCCTTATTCCTAATTGTATCTCATTTGATGTGTCTAATGTCAGGGATTGTTCGAGACAGGCCAATTCCTATCCCCGGTTCAGGAATGCAGCTGACTAACATCACTCATGTAAGGGACTTATCATCCATGCTTACTGCAGCAGTCGAAAACCCATCTGCAGCAAGCGGAAACATATTCAATTGTGTAAGTGATCGAGCAGTGACCCTTGATGGAATGGCCAAACTCTGTTCTCAAGCAGCTGGTCGCCCTGTCAAAATCGTGCATTATGATCCAAAGGCAATCGGAGTTGATGCCAAGAAAGCCTTCCCTTTCCGTAACATGGTAATTAACAGCTAACAGACATAACATTTCTGTTACATCTTTTTTTTTTCTAGTGTTGTAACTCAATTCTTGTGAATCTGTTGTCCTTTGTTCAGCACTTTTACGCGGAACCAAGAGCTGCTAAGGATATCCTCGGATGGCAGGCAACTACCTACCTTCCGGAAGATCTTAAGGAGCGGTATGAGGAGTATGTAAAGATTGGAAGAGACAAGAAAGATATGAAATTCGAGTTGGATGATAAGATACTCGAATCACTTAACGTATCAGTGGCATAATTCAAAGAGTCATGTATCTTGTAAGGAAACTAATGATGGAATCTTTGGCAATTTTTCTTATGTATGAAATAACTTCAATCGATCTCCAACATCTTGAGTGTCGTTGTAAAATTAAGATGAGCTTTAGGGAATTTCTAAGTCTTTCAGAGATGTACTAGATGTATTCTACAACATATTTATCAAAAAGCTAATTGTGCCTGATTAGCAAAAAATATTGGTGCTCAAGTTAGATTTTTTGCCAGAATTCCTTATCATTTTATTAGAATATGATCGTCATTTTTCTACTAGCTAATTGGTATTTTAAAAAACAATCCTTTACTATATGACAAATGAGTAAATGACTACTGATAACCAATGAGGTTTTAACCTACTGGTTAATTAAGATTGAAGGTGTGTGTATGACAAGCTCACAAACCGGTTTAAATTTCTTCATTCACCCCCATTAGTAATTTATATTGCCCTATTGACTCATTTGGATGAAGAAAAAAATCTAATGACCATTGATATCCATTGATAAAATCTACTTTGTAAATATCATCAACATCAATTTTAAAAAGTGACAACATAAATAAATTATTATCTATAGGTTAATATATACAGAGCTCAAAAGTATAAAATACATTTTATGACATTAATATAAAAAAGGAAAAAATTATGCACCATTCATTATGGATTTAACTTAATTCAACTATTTCAACTTTTAAGTCCGTTTTCAATATTCAGTTCAGTACTTCAGTTCACTTCTATTCAGTCAATCAGAATAAGCCCTTAGAGCTCTATAATTATATGCAACCTAAATCATTTACTTGCACTTGTTATAGGATCATATCCATCTTTTTTATTCACCGGAATTTAATTACCTTATCCACACAAATTAATAATGATGAAAATCTTTCTTCAAAAATATAATGATGAAAATCTAAAAGAAAAATAATAAACACAGTCCTTAACGCTATGTATAAGAAGTTTAAAAAAAAAAAATTAAGGATAAATTAACATTGATTATAATGATTTGCGCGTATTTTGTCATGAATTCTAACTTAATTCTTTTTCAAAAAGTATATTTAATGTGTATATAATACTCCCTCCGTCCCAAAAAGAACGACCCATTTAGGTTGATTACGCGGGTATTAAGAAAGTTAAGTAAAAAGAAGTAAAAATATATTGGAAATATAAATTTACATGGGGTTCGTAAAAAAATAGAGAGAGAAAATAATAAAATAACATGGAAAATCAAATTTTTATACGGGGAAGCTAATTTTGCACAAATATTGTTGCAAATTGGTGGTGTTTTAATGCAAATGGGTCATTCTTTTTGGGACAAAGTTTTGGCCAAATGGGTCGTTCTTTTTGGGACAAAGTTTTGGCCAAATGGGTCGTTCTTTTTGGGACGGAGGGAGTATATACATACTTCTAAGTGCTACATACATCATTATTGAGAAAATAAAGTGGGAGCTCATAGATGAAGGTTTCGATTCTCGTTACCTTCAAGTTCAACCTTTCCAATGGATAATTCCTAGATAAGATTTCCACGTTAAGACCCCTTAGTTTAGTAAATCTTCAAAACGAAAACTTAGGAACTTTGACGTCATGTTGTTTTTGGTATTTTGGTAATAAATAATGGTATAAAATTCTTCACAATATTTATTCATTTTAATTTCTAATTTGCACTTAATACTTCATACGTTAACCTAATACTTTAATTGGATAAGTTTTAGACTTTAGTCAAATCTTATCTCATAGTCAATTCTTGAAGCTTTACTACTTTTATTTACTTGCATTATTTTTGACAACCATACTTCAACGAAATACAAAAGTATAAGTAATAATTTTAATTTCTATTATTTAAATTAAAGATTACCTAAGTTTTTGGTGGCCAAACTTTTCAAATAATAAATGCATAAGCTTTTAGCCACCCTTTCTTGATTGGATCCATTACAAAATAATTTTATAAAAATACCAAAAAAAAAAAAAAAATCTGTAAAATTGCTCTGCACAAGAAAATCATGGCGTCTTCGAAATTTAAGGCCTTTTGGAATCATCCAGCCGGTCTCAAAACAAGTTTGTTTTCCCTCTATTCCACCTTTAAAATCTCTAAATATTGCTCACTTTTTTTAGCATGTAATTATGTAAATGCTTAATTTCTCGAGATAATTCTATGTAAAATGTTGTTATTGTTATTGCGCTATAGATATGAGATATAATCAATAACGGTTAATATATAACTAGTAGTTGAATCATTTTTCAATTTTAATCTAATTGTTACTCTGTATAATGAGTGTAAAATAATCTTTGTAATTCTGTTTGAATTATTTGAATGAATTTTGGTTATTCTAGAATTTGGATTATAATTACTAGTATTTGATCCATCAAATTAAATAAACAATACAGTTCACTTTTGGGCACCAACGTTCAAATGGGGTCTTAGCATCGCAAATGTTGCAGATTTTACCAAGCCACCCGAGACGATTTCGTACCCTCAGCAAATCGGTTAGCCTATTTAACATTTATTTACAACTTGTTTGGATAGCAACGTGGTAGCAAAAGGGAAGGGAACGCGAGAGCATTACTCTCGACCCCTTCTCTTTTTACTAAAAACCTCTCGTCCAAACACATTGTTAATGATATATTGATATTAAGTTGTTGCATATTTGGTCATATGTTTGGAATTTTAGTCCCATTTCAATAGTCTAAGGGTATGGCAGATCGTGTCGATTTTTGCTTACAGTCGTAGCAGCCTCTGGACTTATTTGGACGCGATATGGCATGGTTATAACACCGGTAAGATTGTGTTTAGTATCTTCATATGATTTTCTAGTGGCCTTATTTGCTATTGATTTCTATATTCTTTACTCTTCTTATGTTTAAGTTTTGTGTTTCAATTGCAGAGAAACTGGAATTTGTGTAGTGTAAATTTTGCAATGTCAATGACAGGGTTTTGTCAACTAACTAGGAAGATTGGGTAATTTTTTGAATCATTACTCTATTTCTACTCATTTTTAGCATACTCAACCATTGTTATTTGGAGTTTACATACTTGTCCTCAAAATGTCACTTGAAAGTTAGTGAATTGAAATAGCTTAGTATAAATGTGGCCTATTATTTAGGGACAGATGGAGTACCTTTTCAGATGGATTAAACCATTTTTGTTAGACCCAAATCATTTTTTACATTTTTAGATTTCGCAATTTTCATTGTTGATAATCTTGATGCATTGGCATTTTGGCAGGTATGACATCTCTAATGAGAGAAAAACAAGTATTGTAAAGGAATGATTGATACAAAGTTACTAATCCTTGGTGTAAAGATCAAATTCTCTAGTATACTTCATTTGATTCCTGCTCTTGACACTTCGATCAAATTCGAAAACTTAACTCAAAATTTCTAGTTGATGATTGTTATGTTACCAAATGGAGAAGCACCATTAGCATATATATCTAGTTGTATTTTCGCCAGAGAATCGGAAACTTTGGAATTGATATGACAGTTTGTTAAGGAAGATTGTGTAAAGTTGTTACATGTGTAGTTATTACATTACAATTTACATAATTACATATCTTCTTCTAATGTATGTAATAGAATTGTAGAAACTTATGATATGATAAATAATCTCAATTGCAAAGTTCGTACTAGAAATAAATTGAGTAATTGTTGTCTATTAAGGGTTTGACAATTTGATTTATTCCAACACGACTTCGGATTGTTATATCGTGTTCCTCTTCCATTTAAATACTAAATTACACAAATGCTGGTTTATTATCAATTGAAATTACATTATTAATGAAAGTACTCTAATTTTAATGTGCCTCAAATTCATTGACAAACTAATTTTTACTTTTAATGTGCCTCAAGTAGGTGTTTCATGTGTGGTTACTACATTACAATTTAGTGAATTTACATATCTTCTTCTAATGTAGTAGTATTGTAGAAACTTATGATATGATAAAGAATCTCAAGTTTTAATATTCACGGAGTACATTTTTAAGACAAAGAAAAAAGAGTTAAAATGGTTATTTATGTTTTAATCGTATTATTCTATGACATTTATGTAAAAAAAAAAAAAAGAATAAATCAAGGTGGTCTTTTTGTTATCCTTCAATTGTAAGAATGTTGGTAATAATACTTCTACGGTTTATATACTCTAAACAAATAATTTCAGCTCAACCGTGAAGAAACAAGCCTAATTGTCTAATTTATAAGATCACTCTATCTAGTTGTGGAGTTTTTTTTTTATTTCCTTGAAACAAAATCACAGTTTTAGGGCCTGTTCTAATTGACTGAAATGAGCTTAAATGAAATGAGCTGAATATTTTATGAGAGCAAGAAATTAAGAATTGAACTGAAAATAATATTTTTATTTTTTTTGAAAAGTAAGGTACTTTGAGGAGTTTAGGTACGTCTTCTCGCAAGACCGTGACCTAAACTATCAAGTAGCAAAAAATAAGAAAATTTACTATCTAAAAAAGGATCTATATCTTGATGAGTCGGAGTTGAGTAGCCGAGAGAGGCAACATAGTCTGCTGCCCGATTGCCTTCCCAATAGATGTGTGTTTGCGTGAAAATTCGTAAAAGAATCCAAAATAGCCTTGACATCCGCCATAAGAAGCTGAAGTTTCCATGGACGACTGAAATGACCCTGCAAAACATTAATGACAGTAAGATTATCGCCTTCAATAAAAATATCAGAAATAATATGAAGAGAAAATACCCTAGACTCTTAATTAGTTAGACTAGGTTCAATATTTTGTATGAACTTGTTCCCACAGTAATATGTTTGCCTAACCGTTTTCCTAACAAAAAAAAGTACGGTGTTTTTTTTTGTGCTTCTTTGTCAAGAAATCAGTAAACGGCACCGTTTTGTCAAGTGTAAAACTAAGAATAACAATTCCCCCACTTTCTCTTCCTTTGTTCAGATTCTGGGAAGATGGCGGCATCAATGTTTCTTCGAAGATCGCCATTAAAGCTCCTACCTCAATGTCGAAGCTTCTACTTTCTCTCTCCTCCTTCCTCTTCTTCTTCTGCTTCAACTTTCTACAATAATCAGCTTCTTCGTCTTTGCTCCAATGGCTTCCACTCTCTCTCCAGCATTCCCGACGAGGTATCTTCTCCTTTTTCAGTTTAATTTTGGTTTCGTTTTTTCTAGGGCTTTTATTTTTCTCAATTTCTCCATTGCAATTCAATTATACTTGTAAATTGTAATATTGACTCAGAGTTTTGATGTTCTGAACTTTAATCGAAGGAATGATATGGTTTTTATAATGTGAATTTCAATCTGGAAATTTGGATTGATTTTATACCTGATTTTGAGTACGAATTTATAAATCATCCGATTTTTATTAATATTAAATAAAATAATAAATAAATATTTGGAAATATTCACAGGAAAAATGTTGGAACATATATATAATTGAGCTTGTAATATGATTTGGTATATTTATGTTAAGTCTTTAATAAATTTCCAATATTTAGTAGTGTTAATCGAATAATAGAGGTATACAAACTATGAATGGAGCTTGTAATATGATTGTGTATTAGCCTTGTTGAACAACCAAGAGTAATTGCATCTTCGTTGTATATGAATGGAGTTATCGTTCCGTTGTTCTAGACTTCTAGTATGAGTCTTGGTAAATTACGAATACGAATGTGGGAATTCGATACATCTACATTCATCTTCCCTACATTGTTAAACAAAGATTAGGAAAAAGGTTCATTGACATAGGGTTATTTTTACACCTTGTCATAAAGTTACTTTTTTTTTTTTTTTTTTTTTTTTTTTGCTTTTGACACAAGTATTTAAAATCAGTAACCCTCAAACATGCAACATATTTTGGGATGGATTAGTATGTATCAAATTATTAATGAGGTTGTTCTTTGAAAAGTTGTCCAAGTGAAGAGAACTTGGTTGCATGGGTTTATTGCTCAAGTAAAAGGCCTAATTTCAACTCTTTTGGTTATTGATAATTTCTAGTAATAGAAGCTACTTATGGCATTGATCAATGATAGTATAATATTAGTTGCATGTAGAAGCAGTTTATACATTGTCTGTTGGGGTAGTAGGGAAGAAAGAAGGCTTAAATATTTCAACTCGGAAGTATTTGTGTGTCTTGACCATATTCATCAGCTATGAGGCCTATGACCCAAGGGTTGGTACTTGTAGTCCAATTCTCTAATCAACAATTTTTGTTTGAACTCAATTATGGGGAAGGTTAGCTCTATAGACTTAGTTGAGGTATACTTTATTTGATGCAAAAATTGTAGCTTTGGCCTGGAAGAACCTCAGGTGAAATCTCATATTTGAGTAATGTTCACAAGCTTTTACTGAATTAATAGTTGAGGTTGATGGAGCTAAATTAGCTGTGAATATGTTAAAGGAAGCAGAAACTTTGTTGGAGAAAGGCATAGGAATACCAAAAAAATGTTGACCTATGGAAGGATTTGTCCTTGTATAATGGGAGTATGGAATACTATATGCATGAAATGAACTATTGACTGATTGAGTGTGAGACAGGAATCAGTTAGTAAACAGAATATGCAGCATCCAAGGGCTTCGGATTTCTGAAGCAGATAAGAATAAAGCAAATTTGTTGATAATTGCAAGATATAGTTCAAAGTTTCTTGGAAAGAACTCATTAAATTTTAGAAAATGATGTTAACAGCAAATAAAAGATCATTTTTAAAAGAAGAGGCAGAAGTTCAAGGATACGAGGGGTAACTGGGTAAGGAATGACAAAGCTGTGCTCTGTAGTCCAACATTAGGTGAAAAGTATGTCAATGTGATGTATGTTAAGAAATTGGTTACTATTTGTCATTTCCTAGGAATTCTAGGATAAGCTTGGATACAATTAGGAAGCAGCTAATGTACTCTTCAAAAAACTCAAGTATAAAACTTCAGATTGTGGTATATTGTGAATTTTTAAAATAAAAATTTATGCTTGACTCAGGCTTTCCTGTAATTAATGCTTGATGTCAGATTGTTAGTTAGAGAATGCTTATTAAGTAACCGGAAGCAAGGGCACGAAAAGGTGAAACTTTTTTTGATGCCTGGTCTAAGCAAGTACTCCGTAATTTCATATTTTAGAGATGGAATTATGAAGTCAAAAATTTTGTCTCTATTGTTTAGAGCTGGATCAATCCTTTTCACTGCTCAGAACTTCTTGCATCTGTTTTTATCTTTTATGTTTGTGTTTTTTTAGCCATAGGGTCATTTTTGTCCTTTTTTTTCCTGCTTTTCAGTTAATGCTTGCATTTCTAATTATTAAATTGGACCAAGTTCCCTGATCATTTTTTTGGGTACACTTTTCAGGAACAATTGTCTACCATGACATCTATATATGATGGTCTAAAGAGGTTGTATGAACAAAAGCTGAAGCCATTAGAGCTTACTTATCAGTTTAACGATTTTGCATCACCCGTGTTAGTAAGGGACTAAAGGCACAAGATTTGCCAATTTTCTGTTTATTGACTCGTTCTCCTATGTTTGTAGTGATAAAGTCAGTTAATTACTTGTTCTCAAATGCCTATTTCATTATCTTACCATTTTCTCTTTCCCTTTCCGTGTCACAGACAGATAGCGATTTTGATGCAAAACCTATGGTCATGCTTCTTGGACAGTATTCCACTGGGAAAACTACTTTCATCAAGCACTTGCTAAAAAGTTCTTATCCTGGTAGTTATATAATGCCTTTTCTCTCTCTTTTCTGTTGGTCTAATTCAAATTGTGGAGTGGTAATACCATTTCTGACAGACCTCCTTTACTGGTTATTGCAGGAGCACATGTCGGGCCAGAACCAACCACAGATAGATTTATTGTCATTATGGTAAAAGATTATTATCATTCTTATTCTTGTTGCAGAGCTCAAAGATTGAATTTCCTCCTGTTCTGTTTTGGTGGAGTAATTGCTGTTGTAGGTTTTTTTTTTCTTTTTTTTCTTGGTTAATCTGATATAGATTTCTGCAGTCTGGCCCTGATGAAAGACGTATTCCGGGCAACACAATTTCTGTTCAAGAAGACATGCCGTACAAAGGTCTTACGACATTTGGGTCTGCGTTTTTGTCAAAATTTGAGTGTTCCCAGATGCCACATCCAGTGAGTTTGCCTGCAACATTTCTTAACGTATACATCTTCAATATGTACAGTAGCAGGAAGTGAACTTTCTATTGTTTTATCTTAAAGCTTTTGGAGCATATGACTCTCATTGATACCCCTGGGGTATTATCAGGTGAGAAGCAACGAATAGAAAGGAGTTATGACTTCACTGGTGTGACATCTTGGTTTGCTGCCAAGTGTGACCTCATCTTACTCCTTTTTGATCCCCACAAACTTGATATTAGTGATGAATTCAAACGTGTGATTTCATCGCTACAAGGCCATGATGATAAGATACGTGTTGTTTTGAACAAGGCAGACCAAGTGGACACTCAGCAGGTGAATGGCAAGTTCAAATTCAAAATACAGTTTTAATTTTTTCTTCTTAGAAGTGCTCAGTGGGATTGCTATAAGTTGATTAATTAATTCTATTTTTTTTTTCATCTCAATCCCTGTTTGGATATGCGGCAGTTGATGAGGATTTATGGGGCATTGATGTGGTCACTCGGGAAGGTTTTAAACACTCCTGAGGTTACTCGTGTTTACATTGGGTAAGCTTCATCCAGTTGAGCTTAATATGGGACTTGAATTATCTTGTCAAAATTGAACTGCTTATGAAATATGTTAGCTCTTTAAGCTCTTACAGCTTCTCGCATGTTTATGAGCCATAATGCTCAATTAATTTCATGAGGGTACATAATTTACTAATTTTGTCATGTATGCAGCTCTTTTAATGATGGGCCTTTAAATGAAGCAGTTGCTGGTCAAATGGTACGGGATCTTTTCTTAAAGGAACAGAATGATCTTCTTGCTGATCTAAAAGACATTCCAAAGAATGCTTGTAACCGAAGAGTAAGTCTGCTGAATTCATTTGACTAGGATTATGAATCAATTGCTATCAGTGTTATTGTTAGAAATGGCAATGTGATTTGCCATTAGGTTGCTAGCTCGTGTTGTGAACTTGTAGCAGGGATTGAACTCATTGAAGTTCCTAGAAATAAGCTGATACTTATTTTTTGTGTGTTGAACTCGTTGAAGTTCCAAGAAATACACACAAAATATCGGATACTTATGCTGTTGTTTGATCTCCAGGTTAACGAATTTGTGAAGCGTGCTAGGGCAGCAAAGATTCACGCTCTTATCATCAGTCATCTGAAGAAGGAGATGCCTGTTTTGATAGGCAAGGCCAAGGCGCAAGAGAGTCTTATTGAGAACTTGGAAGTTGAATTCAGAAAGGTTTCTTGCTTACCCATACTCTCTTCCTCTTTTTGTATGTATGATATCTGCAAATAGTTTATGCTATACCCTCTGTTAATCGAGATCTAAACTTTTTCTTCTGCTTAGATCCAAAGGGAGTACCACTTACCAGCAGGGGATTTTCCAAATGTGGAGCATTTTCAGGAAGTTCTCCGGGATTATAACATTGACAAATTTGAGAAGTTGAAACCGAAATTGATTCAAGCTGTTGATGAGATGTTAGGTTATGACATCCCAGAGCTTCTCAGGAATTTAAAAAGTTTAGACAATTAATGATTTATATTGTAACAAAGCTTGCCAGTTCAGGATAAAAGAAAATGTTACAAGCAAAACTAATCACCAATGTAACCTTGGAAATTTTGGTTGATTATGATGTTATACGCCCTGTTTTTGTTGGGGAAATGTCATATTTGGGTAGTTTCACCCTTGCATATTGTGTTGTATGCTTGACTGATTATATCCTAGCGCAAAAAAATACCCCTAAAGTGGTATACAAACTGGTTACTATTATGGTTGCAGCATCTAAAAAAGATGTAGCTTAAAAATGTTTTTTTTTTTTTTTTTTTTTTTTTTTTGGGGGGGGGGGGTAGAGCAAGGGACATTAAAGAAAGTACATGTTAATTTGTTTTTTTTGGGGGTAGAGCAAGGGACATTAAAGAAAGTACATGTTAATTTGTTAATTGAATGACTGCTTGATATGCTTTGCTGGCAATAAGCACATTCACTTCTTCCAATTACATGCACCTTTTTTTAATCACTATAACAAAAGAGTAGGATCATAAAAAAGGTAACATCATCACGAGGAACTCTGAATATACACGGGCTCAGCCCCTCACAAGCTTCAGAGGCCTACCACTGTTTCCATTCTCGCTAACTATTTTCTCATTTGCGTAAATAACTCGGGCGGTGCAGATCTTCCTCCAACACTGCTACCAAACGCAGAAAACCCACTATTCCCTGGTTTACCAAAAGCGCCAAATCCACCAGCTGCAAAATACAAACAGAAAAATAATCAGCTAAAAAACTTTATGAGGTGCAAAGGCCAAAAGTATTCTCAGGAAACTTACCCCCACCCGCAGCACCAGCAAACCCGCCTCCGCTTGGGGCTGCAGCTGCAAACCCTCCTCCGCTTGGAGCAGCAGCCGCAAATCCTCCTCCGCTAGGAGCTGCAGCAGCAAACCCTCCTCCACTAGGAGCTGCAGCAGCAAATCCTCCTCCACTAGGGGCTGCAGCAGCAAATCCGCCCCCGCTAGTAGCTGCACTAGCAAAACCGCCACCAAAGCCACTGGCCACCGAACTAATGCCTGCAAATCCACCAGCTGTGGTTGTATTTTGAAAACCACCAGCTGGAGATTGAGGAACCCCAAAACCACTACCAGGTAAGCCAGCACCAAGTTGCCTTGATTGTCCAAATGAACCAAGAACCGACCCCAAAGCCTGTTGTCCTGAGCCAATCTGTGATGGCTGACCAAACCCACTTCCCGAGGAAACCTGCTGAAGTGGATTCGCAAAACCGAATGCACCAAAAGAAGCTCCTGTATTTGAGGGCTGTGAGGGTTGGGAAGCCTGCAGAGATTGAAAACTAAAAGATGCAGGACGAAACAACTCTTCAGAAGAAACATTTAGAGAGATTGAACTCGACATAGTTTGTGGTGCACTAGTAATTGGACCGCCAAATGGATTAGATTTGGGAGTTGTAGCATTGGGTGCTGATCCTAAGCCAAATCCAGCCAGGCTTCCTAGAGAAAGCTCTGCGGTTTGATTTGTCTCAGGTGCTACTTCCTCCATTTCATCTTCTTGGGCAACAGTAGCATCAATATCACCCTTTCCAACAGTTGTACCTCCAACTTCAGGAGATGTTGAGGCAAGTGCTTTTGGGACCTCAGCTGAAGGAACAGATGGTATCATATTCAAAAAATTTGAGCCGCCGCTGGTTGAAGAGGCCAACTTTTCAGGAGACTGTGGAGTTGCAGCCAGACTATTAGCTGCACTTTCTTTGTTAGCAGCAACTTGAGGCCCTGCCGTTGAAATCTTTTCGGCTAAATTCAGAGAAGGTCTGGTAGAATCAGAATCTAACACTTCTGTACTTTTGGAAGGCGGAGTAATCGCAGGAGCTTCTTGTGGTGTAGAAACCGAAATTGATGATGTCGAAAATCGTGAAACCTCCTTAAAATGGTTAGAGATAGATGAGGATGAAGATGCTGCAAGAGAGGAAGATACAGAAAAGGCTGAAGAGGAGAATTGTAAGCCTTCCTTGTTATCTTTGGCCATCTCTGCATTGGTTGTAGATCCACCCACGGATGTAGTTGATAAGGTCTGCATACTCAGATTAGGTAATGAAGAGTTGACTGGTGGAAAGATTGATAAAGGTGAGGCTCCAACATCTTGCTTACTAATCGAAACAAAGCTTTGATCACCAACAGGCTTTGTTTCAGTCTCCTTTTTACCAAAAGTTGGTACTTCACCACCTTTTATTGAGAAGGAGAATGGTTGTGGATGATTCTTTTGGATGATTGATTCTTCTTTTCCAAACTGTAACAAAGAAGGCACTGTGTCAGCTGAAGAAGTACCAGACCTGTCAATATTCCCTATCTGAGACCCTGGTCTTTCAGCAGTGGAACGAATATTTCCTTTATTTGCATTTGGATCGACAAATGGTGATAATAATGATGAAGATGAAATTTTTTGGGTAGCCTTAATACTATCTCCTTGATTAAACTGCCATCTGGGAGGTTGCTCAGTTTCAGCCTCTGACAGTCCAGGGATGCTTCCAGTCCACTTGAATTTGGATACGGCTGCTGTATCAGCGCTGAGTTTTTGTGATGTGTCATTGCGTCCTGTGAAATGTACAAGTTTTCAGATTGCAAATAATTTTCTTTGAGTTTGAAGGGAAGAGAGAGAGAGAGAGAGAGGAAGGGGGGGGGGGGGGGGAAGGGGAAGGGGTTGAGTAGGGGTTGGGTTACGGAATCCTTTCAAGCAAACTTGTTTAACATGAATTTAACTAAAGAATACCAGTCTCTGATTATCTTTGCTTACCATTTCTATCTTGCACAGAAAGAACCTTGGAATGATTGGCTACTGACGCTTCCATTTTGCCAGGACTGGCAAATTGCTTATCCATTGAAGAAAACAAACCTCCAACCTTCTGTCGCTCATTCTGAACCACCATCCTTTTTACTGTGGTTTTAGCAGCCTCAAAGTTAACCCAATTCTGAAAAGAAGATTAATAAGGAACTAGAAAAAAATATAGATAAGAAGGGAAAGCATACCACATGAAGCACCTAAATATGAATTAAAGTGGCTCCTTAATGGGGATGAACATATAACGATTATCCGCAGACATGAATTGTAATAACAGAAAATATTTTAGTAATCAAGCTGTCATTAGTATTCTTAACATATTAGAGCATAAATGAATGCCTGGCTTAGTTATTGTCATCAATATGAGATTTAGGAAAGAACAAAAAGCCAGCAGATGATAAAGAATAATCTAAGACACCCAATTCAAGTTTGAACATTTGTAATAGTCCAGCACCATTATATATCGATTTCTTAAAAATTAAAAAAAATACTTAAACCTTGAGCAAACTGCATTAAGTTCCTTGTTTGCAACTTCTACTATGCAATGTAATAGTCTAGCATCAATACACAACAACAGAATCATTACTAATTAACTAAACAAAATCAGACCAAAAGCAGCCTCTTGCCACCTATGATTGTGAACACATACAATGGCTAGTTGGCTACCCAACACCAGTAAATTTTCAATTGAAGGTCACAGCCTGTAATTTCAAGGTAAGAAAGAACATATTTAAAGATCCCATTTAGTCATCTGGCAACAATAATGCCCATACAGGTCTTTTATTTCATGATACTCACAATTTCTTATACAAGGTACACGGTTCCTCATTCATAATCATATCATACCAAGCAAGGGTTTGAAGAAATTCATTTACTGTTGACAATATCGCAATTTGCAAGCTTTCCCAGAACACTCATTTTAAAAGTTTAAATTTTTAATACCAATCACATGGCGAAACACTTGCCAAATAATCTTCAGAGATAAAACAATATCAGACTCGCCAACATTTGGACCATTCTCACATGGCCTCCTCACTTAGGGTGATAGACAAAATATAAATTAAACAAAAACAAGGCAGCATATTAAATATTCTAGAGTGTATTCAGGGTTGTACAAATATCATATTTCACATGGAAACTTCACAGGGCAGAATGTTGAAAGCTGTAGCATGTGGGAAAAGATCATAGAAACAGTTAAAGGAAATCTTTACCCTATCTAGTGAATCCCTCCTTCTCCTTGCAGTTTCAGGCTCAGGATTGCTTACACCCGTCAATTGGATCCTTTTAAAATCACTACGAGTTTCACTCGAGCACAAAACCAATGGATGTCTGTTTGAAGGAGAATTCATCACCTTTACTGTGCCAGGAGAACGAAGAGGACCATCAGGGTAAGGTATTCCAATAGACTCAAACACTTGCTGTTTCACAGTAGCTTGTTTTGTAGGAGGTGATTTCATGCTCAGTACAGCCATTTGTTTGGACAGGGAGTCAGAAAGTTGATTTGCAGCAGCTAGCTGTGAAATTGCCGCATTATGAATAGCGTGCAATGACTGGTTGTGCCTGCAGAATAATTGTCAAGTAAATATGACAGAAACCTTTTTAGGAGGGGAGAGGGAAGGGACTACAAACAGTCAAACAGAGAGTCAAATTTTTAAACCAACGAATGCTGGGTCATCCATTAAACATGCCCCCAACAAGAAGGAGCTTCAAGGAATTGGAAACAGGTATTATTGAAACTACTGAAGTCTTCTGGATAAACTACAGAAACTACTTGTTAAAAACATGATTCATTGAAAGGACAATAAAAGAAATCCCAGAGACCCAGAGTTATATTATCATTCAACCATAGCTCCTAGAATAGACTTTGCCAACAACAAAAACAAACAGAAAAATTAAATCCCCAAGCTGTTCGGTGTTCGCTCTGACTGGTAGATCTAGTAAATCATTATTTCGGATGTCACTTCTCTCAGCATCTGAAATTAACAGTGATGAGTTCTCATTGGGCATGATGCAGCATAGTTTCCTATTCCAACACTAGGACTTAAAAAGGCATGACGCTTCTATGTTAAACGAGTAAATGAATGAATCACCAATGTGTTATAGACCCGGTGTCTACCACCACTAAGCCAACAAGGAATACAGTAGCACACTAGCACTAGAGGACAAAAGCAATTAAGAAAGCACTAAGGAGAGGGGGGGCATGGGACTGATTTCTGATTTTGTATGGCAGCAGTAGAGGACAAGAACAATTAATATTAGGTTAATATTTTGTAATGTGGCTTTAGTATATAAAGAGTAGTAGTGAAGGCAGTAGGACATTATGTGAATTGTGGAGGAAATATGTTGAGAGTAGTAACCTCAAGTTACTAGGAGAGTGATAGCCTAAAGTTATCAAGAGAGAAATAGCCTCAAGCTATTAACCTATCCTTTGTAACCTTTCAGCCATTATCAATCAAACTCTAAAGCTTTCACCTTTATTAACACTTAGTATTCATATAATATTTTTAATCAGAAAATCAGTCTATTACACAAAGTGAGTTCCATAGACAACAAAACACATGCTCATCAAGCCAACATACAAATAAGACCAAGACAAAAGGACCCCATAAATTTGTGCTGTATAAGAACTCCATAAGTATCATAAAGTCCTGTCACAGGTCATAAACTCAGTCAAATTAGACATATTAACTGCGTCAGATGACCTCTTCTATGTTCTTTATTTTCCTTTTCCTTTCTTGATGGGCTATAAACATAAATCTCTCATTATTATAAGAAAGAAAAAAAAAATACATTAAAGGCCCACAGGCAGGAATCTAGCAAAAAACAGCTAAAAAAAAAGGAACCATGACACTAATTGCTTCCATAAGACTAAGACCACAAAAATGCTACCTTAGGTCATGTTCTCCTTTAGCTTCACTCTTCCTTTATTAAAGAGCATTATTTAAGCTTGACTTTACACGATTTAACTTCAATGTATCACTGCTCCCATGTTAGCCTGATATACAGATTCATTTTAGTTTTAACCCTGTCCTAGTACCCATGAAACAGCACATCCTAATCTCAGACCTCAAAATTACACAAATAATATAATGTTCATGTAAAGACTATAGACATTAAAAAATACTTCTGTTTGGGTTCATAAAAAAGTCTTATTGTAGCACAAAACTCTCAAGCTACTTGCCCATTTCTTGTGCAAGCTTGCACTCTGATGATTGACTATTTTTATTAGCTTAAATGTTCCTCCAAAAACATTCAATATGTATATGTGCTGCTGATATAATCTTTGATACTTTTTCCAAATTCTAAGTTCATGTCAGTGCGTTTTTTTTTTAAATACATAGACAAAATTATCAAGTGACATGAACAATGTAGAAATCCAAAACTATTCTAGTTGACCAGAGGACCATGATATAAACCAACATCCATAGAAAAGCGTTTGCATCTCCACCAAACATTCAAAAACTTCCAAAATGGACATATCTAGACCTCAATCTCTTTTCACCACCCTTTCCACAATTTCTGGATGAGACATGTTGCAATCAAGAAATTGAACATTCCAACCATCCACATCAAAAGCCCTATTCCCTCTGGGTTTTAGTTAAGTGTTATAGTTTGACTTTTTGCACTATCCACATATTACCTTGATTTTTCAACCAGTATATAAAATTAGAAGCAATGTTATTGTGTAATATGTTATTAGAATAGTTACAATTTAATAATTTTTACTAATAGATATTGAAAGATATTAGTGGCCAAAATTGTATCTTAACATGCGTACCCAGTCAAGCTATAACACTTAATAATAAAACAATGGCAATATCATTTAAGAACCTACAGGCCGAATTGCTTATTACTCCAAATCACATATCAATCAATCAATACGAGTATTTCGTGATCCTATACCAATAACTTTTAAAAAAGAGCTGTACTTCAATCCAATTATTATATTCGTGTCACCATAACTTAATTTTAACTCTATAGCTCATCTCATTTTTGCTTTATTCAAAAACGTTTATACCAACTCAAGAAAATATGTAACATTGAACCAGCTATCATCAGCATTTATCACTAATGTAACTTGAAGTTAAAAAAAAAAAAAATAATAAAAAAAAATTATAAGATAATGCCAAGTCATCATATGCATTTACTAGTAGCACTATTAATCTTTTATTGTCAGAATATTTTCTTTTTCTTACATATTTCAATACAAATAACATATAAACATAAAATAACATTTTTTTTTATTGATGTTATTTTTTCAAATACGAAAAAATGTGCAAAACAAACCATTATCTTACAAAAAAAACTAGAGAATTTTCGTCACTTAATTAGTGAATGAATAACCCCAATGTCAATAAAGTTTCTTTCTTAGAATTTACTTAGCAAAAGAAACAATTGATGATAATACTAGTATCTAGTAAATACTCTGTTTATTCCATTTTAACAGACAATTAACTTTTTAAAAATTGTTCCACATTATCTGTCATATAAGATATCAAAGCCACAGAATTTGTTTGTTTAAGGTGTCAATAGAATATTACCAGACAGTTTTAAAAAAAAAACGGTGCATCAAATAAAAAATCTGAATTCGAAAGCAATTAATTGGGATCAGATAGTATATAGTAAAATCTTATGTTTCAAAGATGTTCTGCTTAAAGATCAATTAATTTCAGGTGAAGAAAACATAACCTTAATATGTAAGGATAAAAAAAAGGTCACACCCATCACAACTTTAAGCATAAGGCACACATCAAGCATCTGACTTTCTAAATATTTTTTAAAAAAATGCTCATATGCAAGTGCAGACCCCACCACTGGAGGATGCTGGCTGGATGAAACAATTCAATACCTTGATGGCGCAGATCTGGAATGGAGAGCTCGAGAAACCAAGTTTGCCCCACTGCTTTCACCAAACAGGTTCAGCTCAAGATTATTGAAATGCCTTTCTAGTTCGATCATCCGATTAGTCAGATCCTGTACAAAAAAAAAAAAAAAGTTGATAGATGATCCACTTGTTAGAATACTTCGAATAACACTAATGACACATCGTAGTTTTGTATCCTCAGTCAATTTTAATGAAGCTATTAAATTCAGAGGCATCCATCCTTTATTTTGTTTTTAAACCTAAACTACATTTCATACAGAATCACAGGAGCTACAGCCACTCTTTATCATCTTCCGCATCACTACCACAGTACCAGCCTATCCTTATTCCTCATGATCACCACTGTCACACTCTATAACATAAACTCCCTTGTATCCCTCTATCATCAAAAGCACAACAAAGAAGCACCTACAGTCGTATTCAAACTTCAGATCCGAAGTTTTAATACTCGAATTCAAATTCAACTATAAATTCCAATCTAGAGTGCCCAAAAGCAATGTTCTCCAAACAGATTTTCATAGTAGGAATTTGTATTTGAAGATCTGACGTAAAGGTCACTATCAAGATACATCAGTCCTCAGGCAAAATCCAATCATACATTAGTGTTGAAAATAATGCAGACAAGCAAAGGGATGATTGCAAAAGACTTCAAAGCCTATTGTTTAACAAAAAGATATTGGGTAATTCTATAACCCCTCCCCATCCAACAAAAAATTGAAGAAAATTAGGTGACCCCAAGTTTTGACACCCAGCTCCAATGCATTTCTATCACCTTCCCATAAGAACAACAAAAGCTGCATGATAGGTTTTACAATGGGTATATATATAGTCCTAGAGTACAACCTACTGCATGTTTTAGCTCAAATAAAGCTTTCTTACCAGTTTTCTGTGCCATATAATCAAATATTCCTATGCCAAATGATCATTACCAGTTTTCTTCATGGCATGGTTTAGTAGAAGTCCTGACCAAATGCTGTTTCCAACAGGCTAGAAAATTGGAAACAAGGATGTACCTCAAGTTTCTATCATAAGATGTACATTTTATTTTTATTTTTTGAGGAATTATGATGTACCAACGGAAATTTCATATAATAGTTATCAGCTTATCATGACATTTTAAAGCAAATATCCAGTGCTTCACCCTATGAAATTACAAACAATCAATAGGACACGATATTTATCAAATCCAGACACGCCATGCAAGTTATCTAAATCCCCAGGCTAGCCTGAAAATCGCTAAAAGCATCTTATGCAATTGAGTCTAACTAACCTGATGACTTTGCCATACGATTAATAGTACCAACAAAACTAAACCCAGATACTGCAAGAAAATAGGCTACTGACTCGCTTCATTTACCCAGTCATACAATGTTCTTATAACAAGGATGAAAACCCGAGTTTGGCACCAACACTGAGTATTGTAGAGATCAATAATCCACTTGAGCAAGCATAACTGCAAAAACTCGTGCTTTTGTAGCACAAAAAAAAAAATTGTACCTGACTCCGATTTAACACGTTTAGTCGCTTTTGATCGAGTTCTGAATTTAACTTTTGACGATTCCATAAATCCCAATATTGTCCATCAGTAGTCTGCCTCACGACACCTTCCATGTGTGTTTTCCTTGCCAAAACTGTAACACGATTGGAACAAAAAACCAGAGTAAAGGCCAATTAGTCAGGTCAGAAATTAAGGAGGCAAGTAAAACTGTTGATAGATTGGAAGATAGCATTTGAAAAAACACCAGAGTATCACATTGCTGAGTAATTAAGAAAATAACAAATGCATTAATGTATTATGAATGTTAGACGTAATATTAGACAATTTAATGGAGCCTTTCTATTCATGGTAACTTCTGTTAAGGACAAGAAAACAGATCCTACGGATTTTGGATAAAGCAAGGGTGAAAGCCTCATCATAAAAGGAGCCCAGAAAATAACATAAATGAACTAGGAACAATCACAAAAAAGCCAAAACAGGGAAAATCAAATGCAGAACCACAGCGAAATTGAACTTAGGTGCCAGTAAATACCTTGTACAGTCTTATCAAGAAGAAGTTGGATCTCTCTATGCTGTTCCTCTGTATGATTCTTCAGAAAATATAAGCAAATTATGATTAGTAAAAAGAGTGTGTTTTGTGTGTGTTTAATTATATATATATATAGGGGGAGGCTCTTGTGATAATTTTTCTTATGTGAGAACACTTTTTATGTTCTAAATTTTTACTCGTATGTTCTAAATTTTAAATCTGATGTTCTAAACTTTTTCCCAGGTGTTCTAAATTAGTACTCACATGTTCTAAACCATAATTTAGTTAAGTTAGATTTATAAATTTCGAATGACTTATTCCGAAATTTTAACTTATATGTTCTAAATTTTTGAACGTGCGTGTGTTATAAGATTTTTAGTTATATGTTCTAAATTCGAAAGCATATGTTCCAATTTTTACTCACATGTTCTATATTTTTACTTATATTTTCAATATTTTTACTCCCATTTTCTATATTTTATACCACGTGTTCTAAATTATTTATTCACGTAATCTAAATTTTAAATAAGATGTTCTAAATTTTAATCTTATGTTCTAAATTTCATAAAGCAAATTTTTAAAATTTTACTCACATGTTCTAATTCTTGAATCAGATGTTCTAAATTATTGCTCGCACACATGTTCAAAATTATTAGACATATGTTCTAAATTATTAGTCATATGTTCTAAATTTAAATTTGAGTCGCATGTTCTAAATTTTTACTTGTATGTTCTAAATTTTCACTCACGTGTTCTAAATTATAGATCAGTTCTCATATAAGTATGAATTCTCACATATGAACCTATTCTCACCGGATCCCTCCCCTATAAAATAAAATAAAAAACATGTGGCTAGTAAGAACTGCTAGGGATCAAATGGGAAGAAAACTAGATTGTGCAGAATTAACAACTCCTTTCTCACCAGATTTTAATATTTCACTCATGGAGTGAATAAAGTATCATATCAATGAGCGAAATAAGCAAGTGCATGGATGCCCTTTATAAAGTAATAAAATGGTTCAAGTAATAAGCGCCAAGTTTCCAATGCCTCTCAATACCCATGGTCAAAAAGAAAGTCTAGTTAGAGATTATCCAAAAAAAATACAACTATTAGCTGCAATCAATATCACTTGGAAGGAAAGACTTCTCCACATATATCCCCATTTCATGGAGGTTTGAATAAGCATCCCATAGCTGTCATCTGATTCCTTTGATCAGATATGAATTCTGAACATCAAACCAGATCATACAAGACACAATTTAACAGATCCAAAGTCTAGTGAACTTCCAGCTAGCCTACACAGCTGGAAGTAGGGTGGAGAATTATGGGGCAAAAGAAGATAGAACAGAACAGTACGAAGCAAGAGCAATGATTTGCATTATTGTTAAAATAGACACCCCAACACTCCATAGAGAAACTCAGAAATCACATGGGATCAGAATAGTTGATAATTGATAGAAAGGCAGAAAGAGGAAGGCTTACGGCGCAAAGGGAGATAATCAGACATCAATTGAGATTATAAATTAAATAATATAAAAAAAATAAAATAAAATAAAAAAATTATGCTGCTTCCATGCATGTTAACCTAAATTTGCTTTGTATTACCCAATTTTGTGGGGCATCCCTCATCATTGGTCATATATTTTATAATTCTCAATACCATTTGAACTTCTTCAAGGTCCTGTAACTCAGGCTCACTTCAATGCTGGTCTGGCTAGGGCCTAAGGGTGTACTAGCAAGCCAAGGAAAAGAGAAAACCACAAGCAAAATGTACTACCATAGCACCACTAGGGCTTTAGTTACTAGCTTATTATAAGGGTGAGATTGGTAACAGTTGAGCCCATAACCCTTGAAAAGACTGCCCATATTATCTGAAGTCTTTGCTTCTTGATCCTTGATGATATTGGTTTATTTCATATCTTTGACAAAACCCTCATTGCCAGTAAGTATATCATGGTCAAATTCCTCAAAGGTATTACAAGGTAATATCATATACATCTTGACATACTCACATCCTGATAAACACCTATAGGTGGTGTATTGTTGTAGCTAAGCCAAATTCTTTTAAAGGAACATCTCAAATCTCTCCAGGTGTAGCGAGGAGTAGGGTTGAGTAATCTCCCCACCTTAACTCTCAAAGTCACAATATAGAATAAGTCAGGTATACCACATGCCTAGTTATCCTAGATCGCATAGAAGGCAAACCTTTGTAAGGTTGACCATTGCCACTTGGCTAGCAATATAGAGTAGGTCTAGTATACCATTGCCACTTGGCTAGCACTATAGATGAAGCCTATATAATAACCTACGATCCTATAGACACAGTTAAACATAACAGCTAGTGTAGTTCATGCCACTTGCAGTATCTAGCAATGAAAAGTGTACACAGGCACACAGCCTTAATTGTGAAGTGTAAACAATCAAAAACTGCAAAAAACAGTAGCAATTAGCAAGAAACCACAGGCAATGCAAGACTGACTTAGTCTACATAATAAACTACCTGCCACACTCTGTTCCTTTCAGAGAGACCATTCATGCCTTCCTCCAGGATTTTTAGAGAATTTCTATGAGCAGCTGTGCAAATATCCTTGAAACCTCCCTCTTCTTCTATAGATTTGAGAAGTTTATCCAACTCCTTTGCCATATTTTGTACCTAGCAAGAATATAGAAATTATGTCAGAATCTCAGGTTCAGATTTCAGACTCAATAAACACACTCTAGAAATACCTGCACTTACATAAAAATTCATTCAAGCAAAACAAGTCTCCACTTTTTAAAGGAAATACAAAGGAATCAATCAGTGCATACCCAAAGTAACATCAACACCCTGCCAATGACTATGACTGTTATATAAGACTATAAGCTAAAAGTGGAGACCTGAAAATAATGGATAATATAAAAATATCAAGAAGAGATGAAGATATTCCATAACCCTTGAAATGCCAAATATTAAGTAATTGACAGTTTGGTGCAGAAACCTGCATAAAAACATTAGGAATGGAGCTCTGTAAAGCTGCTTTACAATGTAAACCAGCAGTGGTGGATTTGGGGAAGGCAGAATGACACCAATAAGAGAAAAAATATTAATCTCCATCCCTAAAAGATTGGTCCATTACCTTTTTGATTTATCCCGAAAAAAATTTCCAATTTCCTTTCTATTTAACATGGCTTCCCATAATCTCTTACTACACCATTTTCTACTCAGAGTGCAAATTCTACAAAAGGAAGGGAACATGTCCACTGATCAAAAACATTTTAAGCTATATCAAGAATTCACTTAAATCTGATGATCTACTCATAAGATACCTAGCCACTCCACCCTCTCTCTAATAAGTAAACTCAAGAACGGTCAAGGTAGGCCAAAGAGGAAGGAGATCATATGAAAAGATGGCTTTTAAGGCAGGGGAGCATGAAGCAAACACATACAATAAGCAAAACAAAAACAAACCATATTGCAAAAGGAAAAGAAGCAAGGATCTTACATTGGAAAATTGCTTGGGTAAATTCTGCTCAGAGTTCAGCTGCCCAAGAGGAGAAGATTTCCTATCATTACCAAACATTGGAGGCACACTTTGACCAGTTAAATTCTGTAATTTGCTACTATCTTGTAGCAGCATTTTTGAGCCAGGAATATTAGATGGTAAGCCAGACATGCCACTGCTAGTTATTGATTTTTGACTGTGGTCCACACCATTTGTTGAAGAAACAAATGAATCTGATGGACGAGAACTAGAGTTTCCAAACAAGCTTTCAGAACTATTTTCTATGTTTGTGGATGTAAAAGGGCTACCAGATAAAGTACTTTTGTCAAAACTTTGTGGTGAAAATAGAGATCTTGAATTCGGTACACCTGAGCTACCCAGAAAACTGCCTGAAGTTGTGGGAGTTAGGGTTCTATTCAACTCACCACGCTCAGTCTTCGAATTTTCAGTCACAACAGTATTTCCTGCAGCAGAACCTAAGCCATGCAAGCTCTTAAATGGCGACTGGTTTAAATTTCCCTCTTGAGCCAGCCCCAATTGTCCAAAAGGCTTAGAGTTGTTGACATCTGCCACCTGCTTCTGATGATTGCTTCCAGAAATTAGTTCCTTTCTAGTGTTCTGATCAAAATTAGTAATACCAAGAGTGTATGCCTTCTGCTCAGGTAGCTCTTGAACCTTGCTAACAGGAACATCAAGTGCAGAGCTAATTTTCTTTTTACCAGGTTCACATAATCCCAAATCAAAAACAGATTGTTTAGACCTTTCCTCCTCCGATTGAATAGGAGCTTTACTAACATTTGAAGGTTCAACAGCAGATATGCTTTGCGCATCAGATGAAGCAACAGATGAATCCTGACTTGAGTGTTGAGACCCTGCAATACTGCAAGAACAGGCAAAAGTGATTCAGAAAATGGACAAGTGGGCAACATTATTAAGATTAGTGAGAGCAATTCAACATGTATGGGACTGAGTAGTCTCTCACTCACAAGTATTTCCATTGGGACATTCTACTAGGACTTTACAAAGGATTCTTTCTATGATGTAAACTATAGTTTTCCAGCACTACTAATGGATTACTGATCTTTAACATGTACAGAGAATTGTGTTAATTATTAAATTTATAAATATATATATGGGGGAAGGCTCTCGTTAGAAGTTTAGAACCCCTCCGTTATGTAAGAACCCTTTCTTATGTGAGAACACTTTAATGTTCTAAATTTTTACTCATAAATTCTAAATTTTAAATCTAATGTTCTAAACTTTGACTCTAGTGTTCTAAATTAAATCAGATACTCTAAATTATTACTCACATGTTCTAAAACTTAAATTAGTTAAATCAAATGTTATAAATCTTAAATGAGTTCCAAAATTTTAACTTATACTTTTTAAATTTTAAATCGAGTGTTCTAAGACTTTTAATCAAATGCTCTAGATTTTAAAGCATAGGGGAGCTCTAAATTTTTACTCACATGTTCTATATTATAAATTAGGTGTTCTGAAATTTTATTCACATGTTCTAAATCTTAAATAAGATGTTCTAAAGTTTACTGATGTGTTCTAAATTTTATAAATCAAATTATCTAATTTTTACTCACATGTTCTAATTCTTAAATCAGATGTTCTAAATTATTACTCACACAAAAGTTCTAAATTATAACAGATATGTTCTAAATTTTAATTTGAATCACATGTTCTAAATATTTACTCGTATGTTCTAAGTTTTTACTTACATGTTCTAAATTTTAGATCAGTTCTCATATAAGTATGAATTCTTACATATAGACCTATTCTCATATATGAAATGATTTGGATCACAAGAAAGATTTACATTAAACCAGAGCTCGACTACACAAAATCCATTTTAGGTAGTTGTTGTAGCTGTGGGTTGTAGCCATATTAAACATAATACAGCAATTCATCAATCTCAACGACATCTCAACGACGTTCATTGGGAGGACGAAGCTTTTTTACCTTGCAACATTGTACATAACAAGCTTCCCTTCAAGCGTCAAACACACAAGAAGGCAATGCGGTGGAAGTTCTCTCTCCTCTTCAACTCCGATCTTGACTTTCACATTTTCATAAACTGAAGATTTGTCAGCACAAAGCCCAAGGACCAAGTTTTCATCCCCATTTTCTGAAAATTAAAAATAAAAACAGATAAGGATATGCTTCACTAGAGTTCATGGCTTCATGCCTTACCTCTAAAAACCATGAAGATGTAAATATTTGCGAAATTCAAAGGAAATCAAAAATCAATCCCATTCATCCAACCATTGAGTCCCAAAATGAAAAGTGTGAACATTTCATCTCGAAAATTCAAATCTTAGTATAAACCAATCCCATTCAACTACAAATTATGCCCCGAAAAAAAAAAAAAAAAAAAAAAAAAAGGAGCTAAGATCCACCAGTAGCACAAAAATAATGTACCTTGAAGTTCTATTCTTGGCAACCAACTATCTCTCTCAATGTCAACCACAGAAACTTGGTTGTCACCTTGCGACCAATCAAACAACATGATATGTTGATCAGTATTCTTCCTATTAGAAACAAAAGCAAGTTCACTGCAAAAGTCCAAACAAGATCTCATTAATGAACACAAGTGAACATGACATTCTAATCAATGCTACTACTATTAAATAATGTTAAACTTCCAGGTGAAAATCAAACAAATTCAGTATTTGCTGCATTGCTCAACCAGAGAGTATAATCATACAAAAACTAGTGGAAGGTACGTCCAATTTATGTACAACTTTTGTTATAGACTGATGATACCAAATCTCCACAAGAGAACACATTGAAGAGCAGGGATGTAACAAACCAAGGATCACATGTTCATGCTGTCAAAAAAATAACAACATAAACACTGGGAGAAATGTGAGCTGAGACTATTGTAAGCAAAACTAGTTGAGAGCATACAAGTTACATGCCTTTATCAGTCAATTAATAATTAATGTCTCAACTCTCCTTCAGTTTACAATTACAACATCTTGTCCAAGACTCCAAGTATAGTGTGACAGGATTATTCATCCTATTGTTTTGGATACGTTTTCTTCTTTCGATGGATATGAGATCCGTACATTGCCTTAAACTAATAACCTCCTTAAAGAGCACTTGCGTTGTTGCCAAAGGGGCAAGGATTAATTTTTTAGCATTCTCGTGCTTTCCCTTCCTCGACCTCATTTTCCACTAACTTGACCCCCTTTTTTTTCCTCAATGTGGTTCAAAGATTACCACACTGTAACTTTTAAAACATCCCCCCCGCCCCCGAAAAATAAATAAATAAATAAATAAATAAAATTGTGCCGCGTACACAGATTTTGTTTTACAGAACTAAGATTATTCTATAGATATAAAAATGATTCCGTAGACAAATAGTGGTTATTTAAAAATTATAAGAATTAAATAAGGTGAAAAAAAGGTTGAAGAAAATAATCTGTAAATAAAAATGAAAAGAAAACAAATTCTTGAGAGCAATGAAAGGATTGTGATTTTGTACAGAAATTTAAGAAGAAATTGTAAGGGGGGTGAATTGGATCTATATTTATAGCCATTAAAATTACCTTCTCCACATATGCATAAAGCAAAACACAGATATCCAACAGTGGTTTTACCAAGACAAACTCGGACAACAAAGCCATGTGGCAAGGCATGAATGAGTGCAGCAATAGGTGTGTCCAGCATGCTACCCTCGTGAAGCGAGCATGCTTCAGCCAAGAAAACACGACATAACTTGAAAGAAGAATGAAGGAAGGCTAGGAAGCAACATGAAGTGTGCAGTTTTCGTCTTGCTACCAAGGAGACAAGGATATTGTTTTTGCATCATCACATGCCAACATGCCATTCTAAATTTCTTATAAGCAATATTTCACTATAGAAGCCATAGAAAAAATTTCATAAAGCTAAAATGAGCAAGATTCCTATAACTAAACCAGGCTTGAACACCTAAGTTTGAGGTGTAGGTTCACATTACTAGGTACATGGAAGACTAGCCAAATGAAATAATTAATCATGAGGGTACCAGTTAATTAACCTTAATGGTACCAGTTATTTCCCTACTACCTACTTCTTCCATACTCAACTCAACCACAGTTCAATCCCAAGACTTCAAGGCCCCTAAATACGCAACTACACATGGTCCAATCACCTCCTATAACAGAACCTATATCTCAGCACCTCAATGCAATCTCTGATGTTCACTGGAGGCTAGCCAAGCAACAGATCTCTCTCAGCTTTATCAGTAATAGAATTTACTGCATACTGGCCCAAAAGAGCGGTTACCTCTACTTCAACATCGTCAAGTCAGGTTCTTAATCACCTTATTGAATCAACAAACTTAATAAATTAATCTGCATAGGTCTACAAAGAAAATACTATTAAAACAATAAGCCATAAGAGAAATGAGTTCATAAGTGAAAGTACCAGTTTTCCAAATAATTCAAAAAAAGATGCGGCCCACAGCCATATGGCACAATATCATCAAGAATGCCAGTAAAAAGATCGCTAAAGTCCACTGAAACGAGCTTCGCAAAATCCTACAAGAATAATAAGGAGCTCACAACGTCAAAAGTAAGTACAGAAAAACAAGAAGGCTGTGTGGACAATACACTTAGCAAACAATAAAATCAAGCATTCTTTCTCATTAAAGGTATCAAAAGAATTCAATAGCAACCGACAAAAAAAATGAATATCCAAAATTTCCATTATCACTGTTGAAAACTGCAGTTCTGCAATACATCTTGGGAAGATGATTGAAGATATAAAAGTGATTCTGGAAGTAAGAAGCGATGCAAGCCAATTCCAAACAGTACAAAAAATAATTATCTGGACAATATTAAAGAAGACACAGAAATAATTTAATTTTAAAAAAAAAAAAAAAAAAAAAAAACAATTACCCAGTAAGGATTAATGGGATCCTCCAAAACACCAAGAGGAAAATAGAAAACAGCAACTCAAAGAATGATGTTTTTATAAAGGTTTTTAATTTTATGAGATTCTAAACCAAAAAACTCAAAGAACGGCGTCACTTTTTAATGACTTTTGAGCTCATTAATTTCCTAACTCCTTTTTGGGTGGATATTCAGAAATTGAGAGTCTAGAAGAACAGAATCAGTAATTCCTGAAACTAAAGAAACGCACCATAAAGGTGCTTTGAAGTGTATGTGTGACAAACCAAGCCTTGTATCATTGGATAAAGAAAAACTGTATTTGTCACAAGAAAGAACAGAACAGCATTCAGAGGACCATAAGTCTCTTCTAACAACCAAGAAATACAGAAAGACATACAAGATGTGTCAATCACATTGAACGTATCACATAATCATAGACAGGAAAACAATCCCAATTAAGGCACCACAATGAAGCAAGAAAAAACACTATCTGAAACAGACTCTCAAATAGAAGATCCTCCCTGGTATTCATTTCTATCGACAATAGGCAACAGCAAAGAATTACCATATAATGATACAAGGAAACCACCATAGAGCTTTCCCATTCTTATAGAACAGCATCAAAGCCTTAATTCTAAAACAGATGATATCCCTAAGAGTTGCTTACATCACTCCTCCTCCACTCACCTCTTTCTAATGCAATATGATCACCAAGACTAAGTTGTTTCATGCCCCTACTTACCCAGTCATCCCTTCCGACTAGATCAATATTGGTTATCCTTGACACAGTTAATAGTTTTATTATTCCAAACGTCCATTACTCCATTCTATGAGCCATTGTCTCCAATGTTGTCATCAAACATGGAAACCCTCACTCCCCAAACAAAAGAATAAAGAGTAGCAATTACCTCAAAATGTATAAGTGCAATGCAAAAGAGGAGAAGATACCTGCCTACCTTTCCCATCCATCCTATAAATATGTTGCCAAAGAATTCAAGAGTTTCCCTTATACATGAGGCCTAAACCATCTTGTTTAGGATGACAAGTTTAGGATGACAAACCTAATTCAACACCATAAGATTATATTTACCTCACATAAACTTATTCATAGACGGTAACGACACCAGCAAATCAAGCCGAATGTTTTTTTGCTTGAGTTAGGTTTATACATTGGGCCTAGTCAATATATGCATATCCTATCTCCTCAAGACCCAGATAAATACTTCCATCTCATGGGAGTAGCTTATATTCTTTAGTGAGCCTCATAAAATTCTTGGTGCTATTCTAGATTGTATCTTTGTTACCTTTCTCATATATGTTATATTCATTACAAAGCGGATACCACAAAGACAAGTGTTTAAAAAAAAAATGCTCCTCTTCTATCAGGAAGCCTCATAGAAACACTTAAGTTGTTAGGGCCCAAAACTAGATTTTTTTTGGCTTTAAGGGTTCCCATCAAATACAACACTAAGATAAGTGAGCAGTAGAAACTGGTCACACACCTAGCAAAAGATGCAAAAGAAGTATGAGCAGGAAGTTCAGAATTAATCTCATTAACCATGGACTTTCCTAAAGTTAAGGCAATACACCAATCAAAACATAGAAAAAGGATAAAGGCATCTATGAATTTATAAGTGAGAAACTAAAATAAACCCTTCATCCCCTCCTTAACCCTCTAAACTGTCCACAACCTATCTCTTAACAAGAAGATGACCAAGTGAATTAACTACCACGCTGATAATGAACAAACCATCTTGAAGCAACCCCCCCCCCCCCCTTCTTCCCCATAGACACAAGAGCACCCCCTAGATTGGTCATTGACTAAGACCCAAAATGTGACAAACACCCGTGACAAGTTCCCCTATAGATTTCTATGTATAACCCAGCTTCCTTGCTTATGGTGCATACGTGCATACAATAGATCATAATACTATGTTCCAAAAAACATGAAGTAAAGAGCTTGACTTACATCGATGATTTTTCCAGCTTTACTCGTGATAACTTGTACGAAGTAATTTTCCTCCTTGCCATCTTCAGTCTGCTGAAAACATCCCACCACGATACTGTCTGAGCGAATCCACTTGATGCTATCCACTGCCATGAAAACATCCAAGAATGTAAAAAAAAAAAGTAGCTTAGTATCTCAAAACTCTCACATTGAATGAAACATTTGAATAATAATTCCAGCAAAGCCAGTTAGACTAGCTTATTGTACATTTGTACTAGTTGTCTGCATAAAAGTGTTAATATATAGATGTAAGTTGATAGCTACTTGGTTGTTTAAAATGACCAACAAGGAGATTAATACAATTTATTGTTAAGTATATTTGTTTTAAGTAATATGGATGTTGATCTAGCCATGTATTAAAATATTACTCATATTTAATCATTGGATTTTTTCACAATAAGATGCCATTCTTAAAAATGGTTATCCAAATTTTTGAGGAAAACCTAAACCTGTCAGACCCTACCCCAAGATACAGGTATGGGTCTTATTTTGTTAGACTCTATGGGTCCAGGTAGGGTATGGGTCTAGATGGCATAGGTAGGGTAAAGGTCGGGGTATAATGTTTTACCCACGGACCTAGAAGTACATAGACCGGCACAATATGTTAGACAAAGAAAAAAGTTTCAAAGTCAAATTAAAAAATATCAAAAAATTAATTGGTCACTCGTGTACTTTTTTTTTTTTAAACATAGGGGGAAAAAAGTAGGTATATAGAACCCATATTGGACCCTACTAAACCCATTGGGTCCGGGTAATGATCTTAAAATTTCAGACCGTAAGGTTCTGAGGGTATGAGTATGGATAAAAAAATCCGGGTCCTAGTATTACTAGATCCTACCCATTTTCATCCCTACCCACGAGGAGAAGGCCACCTAAACACCAACTAAGTAACTAATTCACATGTCATCAGGAAGGAATAAAAGGAGGAAAAATTCTAGAAGTTCTTAGAGAATTTGATATGCCTTAAACGTTTTAAATAAGGGCAGAATATGGATGTAAGAAATCATTGAGAAATATATTAGAGTTTCTTGGAGAGAACTTTTGCCTCTCGAAAGTAGGAAGGGCTAATTGACTACCTTAGGCCAATTCATATCTTTTGCTATCTATTTTTGCCTTGTTAATTCTGTCACCACTCTGATTTATACAATGCACATTTTTTAGCATCAAAATCTTCCACTACACATTATAGGAAATTATAAAAAGTTAACAGCTAAAAATCACACATAGTGACGAATCTAACAAGATTCCACATGAATCATATTTTTTAATAATATATGGATAAGCAAAAAAATACTTTCACGGACTCCTAGGAAATTTTTGGAGTAGAGAGAGAGAAAGAGAGAAAAATAAAATAAAGAAGGCCCATGTGATATGAGAAAATTTATTAACTAGTAAGGAAAATGAAGCATCTAAATTGAAACTTTCATTTTTAGAAAGTGATGCATTTAAAAATGTCAATATGCAAGAGAATTCCAGCGAATTCATGCTCCTCCTCCAATCTACATAATAGAAACAACTTATTCTTGAATATTTGTGTACTTATTTCAATTCTTTAGGGTCGCTAATCAGTCCCTTATTTCACTCTAATTTGAGAACATTTATGGAAAGAATGTCAATTTGCAAGGATTTTTCAAACCTCTCAATGGAAAACACTATTTGAAACCTCTAGTTATCAAACACCAGAATCAGCTTTTTGGCTGGTCAAACAGCTAAGTTGGCCTCAAACAGCTAAAAGCTCATGAACTTCTCCTAACCATACAGGACCGCAATTTACAGAATCACAAGGTTCAGATTTACAAGAGTTATCAACCATCCAGTAAGAGTGGAAAGAGAGGAAAAAAACAATATAGATTGATTTACACATACAATCACATATATACTGATCTGTAAAGTACTTCACTTCATAGCTCAAATACAAAACACTTTATCACCATCCATGCAGCCGGCAAGTGTTAGAAATCGTAGGCATCAAAAGCAAAAATTTTATAAATTGTACAGGGGACTTACAACCTTATATCAACTTATTAGAGTTAAATTGTCAGCATGGAGCATGGATAAGTCTACATCCGCGAAGGGCATTACATACCTTTGATGGTGTCACTCTCGTCAGTCCATGTATCTGTTGGAAGTAGAACTTGTAAAATCTCTTCCAATTTTGAAGAATATATAGTAAGGTATTTTTTTCTCCCGACAGCAACAAAATTTCCATCAACACTCCTTCCAACTGTGTATGAATCAAGAAACAGCTCAATCAAGTATAATAGAAGTTACAATACAAATGCAGAGCATCTAGACTGAATATTGAAAGCATGAATGTGCTGACATCGGCCAGTCAAGAGATATACGTACTTCAAGACATGCACACTTATTATGTTGGTTAATAATCAAACAAATCATGAACTGAAAAATAACAGCTAGCATGAGCTCATTTGGAAGCAAAGAATCAGCAAAGTTGTGTACCAAGATAATTTCACCCTTGAAGATAAAAATACCTATATTTGTGGGTGATTGTGTATGTAAGAGAAAGTTAGTAAACATTATGCAAATCTGTACCAATACATTTATGTGTGAGCACGTATCAATATTTGTGTGGACACAAAACTACAAAACCATATATGAAAGAAATAAAGTATACAGAAGAACAAATATTGAGCCAAGCCTATATTCAACCATCTAAAGCAAAGTATAATAACATTAAAGTAAAACGTTTGACTCAAGAGTAAAATCCCAAACATAGCAACTCTTTAAACTCGAATATCTTAGCTTTTAATGACAAAGACACACAAATAGTCATCAAATAGCAACATTGACAACAATTTTTAAATCTCTTTGCTCTAAGATTGTCATACATATGTTATCGCTCACTTGATTTAAAAGTAGGGAGAGAGGAATAGATTTTTTTAAAATATGTAATCAATTTGCACATTTGGCCATAGCATAGTTGTGAAAATGTCATTAATGACATTGGTTAGATATTGATCGTTCAATTTACATACATACATACATAGTACATACACTCTCTCTTTTACACACTTTCACACACTCTCTCTTCATTTCCTTTGTAGAATGAAAGAGTTTTGCTATTTAGAGAAGCAGATTGACCAGCAAAAAGAGTGTTTACTCCTTTTGATTGTTATCTTAGAAGCTCAATTAAGGATTGGTTTCAGAAGTTCTGCTTCTTAATCTAACTTTACAAAACACAAGAAATCAACAACAACTTTGTTTTTCTTTTTTTCAACATTTAGCGTCAAAACGTGATAAATCCATAAATTAAAACAAAGATATGCAATATTTGATTAAGTACATAATCCATTTATGTAATCAATTACCTAGCACTCACCAGCATCAACTTCATCCATCACATGTTTTAGACTCTTGTTTATAGCTCCATTAAATACTGTCCCACCAGAAGTAAGGACAATAAAGGAAGGATCAGTCTCATTGATCCAAAACATGTCCTTCACAGGGTTTGATTCGACAGAAGGGCAAAATGTAGGTCTTTTATCCTGCAAGTCAGTGTAAGTAGCTATACAACAATAATTCAAATGCCGCATAGACTTCTATATCAATATAATCCTAGTGCCTCTAGAGAGTCTCTTGCTTTAAACATATATGGGATCACATTGTACCACACATGCAATTTCAACCTTACCCTCGCAATAACATTGGTATCTAAAATGCCACAACCATTTGCTACTTCACAATAAGTCAAGACAAGCTATGGAACCATCATGCTATATTAAAAAAATAATAATAAATAAATAAAATTTAAAAAAAAATTAAAAAAAAAAAAAAAAAAAAAAAAAAAAAAAAACATATATTAAAGCATTTAAAAAAGATATATGATCAAAGTAGAAGTCCTCTATTCTCCTAAAAACTACACAGTGTGACACTGAAAAGGAATTTTTAGGATCAACATCCAACTGAAGCATAACTCCTAAGCTTAAGGTTTAGAGTACTTGTCAAATTTGGCAACTGCATCTTGATGGAACTTAATTACTGTCCTAGTGCATGTCCCTTGAGGTCTCAATGTCTTTTACTTTAATGATAAAGTGAAATTCTATTAAATACGACTAAAAAGGGTACATTGAAGGCTGGTTGTCCTCTTCAAGAAAATCAATAAAGAGTATTCCAATCACAAACTCACAATTAACATCATCTAAAGTGCCTAAGAAAGTGTCGCATAGTTCACACAGGATAACTTAGCCTGGAAGAAGAAGTGTTAGTTCCTGCATGTCCTAACCATTAATTCCATATAGTGAAGATAACTCTTCAAAGAAGATTTCTATAACAATATCCCCATAAAGAAAATCACTACAAAGACCCAATTACCATCAGCACAACCTCCCTTCTCTTTAGGTTGCAAACAAAGTACCACCATAGACCCTTGTCCAAAAAGGACTGTCCTAAGCTTCTCCAAATTTTCAGCCCCACATTAATAAATTATCAAAGAGAAAAACTGTAAGGGAATGACAAGGATAAGTATAAATAAGGGTGAGGTACCCTGTCAAGCTTCAAGAAGGCCTATTCAGCCAGTCATATCTCCTAAAAGTTCTACATTATCCAAATCCCAAAAGCAAATCACCCTCTAACTCCTTAAGATTACTTCCTAAAGACCACCAAGATACTTGATCAGATTCCAAAAATAAGAAAATAAAAAATAAAAAGCAAACACAACAAGACACCAACAACAACAACAAAGCCAAGGTCTTATTATCAAACTTGATAAGATCAACTGCATAAACCAAAAATCTAACTTCAATGGTAATCCACAAAGATTCTCTTGCTCTATTCGCTTCTATCTAAAGATAGATGCCCTTGTAAACCCACCTTTTTAAAGGCATCATTAACTCCTAGACACAATAAGTACAGATACAGTATAATCCTCCCAAAAACACTGACTTCGATGAGGTATTATTATGTCTTGTCTGCTTAAAAACAGCTTATCTCAAGAGCCTACATCACAGTAAACCCAATTTTAATTTCTGTAATTTTCCCTAACAAGTCATAAACCGCTAAGTCCTGTACAAAGACCTTCAAAGAGTCACAAAGTCCTCTTTTGTAATAGAATATAACCTTACCTTAACCAATCACTGCCCTAACACATCACCAAACCCAGGTGAGACCTCTTTTCGTCTCAAAACATCAAACACCTTGTTACCAACATGAGCAGCACCCAAAATATGCATCTGCTCACCACAGAAGTATTCTACAATTAAGATAATCCCAGGGCGAGCACCACCAAGCCTATCCATGGGAGTTGTAGCCAGGATCAAAACACTTGTTAATATGTCTGGAAAATCTTCCTTTTCTTGCAAACAAAATACAGCAAGTCAGCAACTCCTCCCAAATTTACTTCAGCCTGTCAACTAAAATAAACAGCCCTAACCTCTCTATGCTTCCGGAATACAACAACTTATAATGATATCCATTGCCTATAAACTTCACCTTATGTTACAACCTTTGTCACTGCTATAGAAGATATATTCCAAAAACATAGATACCAATGGGACTCCTCTAGAAACCCAACTCGAGTCAAACAATCGTAACAAATAATTAACAACGAATGAAGATCACTGATTTCCACTTCAATCATCTAATCAGCTAAATAAATTAAATAACTTCTATAATTCATACATGACTACAAGCATAGGGCAGAAGGTTTTACCATATTGAGAAGCGAATCGACAAAAAAGAACTGAATCTCCCCCTCAACAACCGCCGAAATGACCGAACAATCAGTCGAAAGAGCCAATATCGAAACCCTACCAATAAGAACATCAACAACACACAATTCCTGAACAGAAGGACCGCTTCCTTTATCCTTAATCTCCTTGGCCGCCGCAATAACATCCTTAATCTTCGCAACACAAAATCCTGCTCAAATTATCAATCAATTACAACAAAAATTGACCAAATGAATTCTTCACAAATTCAAATAATAGTTGTTGATTAATTAACTAGTTTACCAGTAGAATGAGCAGCAAATATGAGACCAGAACTTTCAGAGATAACCAAGGGTTTTGCAGGAGGATTGTTTACATCGAAAATCGAACCGTCGGACATGATAGGAATAGAATCGCCGACTTTACAGAAGAAATAGTCATTAGTTTCGATACGTTCGCCTTCAACTTGTTCTTCAATTTGTAAGGTTTTCTTGCCTGAATCGTTATCAATGATAACCGCCATTGTTGACGAGCTTGAGCTGAGGATTCTTCGACTTGGTGTTTTCGCAGGAGAGAAATTGGGGATTTTAGAGTGAAATCCCTGGTTTAGGCGGGAATGAGGAATTAGTGAGAAGGAGAGTGAAGTTAATTATGTTCAATGCTTCAAGGTTGCGTATTTGCGTTTGGTTATTGGGTGTGGCCTCCTAATGACCCTTCCTAGTGACAATAACTCATTACCCCGCCAACAAGGCCCATGACGAGGCACGATACAACATTATATGACGTACGGAGTAGTAGTATATAAGTTGGTACAATCGATGCACGATAAATATAATATGATACGGAGTAATAATGTGCACAAAAACTTTTGTATACATCTGCTTTACACTAATATTAGTGTACATCAAGTATTATAGGGGTAACTTTAAGCCAATTTAGGGTAACTTTTTGCCTTTTTTGGGTAACTTTGAACATAATATGATTTTTTTTATAAATCGAACAAGAAAAGTTTTATAAGGGTGATAAAATTACTTTCAATCACTAATAATTGAATTTTAGTCATTTAAAATGTGATTTTTTACTAATAAAACGTAGATTATTTTTATTTTTGTATTGGGTTACTTTTATACATATTAGGGTAACTTTTATTCATTTTAGGGGTAACTTTTGATCACTTTAAGAGAGATTTAAAATGGATGTACAATAATTATTGTACACCCGATTTTTTTTAAAGTTTGTGTAATGTGCATAGAATATTGATCATGTGTACTTGTATTTTTATTTTATTTTTTTGAAAAAATATGGCATAATCTACACAAAAAAATAACATGACACGACACGACATGTTATTATGTGTGTCAACGGTGAGACCCACATTAGTCGAGTCATGGGTGTGGCTAGGTGCGTTTTTGATGGAAAATCAATCAAATGACCCAACATAATAGGCATGAGTGCATACACAAAGAATAAGAAAATAACTAAAATTTATGTTTGGGGAAGTAGGGCATAACATGGCTAACACGATGGGAGTGCGATTGTGCTTGGACCATTTCAACTTCGTAGGGTCGTCTTAAACGTTTTGGAGGCCCTGTTCTAAACTTAAAAATTAGGCTCTAGAAAAAAGAAATATTTCAATATTCAATATACTATGGGTATAAATCTAATAGGGTAGCCATATTTGAGAAGTTTTTTCGATTTAGTATTATGCCATAACTCTATTTATTGGTAGTTTTAATGAGAAAAATTATATAAACAAATATTTTTAGGACTATAATGTGAAGACACTATTTGTAAGAGTTAACTCAAACTTTTTAAAGGTAGGGATAGGGATTGTTGTACTAATTTTTATTTTGTTGTTTCCTTTTTCTTCTTGCTCGATCTTCTTCGTCTCCTTCTTCTTCCCCTTCATCCCGTAATTGTGCTTTCCTCCATCGAATTTACTCGTAAACTACCATTTTCACCACCATATTTTCAACAACGAACAAAAACCGACAAAGAATTGAGAAATGAATGGCATGGTTTAGCTCAAAGGAATAGGAATGTCGTCTTTCTCCATCGAAGCACCTTACCATCTTCAATTTATGCACTAAACTATTGATTTCTCTATTGAACTTCTTTTGTTCTTCATTGAACCTCTTCTATTTTTGCTTGAATTCATTGATATCTTAGAAAAAATTTTACCCCTTAAAAGATTTTTAGGTTCTATTTTCAGATTTAGCTTCATTCATGTTCATGTTCACGTTCTTAATCCATTTGTCAAACCTTCTAAACCCTTCCAAAAACCCTCAAAATCACAACTCCCACGTATCCAAATCAAAATATTATCAACCAACTCCCAAAACGACGACCATTAAGCAACTTTACCCCATTCCGACGTCGTTTCGTACACCTCTTTAGCTTCTTCTCCAAGAACCTTGTTTAACCTTCAGACAATTTCTCCCTTCTCCCTTCTCCCTCAATTCATCAACTTCCATTTCTTTCTCTCTCTACTTTCTCTCTCTAGATTTCTCCATCACAAAGCGCCGAAAATGTCGCTAACTAGGGTTTTGGGAAGAGCGTCGAGAACTACGCTTTCCCAATGTCGGGCCTACTTTCTCTCTCCTCCTCCTCCTCTTCATCAACACAATTCCCCTTTCTCTGTCCTATGCAATCGATTTCATTCTCTTTCCGACGTTTCTAGCAAGGTAATTGACCGTTATTTTTGATGATTTTTTGTCTTTTTTTTTGTCAATTGTTTAAATTATTATCGGGGTTTATTTTGTTTAGCAGGGTTTTGCTGGGGTTTAAGAATTTAGCCTACATGATCTGAATTTCAGATTATTTTTGTTAATTTAATAAAAAAATTTAGCTCATTTATGATATTTGTGTTCCAAATTGATTCTAAATGAACTGTAACAATGTTTTAAAAGATTAAGATTATTGTTTTAAAGTCCCCATTTTGACCATTTTGAAATTTTAGAATTGATATAATTTGAGAATCAGGTGTTTTTTTGTAGAATTAGAGTATTTTTTATATTCTGACCTTTTTTTGGTTTCATTTTCGCTTGAAGTTTCTTTTTTGTTGCTCTATATTGTTGGGTTGCTAGGGAAGCTTAAGGCTTTACTTGTTATATGACTATTTGGAGCAAATTTTCGTGAAGTTTGGTCTCATTCTCATATCTAGAAATGTAAATTTTGATAATTGTAATGTACTTCGTATTGTTTAGGATATGCTAATTGATTAAATAATCTCTTAATAGCTAATCGTTAACTAATACTCCATCCATCCCTCTTTAATAGGCTGTACTTGATTAGAGGTCATGTTGTTCTTTTGATATGTCATAAATGTTTTTGATAATATATACAATTGTTGAAAACAAGCAACTAAAGAATATTATGGATCAAGTCTTAAATAAAGTAAGAGAACTACTTTATATGAAAGTTTTCATAATTTATCTATAAGATATGCGACCTAATAATTTGGGACATCCCAAAATTAAAATGTGGCCTATTAAAGTGAGATGGAGGGAGTAATTATTAATGCACTAGGAAAAGTTGAAATATTAGGGTAAGTGATGAGAATTTAACTCCAGCTCTTTATCTTGCTCTTGTTGAGTGCTGGGGCTAGTTGGTTGTCAAACAATGATGCATATTAATCTGCCCTGTATTGTAGGCCGTAATATGATGGATTTTTGTGCATTTAGCAAGGGAAGTTTAGTGACATTGCCCATAGTAAACTTTACCCTCATGTTTTATTTGGATACTTATATTTCACCCCCATTACTACTTTAGAAGGGTTATTGAGTGGTGGTGACCTAAGGAAAGCAAGCTAAGAGAAAAGATATTGGAAAATTACCAAGAAAAACTTGTCGGGGGCAGAGTTGCATCACCACAAATGATAGCATTGAACTTCTCTTGCAATAGCACGTTAACCTTTACCATTACTTTTTTCCTCCTTTTTACCAAATGGCCATTACTGCTTTAGTGACCTGGAATTTTGGGATCCGATAATTTAGTTTTATTGACAAATTATTTTTCTTTCGCGTTGATGTTCAGCCTTTTATTGCTGCCTTATAGTGAATAATCTAGTGGAGTTGCTGAGTTGATGATTCTTTGGTCAAATTTGGATACTATTATCATGGATTTGGGAGTCTTAAGTTGCATAGAATGGAGCTTGTTTTGGGTTCTTACTAGCAAGGGGTAAACATAGTTATACATTAAGGTCATAAGGATACAATGCTTATAAGGAAATTGAAAATTTTCCTGCTTATTGGTGCCTAGATAACTATTTTGAAGATCATCCATTAGTATATTTCTTGGGTGTCGAGGGAAAATATTTCCCAGAAGGCAGTGAATCCAGTTGGGTTGCTGCGGTATTTCTTTTATGGCCACATTTGGTTTTAATTTTATAGATTTGTTAATACCTCTCTACATTCTTAGTTTCCATCTGCTTTACTTTTTGTTCTTCAATGTAAGTTTGTACGCCTTATGATAAGCATAATCATATAGGGGTCAGAATGACCTTTGTTCTCTTCCTTGCCCCCATGTCTTTTACGGCATTCAGTGTATTCCAGAAGATAGGTGCCTGTTTTGGATTTCTCATAGGGTTGACAGCTGGATATCTGCTAGACTTCGTAGGATTGAAAACTCACACACGAGTTATCACATGTTCTATGAGAGTGAATTTAGATTTTCTGCTTACAGTTGTCTTCAGTTATTTGCCAAAGTATTTTATACTCCCTTGTTATCTGTCAACAAACAGTTTTATATATTCAGCGTCAGACGTTTCCTTCTAGAGTGGAATTTGTTATTTCTCTTGAAATATCTTACCCTGTTGACGCCTTACATAACCATTCATACATCCATAATATAACTGTAGATTGCATTGCATTTATGGGGAATTTTTTGTGGAGATGTGACTACTACCTGTGTCCCAGCCTTTCATGTTTCAAAATCTTGTATACTACTTCAGTTGCAATACATCCATTACTACTGTATTTAACTTGAGAGCTTTTACGTTTTTGGAATCTCTTGAAAGAGGATTTTCTAAATTATCATTAAAATCTGTGGCGGCTTGTAGAGTTGTATACTTGCAGATTGTGTTCTCATGATGTTTCCTGCCTTGATGAAAATTGGATTTTAGGTGTCAATTTATGATCGTAGTGCTACTGCTATCTGATTCAGGGAGTTGTACATGTGAAGTTTAAGCCTTTATGTCTGATATGGACCTCTCTAAATGCACATTGATGGTGAATTTTGCATGTTTACTTATGTTCTTTGAAATGCATGCTAATCTATATTTGGCTCTTTACATAAGTTTTAATTACGAAATAAAGCTATTTTGTATGTTTTTGTTAGGCATCTCCTTTGCATAATGGAATATGTAGTATTGTTGCTTTCCCTCATCGTGGAATGTCAACCTTTGCATCTCCTGAACAAGAGCAGGGGACACCTGCTGAGAAAAAAGGAGATAATGGTAGTGCTGATGGTGCAAAGCAATCAGGTGAGGGAATTAATGCAGACAGTGAGACTTCTGTACAAAGTCAAGAAACAGGTTCTACTTCAGATACACAACCTACGTCTCAGTCTGTCAAAAGACAGAGTTGAGGCACTAAAAGAACTGCCTTTTCTGATTCAGATTCCAAGGAAAACATGGATGACCTTTCCAAAGAAGATCTGGTAAAACTTGTGCTAGAGAAGGAGGAAACCTTAGAGAACAAACAAAAAGAGTTTGCTGAATTTAAAGACAAATTTCTTCGTAGTTATGCCGAATTAGAGAATATCATGGAAAGAACACGACGTGATGCAGAGAACTCAAAGAAATTTGCCGTGCAGGTTTGTGTCTATGATTTGGATGCTGGTCTCTATTTCATTTCCTTTAGTAGCACTTCTGAAATACTTTGTGGCACATTGTGTGCTTATACTGCAGAGTTTTGCAAAGAATCTACTGGATGTTGCTGACAACCTTGGCAGAGCAGCTTCTGTAACCAGAGAGAGTGCCAATAAAATTGATGTCTCTCAGGATACTGTTGGAGCAATGCCACTTTTGAAAACCCTTCTGGAAGGTGTAGAAATGACTGAAAAGCAGCTTGCAGAGGTAATATTTCCAACATACACTTAGTTTATTTTAGTCACCTCCTAGTAATCTGAATTTTATTACGGAGTACATGATTTCTACCCCTCTCCTCCCCATCATCTTAGTTCGAATTTTAGCAGCGTACTTGTATTTTTTATATTGCTGACTTTGTACTACCTCGGTTAAATATTAGTTGCAACTTTGGGGTATTATTTGTGAGATATAAAATATTCTAAAGTTGCAACTAATATTTAACGGAGGTAGTAGAATTTACCGGTATCATGTTTATCCATTTGCCACGTTAAGTCTTAGTTAATCTGATCCAGATCAGATGATTGTGTGATTTTGATTAATTTAGGCGTCCACTTCACTTGCACATATTATATTCTTGCTAAGAGAGCATTATTCTTTCAGGTATTCAGAAAAGCTGGTGTTGAGAAATATGAATCTATCGATGAGCAATTTGATCCTAACAGGCATAATGCTGTGTTTCAAGTTCCTGACAATTCTAAGCCTCCTGGTACTGTTGCTGTTGTCCTCAAGGTAATTTCCCGTGCTCTGATCTAGATATAATGTAAGAACGTTAGTTGATGTGATGTAATTTCTTGGTTCTTAAAAAGTAATAAGCTTAGCTCATCTAGTCTTTTTACTCATGTATGTTTATCTTGCGTGCAATTATCTTCTCTATGTCACTTTTATGTGTTTACTCTTCTGGGATGTAGCTATTTTGAGGGTTTTTGCATGTGTTAGCCTGTGGTTGTCTTATGAAACTAGTTGATTATGGGCCTTAAAGGCATGCTGTGGTATTAGACATTATCTGATTGTGAAGCTGAATTAGTTTTGAGGTCAAGGTATTGTTGATATGTTTTTGGATCTTATTTTTTGGTATTATTGTTTTTTTACAATCCTTAAGGGAAGAGCCCTGCATAAATAGAAAAGAGTATTTGATCATATAGGCTTGTGCTATCTGAATTCTATGTATCCTTATTAAAAACATTGATGAAAGGTGTTGTATGGTTTCTCTGCTAACCTTTTTTATGTCTTCTCACCTTGAAATGGCTTGCTATTCTTTCTTAGTTTCAGCGCCTCTAGTGGCCTTCTACTATATGGATTTGGCATAGGGGGTCAACTTTGATCTTGTCTTCAAAATAAGAAACATTTAGACTATAGAGCTTTCTTTTGAATATACTGAAATAGTTATATGTCATCAAGTCCTCAATTAGATGGCTTGAAGTGAGGTCCTGTTATAAAAAGTGGCCTTGATTATCTGAGAAGTAATTTAATTTCGGCATTTGCAGGTGGGCTACACTCTCAACGACAGGATCATACGACCAGCTGAAGTTGGTGTTACCATTGCTGTAGAAAATAACGATGCCAGCTCTTGAAGCTCAAGATATCTTATCTGAGCGAGCCCCTCCATTATACTGGAGAATTTTGTCAAATCTTGCAATTGTCTAAATATTACAACACTTTTGGACACTAGGTTAGCATTGTTGCCTCCATGGTACTATTTTTTGTCTCCTCCCCTTGAAATTTGTTGCAATTACAACAGAAATGAGCTTCAAAACAACATTTTAGCTCTACTTTGTATTTATGAACAGAAGTGATCACAGGTTAAGTTTACTGGTGGCCTCAGGATAATTGTTATCGGCTGTAGCTTCAAGATGCCGAGTCAATCGGGTAATTATAAGCAAATACGCAACCTAATTAAGGTCAACTGCAGTTGTATTTTAATAACTTATAGGGGGGAAATGGAACCAATTGGAACAGAGCAATAGTAAATTGAAAATAAGATGGAAAAAACATTGTCTAAAACATCTCATATTCTCACCCATGAAACACAAATTGGCACCAAGTCAGACCAGAAGTCCAATGCCAGCATTGAAAAATGCAATTCAATTTTACTCTTACGTTATTTTGAATATTTGGTTGTATTAATTTAGTATTTTATTAGACGCTATACAGTGTCAAAAAAAATTAACAAACTCCCTTCGTTTCTAAATGTTTTTTACGTTTTCATTTAGGGTGTTACTTTTTATTCTTTACATTTAGTAGCTTTCCTATTTTGGTCATAAGTTTTGGACAAAATTACCCTTGTTTTTCAATTTTTTTTTACTCAAAAGTGCTATTGTACTTTTTGTACTATTTTAATAGTTTTTCAACACTTTTTATTACTTTTTCTCTCATCTCTCCTTTAGTTTCTTCACCCCAAATGCTCAACATTGTATTTTCAATAAAATTGTACTTTCAATCATTGAAATATTTCAATATACCTCAAATTTACACAATTTCTTAATAACCGCGCTTAATTTCAAACCTAAAAAACATTAGGGAACGGAGGGAGTAGTATATAAAAGGAAATTTTGTCAAAAACCTCCTTATATATATATATATATATTTTTTGTGAAATCATACGTTAATCAGCATTATTTTTACAAAATCATACCTTTAGACGGAAAACGGGGTTTCAGGCATTGACCACCCACGTGTTCAACGGATTCAACGGAAAACCACCCAAACCCACCGGTCCACCACCACCTCCTGCCAGCATCTAGGGTTCCTTGTTCCCCCCATCGGCGACGCTACCCCAGCCCCAACCCCACCGTCACCCAGAACCCCAAACCCCGTCGACGACCCTCCCTCTCCTTCCTCTTCCCACCGCAACCAGAACCCTCCTAACACGGTGGCTATCTCCGCGCAACCACATCACCGCCACCTGCTCCACCGCACCACCTATCTTCGCGCAATCACAACAACATCAATCCCCAGCAGCCTCCATCTCCACCGCTGCAACACCGCACCAATAGCAACCCCAATTCGCACCAATTAAGCCCCAAAATCCCCAGCAGCCTCCATCTCCACCGCCTAGGGTATTGTCGCCGCGAAGGGAGTGGTTGGGCAGGTAGGTGGGGGTAGGCGAGTTGCGAGGGTCTGGTTGGCTCGAATTGGTGGCGATTGGAGGTGGTGCGTGCGGTATTCAGTTCTGCAGCTATTGTTGGTGTCGATTGGTGGGGTTGTTGGTGTTTGCGTGGGTGTTGTGGGGGTGGGCGTGGTGGCTGGTCTTTGGTGGTGGGATAATTTTGGGAAAATTTTGGTGGTGGCTGGTCTTTGGTGGTGGGATAATTTTGGTGGTGGTTTTCCGTTAAACACGTTGGTGGTCAACGCCTGAAAAGCGGGGTCAAACCCCATTTTCTGTCATAAGGTATGATTTTTGTAAAAAAAAAATTGGTTAAGGTATGATTTCACAAAAAAAAAAAAATTATAAGGAGGTTTCTCACAAAAAAAAAAAAAGCTTTTAAAAGGAGGTATTTGACAAAATTTCCTTAAATAAAATTGTAAGTAGCTTTAACATTTGTAAAAAAAAAAATGACTGAGGTATCGTTTGGTTCACGTGAAAAGTACCTTCCTATGGGAATTCCTATTTTATACGAAATTTTTTCCCTTATCAATTTCCTAGGAATTGAACTTATTTGGTTGGAGCTTTCCTAGGAAATTCCAATCACCAAAGGGGGGCTTGGTGAGAAATTTCCCATGTCTTGTGGGAATTTGCATTTCCCTTAGAATTTCTAATTATTATGCTTTTCTCAGTTTTCTCCAACCAAACACAACCCCATGCCTATTTCCTATATATAAACTCCAATATACAGCACATATTTAACTATTTGAGTAGCATTACCTATTAACAAAATATGTTATATTCTCTCATATTAACTTTTCAAGTCCCTGTGAGTACGAGAGATGGCTCTTCAAAGTTGAATAGGTTCATCTTCCCCCCACCCCCACCCCACAAAAACTCAGGTCATTGATACAATAACTTCAGCAATGCAAAGTCTGTTTATCTGTCTTCATTTTTGCTGTCTGCAATCAAATCTATCTCATCCCTGAATTAAAGTGTAGGACAATAGAGGATGAGTAAAGGGCTGAAGGATGTAATTGCCCAATATATGCACACTGAGAATTATCTTGTCAACACATTCCTACTACAAGGAATTTGTTATTACATTACATCTAAAGCAACTTAGAGTTGCACCAGGATTTACCATCCTTGACAAGAGCATAGGATGTCATACTTACAAAGCCTTTACTACTACCTGGTTAACTACAGCCAGTAAATGGCATCAATCTGCAAGATCCACAACGCCAAAGCCATTATTTCTGTACTATCTACAGGCGAAATCTTTCAATTAAGAGCCCATAATCCTCTTTTTTGCAGACCTGATTGAGTATTTTTGTTCTCCAGGTGCAGACCAAGATTCAAGTGGCTTCTCCTTGTATAAATTAGATCACCGTCACTGGTTCCCTGCAAACAAATGAGCAAGGATTAAATACTGATCGATACAAAATTTTATTCATGCAAACATATTGACCTCCATATCAGCCATGGACTGTATACAGCATACCATTTCATCCCTGCACCTTTCTTCTTTTTTTCCCTTTTATCATCATAGAGTTACATAATGGATAACAAGGCTTTAGAGTTTAGACCATCTATTGAGTACTTGTGAGATGGAAGGGAGATAAGCTTCATACATGCGCCCACCAGACGTAAAATAACACACACACACTTTCACTTTTCAGACCATGATAAAAATGGCAAAGCCTGTTTGCGGAAGCAAAAAGTTCTTTTTGGTATATTTTAAAAAAGACAAAAAGAAAGATAAAAAAAAAAAATTGTGAAGGATACTAGATGGGTTCAACTTGATCTATGGACACTAATACCTCACAACTAGCTAAGCTAAGGCTGCCTAGGACCTCGGATGATATCTGTCTACATCAATTCTCTTCATGGTTTCCCTTCCTGTAGACCATCAAAATAATAGTACTAGCTAAGGTAACTCTAGCACTAACTTATTACACTATTACCTGACGTACTCCCATGAGGTCAGTGTTGATATCCAGCAACCCATATATATCTTCACTGTCTACTACTGCCTTTTCTGCATACTGGTCAGTTTCTCCTGACTTAGCTTCATCGGCAACTCCTTTTGCAGTCAGCTTCTTCTTCTTCTTCTCCTCAAAAACAGTAATCTACAATTGAAAGACATGATTTATGTAACACATAACACGCAGTCTAAAACTCAGCGATTATGTTAAATCACACATACAACAGACACGAAAGTGGCTAGCACTAGCCTATTACAAAGTACCAAGGAAGTTGTGGACAGTCAGCTTGAACTAAAAGTAAAAGTAAAATAAAAATAGATTTTATAGCATATAATAAACATAAAATTTACAGAACTAAGATATTTAAAGATGAGTTCACTTGATCTAGATGTAAGAAGTATAATTAGAAAATCTTGGAATCACATATAGCAGCTGATAGTAGGCTCTACTTCCATTCAATATTACCAAGGGAAAATTCATAATCATCAATGGGAATAGCAGCCTATTTATCACACATAGCATTCTAAATTTCCTTACTAGATTTATGGAAGCACATACATTACATTATTACAGAAAAAAGAACTCAAATTTCTTTTAGTCAATTGAACATTGGAATTAAACTGAATTAAACCAGTAAAAACCAAGATATACCAACTTGTTTCCATGTTAAAGATAACATGTTTGGCATGAATATAGGAAAAGAAATTGAAAGGAAACATATACGAAGTGGAAAGGGTAATGTTAAATGTTACCATTATGATATGTTTAGTATACCTAAGGAAACAACTTTGTTACCATAGGGATGATAGGGGGTAACAAATTGAAGGTAAAGATTATCTTCAAGAAATGAAGTATGTTTACCCTACTTCTCAATTCTCATACCAAAACACTTGGTAATGGTAAGGACTAAGGATTAATTGATTCCATTTCCACCCCTTAAAAACACTATACCAAACATGCTCTAAAAGAAAAAGAAAAGGCATCATAATAAATTCCACAACACAAACACCAAGAATTTCGATAATCAACTTGTCAATAGTTCTCTATAATTCAACACTTCCCCAAATTAATGAATTATTAACACATTCAAAAATTAATTACTAATAAGCAGTAAGCATACACATATTATATTACTATAGTAAGCACGTTAACAAAGATTAAGGTCACTTCATCGGATCAAACCCATCATCAAGAAGGGTCTAAACAAAATCATGATCATGCAAGCTGAAATTCATAACCAATCAAAAGAAAAAAAAAATGAACAATGAAAGTGTTCATCATTATAAGTAAAAGCAACCAAAATCCATGAAAGTGTTCATCTTTTTAACATTTAACAATAAATTCATCCAAAAACCCTAGCTTTCTACCTAAAACCTTACTATAAAAAAAAAAAAAAAAGAAAAAAGGGGGAGAATTTAAATTTTTTGAAAACCCAGAAAAATTAAGAATAAAGGGTACATAACTACATATATATCAAATTTATTTCCTTTTCTAGCAAAGCATTGAATATAATTGAAATCATTCAACTACCCAAAAACCCTAATTTCAAAATTGGCCTAAACCAAAAGGGAAAATTAAAGGACCCACCGGAGTATACCGAAACTTGCGACGACAGATTTGATCGGAATTAGAATTCCCGTCGTCGGCGGCGGTGGCGGTGGTTTCTGAGGCGGCGGAGGGAGGACGAGAAAGTGGGGTCCATTTACAGAGAAGAAGAGGAGCATCAGATGGTTTGAGACCGTTGGATAGGAATAGTTTACGAGGTTTAGAAGGGGTGGAAGAGTGAGATGAAGACACGTGGACCCATTTCTTCTCCCACCTTCGAACGGGCCCACGAAAGGTGGCCGGAGAAGCGGAGGAAGAAGAAGAGTTGCCGTACAAATAGCGGGAAGCTCTTACAGGGCGCGAGTTAGAGTGAGAATGAGAGTGATTGTGTGTGTTTGAGGTTGTGGAGGGTCCCTCCATTGTTGTTGTTGTTGTGGTTTTTTACTAGTTTCACTGTTGTTTTTATCTTTGTTTTATCTTCAGGGTTCAAATGGAGGGTTTTGCAATTTGATATGGTTTATTTAAGAGGTTTGATATTGTTGTTGAGGAATGAAGAGTAATTATATATACTCGTACTACTAAGTACAAAGTAGGACATAAAACAGGTAGACAGATTTACCCGAGTGAGGTTTTAGTTTTGAGAGAAGATGAGCATAATTGTAAACGTGTATCTTTCTTTAAAAATACAATAAATAAAGCTCGTGAGAGGAGCGGGGTGGGGAAGAGAGAGTGTAGATGAAATTCAATCTCAGAATCTGAAAGATAATTGTGTATTTCTAAAACGGAATAATTATTAATGTGTGTCCATAGGCATATTCGTACGTAAGTAACTTAGAAGATTCTACATTAATATGATTACTCTAACAAATCAATTCAGAATCTTTTCATAATTAATTAATTAATTTAAAATTGAGAAAGTTTATAAATTTCCTTTAAGGGTTCAACATTTTTTTATTTACTTTATTTTTATAACTTAACATGTGTCCATGAATACACATTAGACCATCCTTTTTTTAAGATGAATTGTTATGCAAAAGTAGTACACTAGTACCATATAATGTGAATTGCTATTTACTACCGTTATTACCTAATCAAGATTGTTTAGTGGAGATGGCAAGGGACCCTCATCATAATTACATTTGTTTAGGAGTAGGGGTGTTTCCTTACCTCTCCTCTATTCTCAAGCACTAACCTATATAATTACGCTGATTGACTTGTGAAAAATGGTGAGTAACCTGGATTCCCGTAAAAATTACTACTGGTAAAGAGTGACAATAAACTGGGAATAGGTATATCCAAATATCATAGATGATAGACAGATTACATTTATCCAATCAAACAACTTCCTCACTCTCTTCTTCACTCCACTGAAAACCAGTATAGCACAGCCATGTCTTTAGAACTTTGGAGCTCAGCAATTTCCATGAATCTTTCATTCCATACTCGTTCTTCTTCTTTCTCATTCTTACCCACCAATAATTTCCACCCTCTTCGCTTAACCAAATCCAACAACACCCTTTACAAATTCCTCCATTTTTCTCCTTCTTCCCGCCAATTCTCTGCCCTGCAACACCAATTTTCCAAAGCTCCAACCCATTTATCTGCTTCATCCTCTGCTACGTCTTCGACCGCGAATGCCGAAAAGGAAGATAGGCTTCCTGCTGATCTTGACATCACAGAGATTCAGGAACCCAATTCTAGAGTAATTGTTCAACTTGTTGGTCTTTAAATTTGTAATCTTTTTGCACTATTGAGCATAATTTGATGATTTCTCAATTGGGTATTTGTTAATTTCTTGAAATTTTACTTAAAATCCAAATGGGTTATTCTCTTAGTGTTGAATTATCATGTGGTTGTTGCTTAATTAGTTTACTTTTATTGGAAAATATAAATGGGTTATCTTTGTTTTCCCTATTTATGATTGAACTGTCTGTGATTTCAATTTTTCTATATATTTATACTTCGTATGAATTTTGTGTTGTAAGTTTAAAAAAAATCATGAAATTCAATTGATTTTTCCTCTATTCCCTCTAAATTTGATGTGTTTTCTCATGTCAGGTCAAGTTGACTGTGAGTGTTCCATCAGAAGTATGTGAAGATTGCTATGAAAAAGTTATGCGAGAGCTTTCGAAGCAGGCTAAGGTGCTCATCTCCACACTTTTCATTCCTATTAGAAAGTTTTTTTTTGTAAATGATAGGGTTCCCTCTAGATTAATTTAGTATATATGCATGATAATATGACATATACCTAATTTGTTTACTGATTAAATTAAATACCTCGTCACACTTTTTATAAGTCATATTTCTATGTTGGAATAATGGAATCCCAAAATGATAGGCCACTTCATAACTGATTCCTATTTATCATGAATTTTCCCATATTACTTCCAAATATCTAAGGATTTGGCCCTTATCAGTTATCATCATAAGATTCAGTTAAAAAAACAATGTAACTATGGTACTTTTAATGAATCCTTTAAAAATGACATTTAACGAAATGTGGCCTATCAAAGCGGGATGGAGGAAATATTATGCCTTTCTGAGGACCTGTATTCACATTGAAGCTTGATGTGCTGATATGTGTTTGGATATCGTTCCCTTTTATAACTTTATGTGAGCCAGAAGATTGTGCTGTGGTTTAGTTTACTAAGGGCTTTTGTCCATATATTTATGTTTTTGGATGAAGTTCACCTTTAATCCATGATGTTGTTGAATTCTTATGTATAGTACGACTCAGTAGAAGTTGGAACCAGTTTGCTTGGGAATTTTTTTGACTTTGGGTCACAATTGACTAATTCAGATGTCTCAATGAACAATTCTGCTTGCTTGATGTAAATTACTAAGCATATAATGCATCAACGGAATTTCCCAAACAATCTCTTTACAGTTATAGTACAAGGAGTGTTGACTTCTTTGGTAATCAAAACTCCATATACTGAATTTCCTTACCCAGCTCTAGGCAGGATTCTTGTAGAGGCATTGGAGTAATGGTATGGTATTGCCTTAATGATTGGTTGAGTTGGTTTTACTCACTTTCCTTCTGGACTTCTTGAAACTTAGTTCATGTATATCTTATGATTACTCGTATTCATACAAGTTATGATTTTATTTTCTTAGGTTCCTGGATTTCGACCTGGAAAGCAAGTTCCAGACAGTATTCTTATTAGCTATGCTGGGAAGCGAAATGTTGAAAGGGCTACTATTGAGTCTATACTCAAAAGGACCCTTCCTCATGCCTTGTCATCGGTATAATCCATTTCCTTTTGAATATATTGCAATAGAATTTTCTTATTTATGTGGAATGCCTTTATACACCAATTTTTTTGCTTGATGAGTGCACCATTCTGCATTCATTGTTTAGCCTCACTATGCTTTATTGTGAAAATAATTGCTTTGATGAGATTACCGATTAATTTTCTTACTTTTTTTTTTGTTGGTCATCTGATAAAGGTAAATGAAATAGCTTTACAAGATTCCGTTAGAATCGTTACTTCCTTTGCAGAGTTGGAGAAGATGTATGCCTCATCAAATTCTTTGAAGTAAGTGATTTATATTATGTGAAAAATTATCTGTTGTATTCTGGTAACAATTGGATTAAAATATGTATCATGCACGTCAGACAACTTAAACACATATTACGCAAATTGGGAAGATGAAGCTATAACCTACTCATTGCACGAGCATCAAGGCTTCATTCATTTGAATATAAAATCGGTCTAAACACTTAATATATGATGGTTGAAAATTAAGCATGTGCGTTTTTATTGGGCTTAGCTGATTTGATAGTCTGATTACAAGTAAATGTGGGGCCATCTTATCTTACAATTAAATTCATGTGTTTTGTTTTGTTGCCTGCATCTTGTATCATATTTTTGTGTAATTCATACAGGTTTGATATCATCGTAGACGTGATGCCTGAAGTGAGATGGAATCCTGAAGATGGATACAAGAACTTAAAGATTGTTGTTGAAATAGATAATGAAATAACTGCTGAGGTAGCTTGCGAACGAGAGCTAAAACGTCGCCATAAAACATTAGGTCTAATGAGAATAGTGACTGATAGAGGGCTTCAGGTAACTGTTGAGAGTGGAAAAGTTCTTATTTTATTTTTAAGCAAGCATATCTCAATTTACTATCATGAAAGAAATTTGATCAAAGCTTCATTTACGTAAATGAGATGCTAGAAGCTAGATATCATAACTCAATCGTGCACGGTTAGGCTATCATGGTCAAGCACTCTAATCTGTGTTCTACTGTATAGTCCCTCTAATCCAAAGTATATATATATATATATTTTTTTTTTTTTTTTTTTTTTTTTTGAAATTTCAACCCATAATAAGAAGTTAGATAGATTGTGTTCGAGTTGCATTAGTAGTGTGAAGTAGCATTTAATGTTGTTCTGATATCTTGGAACTAGTAATATTATGGATTGGCGAGAGAGTGTGTACAAAATAAGATCCAACCTTTTTGGTAACTCCATTTCAGGATAAAGTCTGGATTTTACAATTCACTTTTTAGCCAGAAAGCAATTGTTCTTTCTTTTTTTTTTCCAATCTATGAAATGCAGTGCGAGACCGAGAGAGTTTTCAAATGGATTTACTGATTCTTCTTTCTTCAGTGGTGCAAATGTCTAATGCTCTCTCTCTCTCTCTGAATTCCAGCATATGAGCTTTTAAAAAAAATTATCTACTATCTTTAAGTACTTCCCTGTAATCTTTTACTGATGTTATTTAATTGCTTATTTTTTCTTCTGCATACTGAAGTTGATATATATCTCGGTTATCATCGATTGTATGCAGGTTGGTGATGTTGTGGTAGTGGATATATCAGCAGCAACACTTGAGGAAGGTGGGAAAGGTTCTCAAAAGATTCCATCTGCCGAGAGCAAAGGTTTTGCTTCTATGATCTCAGCCACTTTCTATGAAAAGTACATTATTGTGAACATCTCAGTTATCCTTTGGAATCTTTGGATTCTATGATCGACTTATCTTGAATTTGGACTGCACTTTTCAACGAAATATAACTGTAGACCCGTAAAATTTAATAAGGTAACGACTAAAAGTCAGGAACACAATTTCTTAAAAGCAATATTTCGTGAGAAAGTGGTTTTGTCAGAATTTGATGCAGCTTTCTGGCTACTTTTGGGGAATTTTCACCCTTTAGAATAATATCATAATTTATGTGATGTGAGAAGTGTTAGGGCTTCATTTATGTGCTAAACTTTCAACATTTCATGCTTAAGATTTGTCATTCTCACTTTAAGTATTATCAGGTAATTTGCCAAGGGTAACGTGCATCAACTCTAAAGTCTTTAACTATTGATTTGTATGTTCTCAGGTTTCAACTTTGACACAGAAGATGCTGAAACTGTTCTTCCTGGTTTCCTTGATTCTATAATTGGAATCCGGCAAGGTGAAACAAAATCCTTTCCACTTGTGTTTCCTGAATCGTGGAAACAAGAAGATCTTCGTGGAGTGCAAGCTCAATTCACAGTGAGTATTGTGCTTTTGGCAGAACCTCATGTTACCTAGGAAATACATTGGCGTATGCTGACTTCAAAAATGCATGATATGTTCTGTAAAATTTTGTATTTCACTACAGTAAAGAAAATGTTGTTTCTTCCTTGAATAGAATTTTCTGTTCAATTATGACATAATTGTTCTTATAAACAAATAATAATTTAAGTACCCGAACATTTCATATCCAGGTAGAGTGTAAAGAACTATTTTACAGAGAGCTACCACCGCTTGATGATTCCCTTGCTGAACAGCTTCTGCCAGGATGTTCAACATTGGAGGAGGTAAGCTGTTTAAGATGACTGTAGCTTGTGGTGGCTTTAGGAAGGAGATTAATATGTCATTATCTTACTTATGCTACATTTTTGCAGGTCAGGGAAGCTTTGCTGCAGAGATGCCGAGAGCTGGAGAAAACAGCCAAGGAACAAGCAACAGATAATGCAATCCTAGACCAGATTCGTAAGGTATTGCTGTCTTTTCAATTCACCTGTGCCAGCTTCTCTAGAATAGCAATTATTTTGGGTCATTGAAGAACTCAGAGTACACCTCAAAAAAATAGTGTAAATCATACATTAGGGTGTCACAGCTTCTAAATTTAATTTATTTTTTTTTAAATACAGATGGTCGAAGTTGATATTCCTCAGTCCTTGTATGAGGAAGAAGGCAGGCAGATGTTTGGATCAAAACTTCTTGAAGTTCAGGTCAGCACTTACTATTTTCCTCAGTCCTAGTATGAGCGAGATTGGAATTTGCTCCCGAAAAGTATAATAATAGGGAGGGAGATGCGGAAATTCCAACGTGACTACTTGCCCAAGTAAATTGGATCACATTAAAGAAAAACCATAAATTGAGAGGCTTGCTTGGTTTGACGTGCTACAAAGCTAGTCTCACTCCTCAAATATGTGGCTAGAGAGTAGGATAAAAAATGAACTTTAGAAGGTGATTTATAATAGGAACAAGTGGAAAATGGGATGTTTGGCTTGAATCATATTTGGATGATAAGTCATTTGGTTCAGTTTCAGGCCTAGGGACCGGGTCAAATACAGTTAGGTCAGATTTGGGCCTATTGTCAATTTACATTATTTTATAATGAAAATATCAATCGGTATTAGTTTTAAAAAGAATTGGGTCAAAATCAGTCACTTAATTACAAGTACGATTCAGGGCTGGGCGGCTGGCTCAGGCTAATTTGAGTTAGGCCAGTTTTGCCAGGTGCATTGTGAAATAGCCTATGGGTTTCCCACAATACATGATCCATCTGTCATTTATCCTAATGTTTTCTTTTTCTGTTTCCATTTGATTTTATAGGCACAAATGAAGCTAACTGACGAGCAGTTGGCATCCTTGACAAATCCTAAGACTGTAAGTGAGTACATCGAACAAGAGAAAGAAAATATAATTCAGATCATAAAACAGAATCTGGCTGTAGGAGATATTTTCAAACGAGAAAATTTGCAGGTAAAGATCTTTTAGCTAAAGCATGGACAGTTTCATCTAATGTCCCCTTCTCTTATGCTAAAGCATCCAACTACACTTTCCTTGTTACCTCAGCGCATAATTCCTTATTCGCTGTTAAGGCATCAAAGGTAACTTTATAAAGAACCATACCACTTGCTGATGATACTGAATGCAGGTATCAACCGATGAAGTGGTCAAGGAGGTTGAAAACTCCATTGCAGAATTTAAGAAACATCAGCAAGACTACGATGAAGAACGTGTCAGAGGACAGGTTTACCCTTTTGTTTGCCCATAAAATTTTATTTCTTGCCTTACTCCTTTCTTCTTCAAGTGTGATGCTTTAATGTTTATATATTGAATTATTCAGGTTGAAGAGGTTCTGGAGGGAGCAAAAGTGCTCGAGTGGCTGAGAGAACATGCTGAAATTCAGTATATTATCAGGTGAAAAGCAGAAAACTATACTCAGAACTGGGAAGAAAACCTGTTTTGTTGCTCATTCGGTAATTAAGCTACTTCAGATGCTCTATAGTCTGTTTATCAATGAGGCCGCGTTATTTGACACTGCATGGGGTGTGACCCAAATTTGAGTTACTTATAGAGATGTTTTGCCCGTGACTCAAAAATTTTGTAATTGGAGTGTTGGCATTTGAAGTATCAGTTTTATTGTATATAGGAAGTAGCTACTTAACTTCAGTTGTTTCTTTAGTGATCTTTTCTTTTCAGTCACATATTAATATTTTGGTAGCACATAATTACATAGTAAGACCAATATAAATGATCAGATATTTGATAAAGAGAAGAAAAGGCCTTAAATGGGTTGAGGTGAGGATTGATATCAATCCTCCCTCTGTCGTCTAGATGCAAGGGTTTGATTCTTGTGGGATACAAGGACTGGGAACACTAGGTATGCAAGTCTAACTCGAGAGAGGACATGTTTGATGTAGCCTGTATAATATTAAATATCGATCCAAGGAATTTTTGTAAGAGTTTTGTACTCCCTTCGCTTAGAGTCAACAATCGTGTATACTACTCGTATTTAAATTGTCATTGTAATATGACAATTTCTTATACCAATGACTTGCCGACCAATAAACTAATTCAAGTATATACTCCCTTAGTTCCTTCCTTTGTGAAAAGTTTACCTATTCCATGTTAAAGTGTTTTTATTTTATGATGTCAATTCAATTTTATACGTGTTTTGAGTAAGCAGCTTTTACCATCTTACTACCGCACCCATATTTACTCTTGTTAATGCACCCTCTCACTAGTCACTCCCGCACCCATATTTACTCTTGTTTATGCACCATCTCTTACAATAGACACTTATTTTTTATATCTACCAACACTCCTAGAATCAAAAGTCAACAGTAAATGAGTATATAAAAAGAAATCGGGGAGAGGAGAGAGGTAACAACAGTAGTATATATACTGTACTTATGTAGTCATATTCTGCAAGGGAACAAATTTGGAACATGGCTCGTCCCAAGTCCCAACGATGGATCTTCCGGATCCCCTAATATACTTTGTCAAGCAGTTCGTAGTCTCTGTAACCCCAATCCCCCTTAATTTCTTGTATTAGTTTGGTAAAGAGAGTTAAGTATTCTCCTTGTAGTTTTGAGTCAGTTGAGAAGTAGTCTCCTTTTTGGACCGTAGAAAAGAAAAAAAAAATCTACCACATTGCTACACATGATTACCAAAATAAAAAAATAAAAAAAAAATAAAAAAAATAAAAAAAAAACCCTACCAAAATCAATATTGCACGTGCGTGAAACTGGAATGAGCATGTGTTTAGATTTAAGTTTTTTTAGCATCTCACTATGTGTGTGCATTAGTGCATATGTGTCAAATTACATTAATACTATACTAATCCAAAAATCATTACATTATCTACATGATTTGGACCATTAGTGCACAAGGTTATTATCATTATTATAAATAGCTTATTTCATGCAATAATTTTGTGCAATGAGGTAAAGGTAATAGCTCTCTTCTTATGCAATAAATAGTTTCATGCAATAATTTTGTGCAATGAGGTAAAATAGTTTCATGCAATAATTTTGTGCAATTTAGTGCACAAGGTTATTATCATTATTATCAGTAGTTAGTACGGACAATGAGGTAAAGGTAATAGCTCTCTTCTTCTTTAATCATAATTGTTAATTGGTTACAGAAAATGTAAAATCAAGTAACGTACTACTCGTTTTATTAATTTATTACTTGTAATTGTACTTTATCTTTTTACGATTGTCATTATTTGTCAATATAAAACTTTTGACTATGAAAAAAAAACCCTCAAAATGAAGTTTATGATAAGTGTCAATGCTTGAATTATTAAAAAAAATATCTCAAAAGACAAAGGTATGTTTATTTCAATCTGATTTTGATTTTGAGTATTCTAAACAAGAATAAATAAATAAACACGTAAAAAAAATAAAAAACATTTAGTGCTAAAATGTTAATACTCAGTAACTATAAAAAGGAACATTAGTATATTAAAAATAACATGATTATCTAGAGAGATAGAGAGAGAATACAAACAATCCTGAGATCAATCAAGAAAATTGTTGAACAACCTTAGGGTCTTAAGAATCTCGAAATAATTTTCAGCACTTACAGGTAAATCATAAATTGAGTGATTATATAGTTCAAACTTTATAATTCCTTTTCCCTCTTATAAAAATCTTTGATAATAATATATCTTATTTTTGTTTAATCCTTTGTTGACCCTCAACGAGCTAATATAGAGTGTAGCCGATAGGTATGGTATAAGTTTGCGGTTCAATACAATGGACGATTCAATACTCTTATAAATGAAGTTTGTATGGAGATAGGTCAAGTTCCGGACACAAACATTTTAGGAGGTATTGCACGTGCAATTCTTACATTTCAAGGAGATCCATGCCTTAGAACAAAGGATTCATAAAAACTCATACTTGTGCATGGTTTAATTAGAACCAAACTCGTTGATCTGTGATGGATTTAATTCATGGTATTCTTGATGAAATTATTGATACATGTTAGTCATGCTATTGATTTGGAATTTGGTTTAATTAGATTATATTTCTGAATTTGTGAATGATAATTATTTTATCTGTAATGAACCAAGATTAGATTTAAGGTCAATATTCAATTTTTTTAGAGTTAAAATAACTATAATTGAGCTTGTGTATAATTTTTGTAATAAAAATGAATATGTAGTACTTTAAAAATGAATATTTGGTACATTATTAAATATGAAAACTTAGTACATAAAAAATGAACATTTTTTAAACGATTTATTTTATCTTTATTTTCATCAATAATTATATACAATGAATTTGAACATATATGTATAAATGAAATTTATTGTTCATATTTAATCTAATAAATGTTCATACATTTTTCTTTCATAAAAAAAAAAGTTCATACATTTTTTTGACATGTTCATTTTTAAACGTGCTCATTTATTATTATTATTATTACTAGATGAAGCCCGTGCGATGCACGGTTTTTTTGATTTTTTTAAAATAAGGTTTTTTTGGTATTTATGAGCCTAAAATTTGTTATATATTTAGATAAAATTCCTAATATTAAAAGATAATATATAATATTTAATTAATTTAAACTTAAAAATCTCATTCGCCAATTTTTCTTACATGACATTTAAATTATTTAATTCTAAAAGAAATTAATAATCACTTATTTAAATGGAAAGCTAAACGTCGCCCTCGAATCGCTAACTAACGCCCGCAAAATAAACTAAAATTACAAATTTACCCTTTTATCAAAAAATTACCCCCTCAATTTACCCCCTCTACATCATACTACTATACCCACCACCACCACCACCTCCTCCTCTTTTAACCACCAACTCCTTACCTCCGGTTTCACGATCTACACAGCCGCGGTAATGAAAAGTAAGGACAAAGGAAAGTCAATCGCCAACGGAGAAAATGTTTTTTATTTTATTTTTTTTAATTTGCGGCAAACGCCTAGATTTTTCGCACGTCCTAGGCTCAAACGCCTAGTTCTTGTGAACAACCGTGTGGTTGTATGAAAAATCTGGGCGTTTGAGGTGAAACGCCTAGTTTTTTAGAATACCCTAGGCTGAAACGCCTAGTTTTTTCGAATAGCCTAGGATGTTTTGAAAAAACTAGGCGTTTCAGCCTAGGGTATTCTAAAAAACTAGGCGTTTCCTGGGTTTTGAATTTTTTAAAAAAATTTATCGCGACGTACCAATTTCATACGGTTTGACGAGCCTTCTACAAGCGTCTAAGATTGTGTTTCTTGTATTCGTCGTTGTCCATAAGATCTAACGAAATTGAGTTTGCAAAATTTTAAAAATTTGTTTGATTTTGAAACTCACGGTGGTTTGGGTGGTTGTTCGATGACCGTTGGTGGCCGTTGACCACTAGAGAGAACGGTAAAAAATTTTGTGTACAGTAAAAGTGTGAAATTGAGGTAAAATTAATTATTTTTTATAATTATTATAAGGATAAATACATTATTTTATTTTATTTTGCGGGCGTTAGTTAGATATTTGAGGTCGATATTTAACAACCCCCTTATTTAATTGGCTACTACTAAGATTTATAATCCTACATGGCGCGCTGAGAAAATTAGATCCTACGTGGCTCTCTAAAAACTCGGGAAAAAACTCCCCTTTATATATATACTAGTTTGGTGCCCCGTGCGATGCCCGGATTGTTCGTTGAATTATAATATAACAATTTTTTTAAAAAAAATTATAATTCAATTTGTACATCTGAAATATTAGTATTTTAACGAAAATAAAAACTCTAAATTAACAATTTTATCCTAAAATTCTATTCAAATAGAATTCTAAACTAACTTTCATTTATCTTATGAAGTCTATTTAAATTTATCCAACGTGGCTTAGTTATATGATTATATTGATTTAATTAGTTTTCTCATATGATTAGAATTCTTATATTACTTTGATTTTATTATTAATAATATAAAATTATATAGGATAGTGTAATTATAAAATGTTATCGTGTATAATAAAATATGATATTTGTAATACAATTTTCGTAACGATTTAGACTTTTAATACTCTTAGCATTGAACACATACGGTGTTATGGAGTACATGAATGAATTTTCTTTTTCCTTTTTTAATTTGTATTTTTTAATTTGTATTTTTATCTTAATACTAAACGCTGCTAACATTCAATGAGTTTAATATATTTTTGATAGTCAAGGGTGCATGCCTTGCACGTGAGGCACATACTAAACGCTGCTAATATAAACATTGAGTCAATGTTTAGTAATGACTCCTAGATAATATGTTTTGATATAGAAGATATAAACTCATGAAAAACAATAACAATGTTGTTTTATTATCTATTTCTATAACAAAAGTTTATTTTTATCTATTTCTATAATAAACTTAACCTTTTTATCTTTACTTTAATAACTTTTTAATCTTATTTACCATCATGACATGTCGCCTACGTGGCACGACACTTGGCAAAAAGTTGAAACGCCAAGTGTCGTTGCCTCGTCGTCTGGCTAAAAGTTTAGCTTTATATATTAGTTATATGATTATTATTATTATTATTATTATTATTATATCTTAAAAACAAAAAGTCATACAACCTACAATAAATTAGTGGGAAGCCGAGATACAATCTGGACCCCCATTCCTCTAGCTATAGCAAATCCTACCCTAGTAAAAATATGAGCTGCAGCACGTGCTCCAATGTCTTGCGTCGTCGAGAACCTCTGAATTCGCTTAAGCAACGCAACAACCTCCTTCTCTAATTCACCAAACGAAGAAAAGGAGAAGGGAATGAACCCATATCCAATCGCCTGACAACGAGCCTCATACTTATCCTGCTTCCACTGAGCTGCATCAGCCACAACCCGTCCAGGAATAAAGTCAGATAGCCTTGACTGTGTCAAAGGAGAAGATCCTGTCAAATCAACACAGACATCGCGACCACGATCCCAAGAATAAAGTAACACATCACTAGGTTTGAGGGCCTCATCGTTCCCTCCAGACAATCCAATATCAACCTCTTTCCTTGCTGAAATCCCAGAACGATAGCAAACATCAATTAGGGTATCCCGAACAACATTATGTCTATGTTTAATACTCACGATACCAGCACACGACACCGCGTGATCGCCAAAAATATCCCCTGGAAAAACCCTCGAACAAGCAGAGCACGGTGTCGAGGCAGAGAACAACGGACCACCCAATCGGTAGCATAATACACATCGATAAGTCTTTGCATTCATAGTTTGACCCAATCCTGAAATAGGAACGGCCCGAAGCCAAGCAAACGTGTGATCTCCCTGCTGAGATTTCCACAATGCTGATAGACGAGGGGATAATGAAAAGGTGGATTCTGCAAAATCGGTAACCTTCGTGGAATATATATCTGCCAGTTTCTTCATAAGTTTTGGGGCAGCGACCTCACTAGGATTACTTAAAAAATCAGACTCCACCACGCCATTAAACAAACCCAAAGCGTCTTCAAAAGCTCGAACATGACCAACAATGTCAGCATGCCGTAGAAGCTTTGTTTGCAACCCAGTAGACTGCAACCGAGAAGCAAGAAAAGCATAATGCCGAATATCACCTGCAGAATATATCTTTAATTCTTTTTTACTAAATATTCTTTTTATTGGGCATGGTCTTGCTATTTTATTATTTTATGATAATCATGTTAATTTTTAATAGATTAAATATTCATTTTTTTTAACTTGGTATTTACTTTTTACTACTAAATGTTCACTTTTTTACTTGTTCATTTTTTGCTGTAATTTATTTATTTATTTATTTTTTTTGAAGGATCATTTTTTGCTGTTATTAAATGTTCATTTAAGACTCATTGCTGCATTTGCAATTTTTTTTTTAAAAAAAAAATAATCCAACTGGCAAATAGAGAATTATTGGGCTTAAAACATTACTTCTTGAAATAAATAAGCAAAGGGCCCATCTGACCCCTTAGAAGGGTGCATGTCATGTGGCCCATGCTTAAGAATTTTATCCATTATAATAATGAACTTCTTTTTTTTTTTGGGGGGGGGGGGGTGATTTTATAGATATAATAATGAACTTCTATTATTATAATTCTATCCATTTTAATATTGATTTTCTATAATTATAACAATAATAATACATATAAATAAGCCTAGTTGTTGAAGCAGTAGAGAAGGACAAATTGCATGTGAAATATTTTGGATGGTTCAAATGGGTCATCAACGTTATGACCCCATACTCTATTACCCACATCACTTCCTAGGGACTCAAATTAGAAAAGGACCTACTAATAAAAGTCTATTATATACTCCGTATGTTGGTTTCTGCTTCCTATTTGAGCTACTCACATATCCAACACTTTAATAATAATAAGTGATTAGTGGATATGATCTCGTTTAATTGGTGAAGTTTAAGGCGCTATTCAAGATTAGAAGTCGAATAAGTTAATTTTATTATCAATCATTTATCTATATATTATAAAAAATAGAAGATTTGATAAAGAAAACTAGTAGTTACTAAATACAAAGTACTTAGGGTAAATACATGTGTGATGTGTGACATGTGTCATGTCATAGGTTTTTTTAAAAAATATTTGGGTTTTTTTAAAAAAAAAAAATATTTTATTTATTTTTTAGGGTAAAAAGAACTCCGATACTATGAGGAGGGATTATAGGAAATTCCCTCATAAAATGAAGTTGGTGAGCTGAGATTAGATCCATGACCTCACACGAAGAATTAACTTATTCCAATCTCATATCTTGAATACATAGTAAGGGTCTGTTCTCATTGACTAAACTCAGCTTTACTGAATTGAACTGAGCTGAGCTGAACTGAATTGAATATTTTATAAGAGAAGGAAATTAGGAGCTGAACTGAATTGAACTGAACTGAACAGAACTAAAAATAAACGTATTAGAACAGGTCCTAAGTTAGTAGCAATAAGCAACACTCTTGCATGTATTATATGCACATATAATAAAAACATTGGCCTTGTTTGGGAGAAAGCTGAAAGCTGAAGCTGATTAAGTTAGCTGATTTTGACTAGCTGATTTTATTAACTGATTTGACTAACTTATTGTGTTAGCTGATTGTATAAAAGTGTTTGGTAAATAGCTGATTACTTAAAGCTGTTTGAGTTTGCAAAATGGCCAATAAGGACATTAGCATATTTAACTTTGAAGAAGTAGTTATTTCATAAATGATATATGTATTTATTGTTAACAAATTTACATGGTAGATATAATTGGGCATATAATTTTATCAATGATATTATGAGATAATTTTTGTACATAATTCATTTTATGAAGTTGTGAGATCATTTTTTATATTTTTTTTTTTGAAAGAAGATCATTTTTTATATTAACATTGCAAGAATAATTTTATATTAACAATAGTGAATGCACAACATCAATGAAATCGAAAAAAAATATTACAAGCTGAACTTTGTAATGTTACAATGCAAACAACCTTTTGATATTGGAAAATGAGAATGTCTATTAAATTAAAAAAAATCTATGTCTAAGAAATACGCCGTCGTCTTCTGGATTGCCTATTTGCCATCAAACTAGCAGTAATTTCATTTCGAATTTTTATCATCTCGTTGGTACTCAAATCAGCTAAAGTTGGTCAAATAAGCTAATATAGGCCCAATAAGCTAATATAGCCCCAATAAGCTAACTACCAGTGTTTGATAATTAGCTTATTGAATAAGCTTATTTACCTCAATAAGCTGTTTTCCAAAACGTTGGGGCTATATTAGCTTATTTGACCAACTTTAGCTTATTTATATAATAATCCTTATATGAACCGCGGCCGAGTCAATGCATTGGTCATGTTTTCATGGGAGTCTCGAGACAATGCTCCATTGCTCCACGCATTACCATGAAAAAGGCTAAAGTAACACTTACTTATACTGTATTATTAAGTAATATCAATCAATCACAGTGATTAATCATGGAATTTTAAGCACTTTACCAAAATCACTAATGCAAGAAAGGAACAAAAAGTTCGTACAATATAGAACTCGGTAAATGTATATTTTATGATATAGACTACCAGCATTATTAAATTACTATTTTAATAGTAAAAACAAAAAAAAAAATTAATTGTTTGTATGTGTTAATGTGGCCTATTAATTAACTTTTTAAGGTTGTCTACTCGTGAAGATTGGTTAAGAAGTATGGGCATGCCATCCCTGTGTCTATTTTTATTTTTATTTTTATTTTTAATTTATTTATTTATTTATCTTAGCTGTATAAAATAAAATAAAATAATTGAAGTATTTTTAATTTTTAAATATATTTGAAGTATTTTTAATTTTTAAATATATTTTCTTTTTTGCAGTTGCGCCAAAAGTGAATAGATTGCCAGTCAAAGAAGCAGCTATTAGCTCAAGCTGGTCAAAAACAGCAAAACTAGTCAAATGTCTTCGTCTCTAACTACCAACTACATCCTTGTTCGCCAAATTACTCCGTAATTATGTACGGAGTAGGAATTAAGTGTTGCTTGGACAGCTTGGAACTGGACTTAATTGATGGAGTTAATTGAGGTGACTTACATAGTTACATTCTATGGCGATATTAAGAACCACGGAGTACAATAATTTGTTTCTAGATAGAGGTGATTAACATTTATCCGGTCCGAAAATAGAGCAGGTTTGGGTAAGCCTAAAAACACATTTTTAGTTAAAGCCTGAACCGATCCGAAAAAGCTCGAAAAATCAGCTTTGGCCTGACAAGCTCGCTTCTTTTTAGCGGGTTTGAACACGACATATCATGTTAAGACCTGACCCAGCTCGAATATTTTACCAACTCTAGTTCTAGTATGTATACTAATGCTGTTCTACTCGCATTTTCTAATAACGTCCGTTTCTGTAAGTTATTTATGTGAAGGAAAATCTACGTTAGTTTATTGCCACGTTGAGTGTTTCATATAATATACTCGTAGAGATTAACATGAAACCGATAAATTTCACAAAAATTCAAATAGATCGAGTATTATGTATGTGCAAGATGATCATTTGGATCATACTATTTTTGTGCAATCAATGAACAAGATTTTAAGAAGGGAAAATCCTTAGATATGGTTTGGACATAAGATTGATTGTATGGAATCATCAATGTCTAACACATGCATGACACAATAACTCAAACCCAAAAAAGATTTTAAAAAGTGTTGCACATGGTAGCCAAACACAACATGATATGCCAATGGTCATGTCGAAGGTATGAGATGAGCATGAATACCATTTTTGTTGGAAAAACATGAAAAGGTAAAATCCAACACAACTTACTAGTACTCAACTTTGTATAAGTTAATACATTAACGAATAGAAACGTGATTTAATTATACCTAGTCATAAACTCATAATATAGCCACCATCAAACAAGTATGACAGAACACTACACGAGGTCGCGACCTAGCTACATTGTGGCTCAAGCCTAAACAACCACCCATGACTCCACGAGACCACTAGTTCATGACCCAATGCTCTCAAGTAAGATCTTAAAGGGCAAAAACTGTCATTTGAGAAGGGAACAATGTCACAACTCACAAATCACAATCAGTAAACACCACAAGAAATCATAGGTGCCAGATTTGTCAAACAAGAAAAAGAAATTATTTTTAATTACAAGAAATCAAAATTATAAACCTACCCAAAAAAAAAAAAAATACTTTTCAGACAATCATATGGAAAGGAGAGAGAAAGAAGAGGGTCGCTCACAAAGTAGGCCCCACCTCAATTAACAATCACAAATCGCAATTTTCTCTCTCTTATTCTTCTTACAATCTTCTTCTTCCTTCACTCAAGAGTCCTCACTTCACTCTCTCTTTCTCACTCTTCTCACTTTCTCTCTCCTCGAGACGACCAAAATACTTCAGATCTAACTACCCAGAAAACCCCAAGCATTTCATAATTGTAAGCTTTTTCTTCCTTTACTTCTCACTTCATTTACTTCTACATTGCCTTTTTCTTGCTATTTTTGGTAATGGGTATGGCTTAATTTTTGTTATTACTGCTTAATTTGTCTTATTATTATCTAATTTGGAGTGGGTTTTTGTTTTATTGCTTTGAGGATCTGAATGATTTACTGATTTCTTGATTTAATAACTGATTTCTTGAGTTAATTCATTTGGTGGGTTTTGATTTGATTTTTACTGGGAATTTTTCTTTTCTTGATTTTTCTGGGGTTTTTTTGTTGGTTAATGAGGTGGTTTTAGTTAAAGATCTTGTTTTAGGATTCTTTTTAATTTAATGATGTAAATGGGATTTGATCTTGGGTTATTGGTTCAAGCAATCCCAAGAGGTTTCTAAATGGGTGTTGGATAATATATCAAAATGACTTGGGGTTTAAGATCGTCAATCTTCTATTTGTTGCTTGTTTGTCTGGTGAAATGGATGAGTTGGTCGATTGCTGATTCTTGAGGGGTTTTTTTTTTTGGTTTAATTTATTTTATATTAATTTATTTTTTAATTATGTGGATTTAGCATGTTATGTTTTTGTTACTTTTTTTAAAGAATCATTATCAGTATAATATAAATAAGAGTTGGATGTTGTTATCATTATGTGGGTTATTGGTGAGTGATGCCAAAGATGTTAATTTTGTGGATAATGTTGCTATTTGCTAAGTTGCAACTTTATAGTACTAGATTGACCTATTAATTTTATGGTAGTACCAATTGTAAATGACAGTTGATCTGTCACATATTATTGCCTTGTCATCTATATTCTTATCACAGTTGGTAGGTGATTGAAACAATTGCTTTCTATTCTGTATATATGATGGAGTGAATGGGAGCCTTAGTGTGATTATCACTTGTATTCTTTCTCGGAATATTCAAGTCGTTTGTTGTTTCGTGGTTTTGTGTGATTATTTGTTGGTTTACTGCTGAGAGAGAGATTGATGGAGGAATGAGGGTTTATTTGTGTGTTTTGATCATTATTAGCTAAAAGATAGTTTCTGCGTTTTTTGTTTTGTTTTTATCATTTTGGAAGTCGGGTTTTTTCTTTTAAATGAAGAAGCTGAAATTTTGGATTCAATGCAGGTCTGTAATAGGCTTTTTCTTCAATGGCAGTGGCAGATGCAGAAAATCCTCTTACAGGAGAAACCACTTGTGGGTCTCTACTACAGCAGTTACAGGTAATTAAAGAGGAATGAGATAATTGTGATTTGAACATCTTAGCATTGTGCTGATTATCATTGTTTGATTGGATGTAGCGAATATGGGATGAAGTTGGTGAAAGTGATGAGGATAGGGACAAGATGCTTCTTCAGATAGAACAGGAATGCCTGGATGTTTACAAAAGAAAAGTTGATTTGGCTGTTAAATCAAGAGCTCAGCTTCTCCAGACCTTGGCCGATGCTAATGTTGAACTTTCTACCCTCTTTTCTGCTCTTGGAGACAAAACTGCTGTCGGAATGGTTTGATTCTGCTATAATTCAATTTATTTATTTAATTTTTTAAGGAGATACAAGCCAATATCTTGTTTGTATCTGATCTACATGTGAATTTGAAGTGTTGATTATAATCAGTCTACACATTACTTTTGGGCAGCCTGAAAAAACATCTGGAACAATTAAGGAACAACTTGCAGCAGTTGCACCAACATTGGAGAAGCTGTGTAAACAAAAAGAGTATAGGTTGAGAGAGTTCTCTGATGTACTGAGACAGATTCAGGAAATTAGTGGAGAAATTGCTGGGAAGTTGAATGTGAATGATGCACCAGTAGTTGATGAATCGGATTTATCCCTACCGAAGTTAGAGGAATATTATGCTCAACTTCAAGATCTTCAAAAAGAAAAGGTATAATTTAACCTTTAATATTACATGGTGATACTATGTCCTATTTGATAGGAGTTACACTCATAAATTTTGTTGACGTGACAGAGTGAAAGGCTGCACAAGGTCTTGGAATTTGTGAGCACTGTACATGATCTTTGTTCTGTCCTTGGTATGGACTTCTACAGCACCGTGACTGAAGTGCACCCAAGCTTGAATGACTCTAATGGTGTGCAGTCAAAAAGCATTAGTGATGAAACACTGTCTAAGCTTGCTGAGACAGTTGTTGCTCTAGAAGAGGACAAAAAACAGAGGCTTCATAAGGTAAACCATTGATCAAACTACTCAACATCATTTAGACTTGCTTAAAGTTGGTGTGATCTCTTAAAGTTCCGACCCCACTCAATATGTAAAAAATTTTGAGCTCAAGTTCCAATGGTTACCCTGAAAGGCTGAAACAACCCGGAAAAAGAAGGAAAAATAGAGTTTATCCGAAGTGACTTGACCTGAACCAAACCAAACTGACTAAAGAGTGCCACACCTGTGATTCTCAAGTTGTCCTTGTAAATTTTGTGTTCATGTTTCATTATAAGCTGCTGCTATGAGGGGATGTGAGGTTAGAATTTGATGTTGCCATACATGTAAAACTAACATGAGGCTAACAGAGTGTCTCTAAGTGCAGCTTCAAGAGTTAGCTAATCAATTAACTGATCTTTGGAATCTAATGGACACTCCTGAAGAAGAGCGACAATTGTTTGACCATGTTACATGTAACATATCAGCCTCAGTGGATGAAGTGACCATTCCAGGTGCTCTTGCTCTGGACCTGATTGAGCAGGTACTGTAGTTGTAATTTATGTATGCTGCTCTTACAAAAAATGATGCTTGGTACTGACAATAGTTTTTTCATTATGCTTGGACTTTTGGTGGTTAGGCTGAGGTTGAGGTAGAGAGGCTTGATCATCTAAAGTTTAGTCGGATGAAGGAAATTGCCTTCAAGAAGCAGGGTGAACTTGAGGAGATATATGCCCGTGCACATATAGAAATTGACACAGAAGCTGCTCGGGAAAAGATTTTGGCAATTATTGATGCTGGGAATGTTGAGCCCTCAGATTTGATTGCTGACATGGATAGTCAGATCTTGAAGGCCAAAGAAGAGGCTCTTAGTAGAAAAGAGATACTGGACAGGGTTGAAAAATGGATGTCAGCTTGTGAAGAAGAGAGTTGGCTTGAAGACTACAACCGGGTATGGCTCTATTCTATTTTGTTTTGTATTTCAGGGATTTAATTTCTTTTTCTGTGTCTTGTTGTTTCTTTCTTTTCTATTCTCTTCCAGAGGTTAGAAATGTTTGGTATTGATTTTGCTTTACAATGGGCATTGCTAGTTTATGCGATACAACCATTAGTAACCTTAATGAAGGTTTTATATTTCTTCTTTTGTCATCATTTTCACCCGTCTTTCTAGCGAAGTGATGTGTTGAGCGCAAGCACATGCGTTGGCCTCTGACTTAGAACTTCTTTCATTTTTACAGGATGACAACAGATATAATGCTAGCAGGGGTGCTCACTTAAATCTTAAGCGGGCAGAGAAAGCCAGAATTTTGGTGAACAAAATCCCAGGTTTGTATGATATTTGATGAAATATGAAGCTGCATTTAGTTGCTGCCAACTGATTCTTCACACAATGCAGGCTGCTTATAACTTTAATATGTGAATTAAACTACTTTTGTGACCTTGCAGTGATGGTTGAGACTCTTGTTGCCAAAACTCGCACGTGGGAAGATGACAGGGGTCTGACATTCACTTATGATGGGGTTCCCCTGCTTGCTATGCTGGATGAATATGCCATGCTCAGGCACGAAAGAGAGGAGGAGAAACGGAGGTTGAGGGTAAGTAACTTACTGTAACAGCTCAAAGCAAAACTCCTGGCTGCATAGCCTGGTCACGTATTATTCCATTTCACCCCTTGTTTACATAGGCTGGATTTTAAGCATAGTGGTGGGAAATTCTACTTTCTTAAATCAAACAACTTAAAGAGAGAGTACTACATGCCTGGATTCTCGGATACAACATACAAACATTATAAAAAGTCTGAGGCTTTGAGCCAATACCATCCCCTTCTCTTCCATTTTTGTTCTCCCTAGATTATGTATGGAGTTGGTTTGAAATGGCTAGGCTAGTACCTGTCCTCGATGGTAAATGGACTGTATATTGCATTGTTTAGTTGTGATGGTAACTTCTGTGTTGACCCTGCAGGATCAAAAGAAATATGTTGAGCAGGTAAGCACAGATCAGGAAACTGCTTTCAGTTCAAGACCTAGCCCTGCTAGACCTGGTAGTGCCAATAAGAAAGGACCACGTGCAAATGGAGGCCCCAACGGGACTCCTAATCGTCGACTCTCTCTAAACAGCCACCAAAATGGAACTCGATCATCGAAAGAGGGTAAGATCAGGCCAGCAGCTCCAGTGAATTATGTTTCCGTATCGAAAGATGATGCTTCCTCCCACATCTCTGCCTCAGACTCTATTCCTGTTACGCCTTAATAGTTGAAATTAGAAGAGATAATCTGTAGGTTTGTTGTCATAGCGTAGTTTTAGTTCACTGTCGTAGGATGATAAATGTGAACAGTAAGGTGTAATGAGAGTATTTAGTATATACTGGGAACTATGTGTGTTATATTGACATTAAGAAGCTTACTAATTCATGCTGTACTATTTCCCATTTTCCCATGTTAGTTGGTTGCGAAACCTCTGGGATAACCAAGTCCCATGCCTTCGAAGATTTTTGTTCACAGAGCATCAGTAACAGAGAAATTCTTCTCACATGTTGTATAACTGTATAAGCTATAACTTTTTACTTCTACTCAGAATTTACGCTTGCAAACAATGGTCATTAGCAAGGCAAGTTAAGTGCCAAAATTTTGCCTGTTGCCTGTTTTCGCCTAAGTTTGTGTCAACTTAAACGAACAAATTCATGTTCAAGATCCTCTCAGCTTGATAACTTGCGATCTTCAAATGAAATCAATTGTTTGTGGGCGAATTGCTCATCTCGACTATTTTCTATGTTGAGTCTTGATCGTATGAATATGAATAGCTCGTGAGTTGTCTCGTCTCATGAGCATCTTGAGCACCAATGAACCTGCAAAGTTCTTGCTAGTCGTTGCTACCGTATCATTTCTTCTCGTCGCATAGAACTGTAATTCATTTCTTCTCTCTCTTCCTTTAGAAGTTTAGATGAACCTAATTTAATCACAAATCATCAATTATTTTTTATTTATATTTTGTTCCTGGTAAATCTGGTTGTAGGTCGATTTCATGCAATGGAACAAAGGTTAAAAATTCTTCATTTCTTTCTTGAAGCAGCTTGTAAAGGTTCTGATTTATCTCAATCTCAGTTATAAATTAAATTTTTTATGAGCATTTATTTGCATTTTGAGTGTTTTTGTAAAATAATTTCCAAAAAAATAAAAAATTATATTGAGAATTTTACATTTCAATATGTTAGCTCTTGTTGCTGGAGTTTACCAGAGTTAGGTCGACTGTATGAATGCCAGTGAGAACATAAGATTTATGAAACCGAATCGATTAGAAAAAAATGTCATAATTTCAATTTTGGTTAGTTATAAGTCCTTTTCACACTATAATCTAACTTTAGTAATTCTATGGATATTATTGAATTACACCACAATTGACTTGATCAATTCATTCAATTGATAGAGACAGATGCAAATTCGTAGGAACTTGACATTTGCTGTTCAATACATACATTATTTACTTGAGGTCAATATCTTACGAGACTAATCGATTCGAGCCGAGCTTGTTGTTAGCCTTTTGTTCAGCCAATCTAACCCAACCTAAAACTAGATCAATCACTTCTGTACTTAGCGTTAGATTTAAGAGATTCAGGTAATTTTTTGACATAGAAATGGACATTGGAACAGTGCTATCTGTTGCTCAGACTGTAATTGCGGCACTGCAATGTCCAGAGCTCAAAAAGATGTGCTCAATTCTTGGCTACAAAACCCAACTTGGTGACCTTCAAGTCACTGTATCAGCCATCAACACTGTGCTCCGCAAGGCAGAAGCCAAGCGCGAGCTTAATGATGAAGAACAGCTTTATGTTGAGGACCTCAAGGATGCAATCTATGAAGCAGATGATCTGTTGGATGAGTTTGTTACACTGGTTGAGCAGAAGAAACTCACAGAGAGTGACAAGCTGGCGCGTTTCTTTTATCTTTTTAACGAGTTAGGTGTTGCTTACAAGATGTCTAGAGGGGTTGAGAAGATTAAGAGGAAGTTGGATGCTATTGCTTACAACAATCAGTTTAGATTTAAGCTTGATCCTGAGCCTAACAGGAAGAGGAGGCCCGAGAGCGATTCTTGTGTGAATGCAGTGGATATTATTGGAAGAGAGGATGACTTGGAGAAAATCATTGGTATGCTGCTTGATTCTAATGTTCAGCAAGATGTGTCTTTTATTACTATTGTGGGTATTGGAGGGTTAGGCAAAACTGCCCTTGCTCAACTTGTGTACAACGATCCAAGGGTCAAGAGCACATTTTCGTTGAGGTTGTGGACTTGTGTCTGTGATCAAGATAGAAAAGAATTGGACTTAGAAGATATTCTTGGTAAGATTCTGGCTTCAGTTACTGGCCGGAAGCATGAGGGGGTCAACCATGGATTGGGTGCAAGGACAGCTTCGAAAAATACTAGCAGATCATAAATATTTGCTTGTTTTAGATGATGTATGGACTGAGAATCGCAATCAATGGTGTGCTTTGGTTAAATACTTCATTGGAGGTCAAACGGGAAGTCAAATAGTGGTGACCACACGTTCGCAAAAAACTGCAACAATTATAGGAGATAGTTCAATGTATGAGCTACAAGGTTTGTCAAAGGAGGATTCATGGTGTTTGTTTGAAAGGACAGCATTTGGATCAAGACAATCAAACCTCCCAGATCATGACTTAGTCGAGATGGGCCGAGAAATTGTTGATTTATGTGCTCGTGTCCCTCTTTCTATAAGAGTGATAGGTAGTCTGTTGTATGGTCAAGACAAGAGTACTTGGAGGTCATATCAGAAGACGGGGTTAGCCAACATCAGGGAGGGTGAAAACGATATTATGCCCATATTGAAGTTGAGTTACCATAATCTTGAATCTCCACTAAAGAGTTGCTTCAGTTATTGCTCATTGTTTCCCAAGGATTTTGAGATAGAGAAGGATATGTTGATAAGCCTTTGGATGGCACAAGGCTACATTGTTCCATTAGATAAAAATCAGAGCATTGAAGATGCTGGCGAGGAATATTTTTCGACCTTGCTGAGAAGATGTTTCTTCCAAGACATCAGAATAGACGCATTTAATGACATAATTACATGTAAGATACACGATCTCATGCATGACATGGCTCAAAGTGTCACTGAAAAGGAGATATATGCAACAAATACCATTAGTGGCAACCTGGATAAAAAAATTCGCCATCTATCAGTTGCCAGTAGGAGGGAATATGGCAGATATTTCTTCAGTAAGAACCATATTCGTTCCTACCTTCATGTTGACCGAGGTGGCTTATTATTGAGCACGGTGGACCTGTTTTTCCTAGAGCCATTAGTAGCAAATTGTATGTGCCTAAGGGTATTAGACCTAAGTTGGTTAAAGATCAAGAAATTGCCAGGCTCCATCGGTAAATTGTTGCATTTAAGGTATTTTGATCTCTCATATAATGTTGATTTGGAAATGCTTCCTAAGTCAATTACAAAACTATATAATCTCCAAACTTTTTTATTAACCGGGTGTGAGAAATTGGAAGAGTTACCAAAAGATTTGTGTAAATTGGTTAAGCTCAGGGTTTTGGATATAGATGATTGCTACCATCTGACTTATATGCCTCGGGGCTTGGGTAAGTTGGGTTGCCTTCATAGGCTAAGTAACTTTATAGTGGGAGAAAAAGGGAGCAATTCAAGTTGGAATCAATGGTTTAGCGCGCTGGAAGATCTAAAGGCTCTAGAGAAGCTGAAGGGTGATCTTGAAATCCAAATCAGATGGCCAAAGGATGCTAATAATGCTGTTAAGGAAGATTATACGAGGGATAGATTATACCTGAGGAATAAGGAACATCTCAAGGCCATTTGTTTTAAGTTCACTCATGAGGAGGGTGGTGGAAGAGTTAATGATGAGATGGCAGGAAGTTTGATGGAAGAGCTGCAGCCGCATTCTAATCTGAAACGGTTAGAGGTGCAGGAGTACCATGGTGCGAGAATGCCTGATTGGGCAACCCTTCTTCCAAATCTTGTTCAACTTTGTCTTTTTCATTGTGGGGAGTTGGAATACCTGCCATTCCTGGGAAGCTTGTGTCATTTGAAAGTCCTCAAACTTTTAGGGTTGGATAAGTTGGAGTACACAGAAGTAAATACTTCATTGGATAATTCCAGTTTCATGCCTGCATCCCAATTGGTGTGTACAGAGGAACTATCATTCTTTCCCTCTCTTAAGTTACTTTGGTTAAACAATCTGCCGGAGTTCAAAGGTTGGAGGAGAACGGTAGTAGGTCTGGGAAATCATCATCTTACTCAAGTTACTCTTGATAGCAGCAACAGCAACAAGGCACAGTGGCAGTTAGTACCGTGCCTTTCTCAAGTGAGGTCATTGGAGATTAGAAGGTGCCCAAATCTGACATGTATGCCACTGTGTCCTAAGGTGGATAACCTATATATATACAAGTCCAATGATATACTAAATGAGAAATATATACGGAATGGGATGATAAATTAGAAGATGCTGCTCCATAAATTTTGAGTTTCGGTAGTGTTCCTGTGCGCAATTGAGTATGATTAGCTTAAACAATGATTAGCTTAAACAGTGTGGCATGGCTAAAATTGTTGCTCATGGAGGTGCTTTTCATGGCTGCTCATTTGGATGTTTGCAGCACATATTCTATGCAACTTTTGTAAGTCTTCACAGTTATCTGTTGGGAAGTAACTCTGAGCTAGTCCAGAACAAATGTTTGTACATTGTTTGTCATAACATTAGATTTATAGAATTACAGGTCTGTAGATATTAGCTACATTAAAAATTAGTAACTGGATAGATTGTAGATGAACTTTATTGATTATATGTAAGACAATTACAAACTGTTAACTTATTTAGTTTTTCATTTTTTTTGGGGTGGGGGGGATTCTATCTTTTGCTAATATTTTCGCTTTCATTGATTAATGTGATTTTAATGCACACTTTTTGTTTCTGAATTATAATTATGAATTATCTTCGTATTTTCTTGTTGACTATTTCTCTAGTGGTAGTATATTGTAAAATTGCAACCTAAATTTAATAATCAGGGCCAGGCCAAAGGGGGTGAAAGCCATGCAATTGAAACTACATCTTATACATTATTAGGATCTGCTGTATCCTGTATGTGCTTCTCCGTATCTGCCTCTCTTATATGTCCCCTATACAGAGCTAGGTGTACCCAAAAACACCTAAGACTATGTATAGTATCTATGTTTCGTTGTATATTGGTTACTATATATAATCTATAGATTACTCTATGCAGTGCTTGTGTTTTGCATTTTCTCGTCTTTCTGGTTCTTTGCAGCAACAATTTCTCTTCATTTCTTCTTTTTAGCTGTTTCTGCCCGTATTTTTTATTTATTTATTTTTTTTATAAAATAGTTAAGCCTTCATTTAGTGATGTCTCCATTACTATCTGAATTCAGATGAGGCACTTAAACTTACATTTTGTGTACTTCTTATTATTATGCAGCGTTGCATAGTTTGGTGTAATATGTTGGACTTGTATCTTGATATGATGGCATTGCTTCTACGCTTCTACCTTTTCAATTGCATGTCATGCAATGTGTCTGTTTGAGATCAATGGGCTTTGGAAAGCTGGTAAGGGGTGGATATTATATATTTACCAAACTAAATACTTATCTTTTGCTTTTATACGATGGCACATTGGCATTGCTGATATGATTTGGCTAAATTTTGGTAATCTTTCTTGGCATTGCTTATCTTTGTGTGTGTGTGTGTGAAGGTTTCGGAGATTAACTGGGGCTCCCTCTTAAAATAGCTACAATGCTGTACACAATTTTTTCCCAAGACTAACTGAATGGTTTATTTTGGTCAGGAAATGAGAGACCAACAAACTGAAACTCATTCCAAGCTTATGAATTGAAGATGCACGACGAGTACATGAAGTCTATTTAAACTTCAGATTCCTGAATGGGACACTTACAATCAACAATGAGCTCAATTACCCTTTACAAAGCAAATATGCGTTGTGATCACAACGCTTTGTGAGGGATCGAGCTCAAGAATTGAAGATGCATGACAGAGTATTTCATGGAGTGATGGGGTAAATCAACACTATGGACAGGTCACTGAATTGTGAGCAGAATTGGTATTGGGAGCTTTAATTCATCAATGAGCTCAATTACCTTTCACAGAGAAAATACGTGTCTAACACATGTTTTAATGAAAAGCTATGTACTTTTGTTGGCTGGTTAATGGTCACATTCTATACATACAATTGATATCTTATACCATTGTCCATTGCAGAACCTTAAAACATGTACTCCTAGAAGCCAGTGGTAGGTTATACCATTATATATGCATATTCCGATCTTCCGGTCAAACACATATTTCACATATGTTTGACGTATTTGCTAACACATGATTTTTCACAAATTATACTTTACCTCTAATCACTACCTACACAGCTACACTACTATGCTCTTCAACATTTATCTCTTTCTAATTAGTTTTTTTTTACGAAGTCAAAACTTTAACAACTTTTTAAAAGCTAATGCTAAGCAAGACTTATACCTCAAATACATACAAAATACAAAAAAAATAAAATAATAATAATAAATATCTAAAGCCTACTTTGCAACTAGTAAACGTAAACCACTCAATCAAACCCGATCAACCCATAGCCCTAGCCAACCCGTAAGCTAATCGAGCCAATCTCGTGTCAATATTCTCTGATCCCAGCCTTTAACGGGCTAACGGCCCCGGTGACCCCTTCTATATGCTATCACAGTCGTTACAACTTACAAGTTACAACTAACAATTCCAAAATTGGTTCTCCTTTGCCAAGAGGAAACTTCCTAGATTGGAAAAATAAAAAAAAGCTCGACGTTTTCAAATTTACAAATTTATTCTCTCTCCTTTCGTCTTCTTCCCTGAAACTAATCAAGCTCAGCAATGGCGAGCGACAATGAACCCGCGAAGCTGCTACTACCCTATCTTCAACGCGCCGATGAACTCCAAAAGCACGAACCTCTCGTCGCTTATTACTGTAATTTTCAATTTCCTTTCTTTCCTTTTTAATCACTTTAATTAATTTCATTGTTACTTGAAAACCCTACTTTTTTCGCTAAATTGTATGAAATTTCATCATTTTTGGTGTTGATTTTGGGGAATTTGATTGATAGGTCGATTGTATGCGATGGAACGAGGGTTGAAGATTCCTCAAAGCGAGCGTACTAAGACTACTAGTTCCCTCCTTATTTCTCTCATGAAACAGCTTGAAAAGGTGCTGAATTTTCTCGATCTTGATGTTTTTGTTTATCTTTTTGATCAATTTTGCGATTTTTGAGCGTTAGTGTTGAGTAATTATTGTTGATCATGTTGCTGGAATTGATGAGAACTAGGTTATGAATGTAAGAATTCTAGGGGGATAAATATATTTCTGTTAGATGATTTTCACTTATTTTTGTAATATTTATGGCTGGATTGTTGCCTTGTTGGCCTTTTACCAAGTTGAAAGTATAGTTGAGAGATATGAGACGGCTTATTTGAAATTTTGGGGCTTTGCTGCAAGCGAGAGCTTAAATTGAGGCATTTAATTAGCAGTGTTGTTTGACAGTATATTGTATGATTGTGAATTTGGATGTGATTATAGATTATAAGCAATAGCACGAGGCCCTTACAATAATACTGTTCAGCTATGTAGCAAGGAACTGGCTTGGGTTTCAGAAATGGGCAATCTTTAGGCTTATCTATTTCCGGCTTCGTTAGCATGTGGTTTTAGAAACAATTATGGGTTTTGGAAGTGGAGAAAGCTCATGTTCAGGGAGTTTCTGTGGTTTCTTGCTGCTCGGTTTGGGTTGCGTTATAGTTGTATCATGTTAGTGGTGTGCCCACAACCTCTAAAACATGCCTAGATTTGTCAATATATAGTTGCATTTTAGAATAAACTTCATTCTAATATAAGTCAAAATATGCCTAGATACGTTCTTTTATCATTTTGATTTTTTTTTAAAATCAAAATATAACTAAATGAAATTACAAATAAGCTTAGATGTTTGATTAGGAAAGAAAAAATGTTTCCATAGTCATTGATTGTGTTTTTTTTTTTTTTTTTTTTTTTTTTTTTTTTTGCAAGAATCTCATCTTACCATTACTCAGTTTGGTGCTGGCTTGTGCTGATATGCATGATAATTGCATATTTTACAGGATAAAAAGTCGTTGAAGTTGGCACCTGATGACCACTTGCACTTAGAAGGTTTTGCTCTAAACGTATTCTCGAAGGCTGACAAGCAAGATAGAGCTGGGCGAGCTGACATGTATGATTATATGTATTATAATTTTAATTTGATGGTTTTGTGATGTCTTCTTGTTAACCATTTAAAGAGTTTGTTTTCATTTTTTTATAATTATTTATTTATATTCACGAGCTTGAGGTTTCACCCTGGAAAGTCTTATCTGCTCCCATGCTTTAGGTCCTTGCTGTTGTGGTTTCTGTATTCTTGTGCATTTTTGTTATTCTATAACTTAGTGTCAAATTACGCTTATCCCAACTTTTAAAACTATTAACTATAATCTAAGCTACTTACACTTAAATTATAGTGCAAGTAATATCGATTTATGATGCATGCTTACAGTTTGGTCTAACTGAGCAATATTTATATGTGCTTATTGGTATTATAAACATTTAATCTATTGAAATATGAGTCAGTTTATGATGCCAGTTGATGCCTTGTAATATGCTCAAAGATGCTCATGTTGCATCAATTGAATTTAGGGTTTTAAATCTTGGTTATGATCATGACCCCAATAATGCAGTAATGGTCATAGATCATGGAAAGATACTTTTATGCAGTGTCATTTAAAGGGTTTGTGGTTGACATAGCATAGCTTTCATTGCTAGTTGATTGGTTGTTTATCAACCTGTATGTGTCAGCCATATTGGTTCTGTGTAAGCTGCATCTGCATCTGCATCTGCTGATGTTTTGTTTCTTGGGCTATATTAGTCAGTTAATTGAGAAATAATTTGTATTGCCAAGATATTGCATATCAGTTTAGATTCAAAAGCATGAGCTATACATGATAGCTTATGAGTTATGACTATTCACTTAAAAACTTTTGGAAAAGAGAGCAGAGGAGAGCGCATCAATACTGAAGGAGACTTCATCTATTTTGAGTAGCTTGGAAGAATGAAAGACGCTAATTTGTAATAGAAAAGTTGGAAGTGTGGAACATGGATGATTTAGGCGGTGTTAGAATAAGAAGAGTGATCTCTTTGGAAAAGACAAGGCATAACGTTATGGCTGGTTGACAAAGTAGAGTACCATGGGACAGCTTGTTTGGAGTGAAATTGGAGGAATCGATCCTTAGGAAAGAAGAGCATAGCCGAATTTTGAAATCGATTTGGGCTAGATAGGGATAGGGGTAGAAATCATAGTAGTTCTCTAAGTATGAATGCGAAAAGGAGGATCCTTCAGAGTTTCGTTAAAGAAATTAAATTGAGTATGGTGCACTGTTTAGAGCTCAAGAGGCTTCTAGAGCAGATCCGTTATACGGAAGGGAATGGATATTTGATATTGTGGACTTAAAAGAGTTGGAGCACTGTTTATGGTCTGTTAGTGCTTGGCTCGAAAGACATGTACAGACTACAAGACGATGTGTTGTATTTAGAATACAAGGCTCTTAGTTTGCAAAGGCATTATTGTTGATGGTTGTACATCGATTCATGCCCCTTCGATCTGCATCCTTTGCCTCTAAAATCTCCTTTTACTGTCTTCCGCACATTCCACACTCAGCTTATAACTAGGAGGCTTAACAGAACTCAGAGATCTTCAAGGAGGTTTCGCATTTTTGCCGTTATCTGCATGCCTAACATATGTATAGAAGATCCATGGCTGCTTGGGTTAATGCATTACAAGGTTCAGATTGTCTTTTGACTTTGTGCTGTGGATGTTTGTTACTGGTCTTTTAAGTTGCATCAGGTCCTCAGGATGCATGACTTGATCCCTACACCTGTGCATTTACTGTCTCCTCTTGAAGGCTTGAATTCATCCTGGGACAAACTTTCTTGAGACGTGATGTAAAATGTTGATGATGAGCTTTCAAAATTGTAGTTTACATTCAACCCAAGTCAGAGGCCTAAGTCATAACTAAAATACCAAGTCTGAAGGCTGGTGAAAACCTGTAAAATAAAATCATAAAGAATTTGTATAGCTTCAAGTAACTCCCAAGGTTTCTTGTGTTCCATCTTGACCTGTTGGCCATCATCAGAATCATCCCCATCCATGAAGTGGATGGGGTTTTTTGTTTTAATAGGGGATACATGGGAGGTAAATTTTTGTTGACATCCTACTTTTTGCTTTTGGTGCTGGTGAACTGCCATCTTTGGTGGTGGCATGAGATTTGAGGAGTATAATTCATTATGGTGCTTTTGGTGAGAATTTTGTGGCATGGGAAACCTCTCAGGGCATCTGTTTTGATTGTTTTTTAGAAGTGACAAACTGACTGATTTTACTAATGATTAGCCCCATGATGAATAAATAAGTTCAAGACCCCTTTTAAGTTGTAAAACAAGGAAGAAAACACACTATTATAGAAAGGAATGTTAAATGCAGATGCCATATGATGAACAAGAGAGTATAATTTAAATTCAACTGTAGATTAAATGAATTGGATGATTTCAGAAGGAGAAAAGACTGGTATTGCTTGTGGTTTTTGGGTGGGAACAGAATTAATTGATGTGGCACTTTGGTTTCATGGATGATACTATTCTATATCAGTTATGTTTTGGAAAATTTGATGAGCGCTTAACTTTCTTGGATTTGTTTTGGGACCTAAATGTGGTTTAAATGAATGTCTTTGGGAGATAAAGTAAGGATGGATTTCTTTGGGGAATAAAGTAATCTAAAGAACAGGGCTCAGTTTTTGTTGGGAGGTCATTTCATGGATTTTTGAAGTCTTGAGCTTCTGTCGGTTGTGGTTGAGAGGTATGAAGAATTGCGAAGGTTTCATTATGTTTGGAGTGTAAGGAGAAAAGAGCTTACCTAGTGGACTTGGACCTTGTCTCGAAATCCTATGAGGCCCAAAGAAGAGGGAAGATAAATTTGGCTTTTTGGAATAATCTTGTGTTGGTAGTAGCAATTCCTTATACATGTACACATGTCTTTCGCTTTTATTTTTCTTTCTTCTTTTTAAGAATTTTCTTGTTTCTTCATGCACTTCTACATGTATGGTGGAAAAGTTGTAGCAGTATTTCGATTTTTCATTCTGGAAAAACGCTTATGATAAAGAACTGGTTGAGCTTTCTAGTCTTTCTTGTCTATTCTTGAGTTCACTTCTTATAAATCTTCATAGAGATGACATATTTCCTTTTCTGCTTTATTTCTTCTACGAGAACTAACTAAAGCCATTGTTTGCCTCTCTTATTTGCTTGTCTGTGGTGTCAAATTCATTTGATTGTCTAAGGTCCCAAAGTGATTGAGACCTTTTCTTTGCTCTGTTTCCTTGTAGACAGTCAATAGCAATATAGCATTTTTAAGATGCAGGTTTCTAGAACCAATAATGTACTGCCTTTTCATGTATGCAACATGCATCCTGCTTGCAATGAGACATTAAGCCGTTTGTTTTCATACTCCAAGCTGGCTATCTTCTTATTGCAGCTGACCTGTACAATTACTTGGGAAATGTGGGGGTCGTCCTGCTGTTGTCTAAAAGCACTTGCATGTTTCTTATCTGAATTTCAGAAAGTAAAGGGTGGACAATCTTGTGATGGTCTGTTTTCTGGCTATCTTATGGATATATGATTGGTGAAGAATGATAGAATCTTCAGTAACTGGATACCTATTCAAACTGTGTGGGAAAGTCTAGTTAACTTATGCAATCCTTGTTCACTTTACTGAGCTTGCCCTGGAATGTCTGCTTTTAGTCGGGAATTTCTCAAATCCTAATCTGAATTCTGAAATAATTTTGGTGTTTAAAATGGTAAAATGACTACATCAAAGGAAGTTATAGAGTCGTTGAAGCTAAGTAAAACTGTTGTGGTCAAGATTGTAGTCAAATTAGTGCTTTAAATGTATGACTTATCCAATAACAATACTCTTCCTGTCCAATTAGAACTGGAAAATAAGTCTTAACAAATCATTGATAAAGGTCTTGTTGGAAAGTATGTCAAATGCTAATATACTGAATCTGATGCAGAAATACTGCAAAAACTTTTTATGCTGCGAGCATCTTCTTTGAGATTTTGAATCAGTTTGGCACAATTCAACCTGATGTAAGTTTCTTACTTTGTGGCAACTTCTGTTCCTTCATTTTAATAATCCTTTCTTTTGTTTTAATATTTAATTTAAATTTCCTTTCATGCTAAACAGCTTGAGCAAAAGCAGAAGTATGCAGTGTGGAAAGCCGCTGATATAAGGAAGGCACTAAAAGAAGGAAGAAAGCCTGTTCCAGGTCCTCCTGGCGGTGAACAGGATTTATCTGCTCCATCTAGTGCTTCAAGCGGTGAATTTGTAAGATCCCAACTTGTCACACATTGTTATTTCAGTCCACCCGCGTTTTTTGGTTAGATATGTATTCTTAGTAAGGTTCTTGACAGCAAGTTGTGTTGTTAAAACTTGTTTTATTTAAAGCATTCGAGTCCTTGCTGATGTAGTGTATGGTGATAAGCCGAGTATTGTCATGAAGGTCATCCTTCCATACAACTAATGTTCACTTTCCTTTTCTTTAGTTTTACTTTTATTACTGTAATAATATATTATCTTAATCCAAGCATGCCCGAGGGGTTAATAATCTCTAATAAGATAGTTATAGGAAAAATAAGCTTATATAGTTAATAAGGGTTATCCAAGTTCAGTTTACAACTACAATGAGTATTAAATTTGTTCAATTAAGTTCAGACAAGTGAAAAGAAAATAAGATGAATAGAATGCACCCAATATGGCGATAAGTCAAGTATTATGGTGAAATAGGGTTTTTTTGCTTTCCTTGTCTTGGGATAAAAGTATTGTTGATTTTGTCTTTTCCTTGGAATATAAATAGATTTACAAACCTTATTGGAGGTTTAACCCAAACCAATAACACTCAACTTTTGCTGGACCAATTTCTGATGGGAATTATTGCTTATTGATAGCTGAATTGTAGTTAGGTAATCTGTAAAGTGGACATTTTGTGTGGCAAATATGCTTTATAATGTATGGAGCATATCAGTGCTCAATGAAGAATATTATATCTGATGCTTTTTGATAAAAAGTTAAGCATTCATCAAACATGATATTTGCTGTTTAATTATACTAGGGATAAATCTAATGAGGCATCAAATTTATGTATTAAGTGACAAAGAATTTCTATTGATATTATTTTTACTTAGATTCTGAGGTTATAAACTTGTAATTTGTCTTTCACAGGATGTTGACCCAAGGCAAACTGGACATGATATCAGTCCGGGTCCAGAACTGGACCGAATGCCCTCTGCTCATTTTCCAGATGGTATGAGGAGGCAGCCTTCCACTGATGGCTTGCCATCACCTCCATCTTTTCCGAGTGGTGATTATCCTTCCCAAAGAGCTGATTATCCTTCTCATGATTTCCAATCTGGTCCTGGTTTTGGAAGGCCAGAGAACCCTACTTCCCACAGTGCTGATTATCCTTCCCATACAGCTGATTATCCTTCTCATGATTACCAATCCGGTCCTGGTTTTGGAAGGCCAGAGAACCCCACTTACCCTCAGCCATATCAGAGTCAATCTTATCCGCAAGAACCTCCACATCTACCACAGGTTCCACAAAATTATCATACTCAGGACGTTCCAGCACCCTTAAACTATCCTAACTTTCAGTCATACCCAAGTTTTTCAGAAAGCACTCTCCCAGCTGCCCCATCACATCAGCCATCTTTTTATCAAGGTTCTGATGCTTCATATTCACATCAGTCTAGCCCATCAGTGACGAACTATGCATCAGCTCCTCAGTACAGTTCAAGCGGAAGAAATGGAGTTGTACAAGATGTCCCAACCAGTGCTCAGACTCCAACCAGTGCTCAGACATACCATTATGATAGTAACTACCAGCCCTCAGCTGACAAAATTGCTGAAGCACATAAAGCAGCAAGATTTGCTGTAGGGGCATTGGCATTTGATGAGGTGCCTGTTGCAGTTGAACATCTCAGAAAAGCACTCGAGTATCTAACAAATCCTTCTGCAGGTCAGTAGGTTTGCCGTTTGACTACCAAGATGATTTGGCTGTGATGATGTTTCTTGTTGCATCCTTGTTTTTTCCCTAATGGATTGAGTTGTAAATGTTACTGGATATGTGAATGAGCAATTGCCTTTACCCCAGATACATGATATGAATGAAAATCATGTTTGCTTTCGAAGTGTGTACTCTTGTCTTAAAATTTAATGGCTGGGTTGAGATTGAAGGGGTACAATCATGAAATCTGAAAATGCTCTACTTATTGGGTTGCATACTTGCATGATTCTCTGATCTGTTTCCTGTCTAATAAGACAGAGAGACGCATAATTAAATTGTGTCCTTGCTGCTGCTTCTTTACCCTTTAAAGCCATTTCTGAATGTCGAATCAGACAGTGTGCTAATTATTTGCCAAAAGTACATTAGAAGGGACAGTCCAATTTTAAATATTACATGATTACATGCAATTCTATTACTATTCACTTTTTTTCCTTCAATGATTTACCATTTTGTTTTATCCATGCATGACACAACTTTCCAGCACTTGCACAACCTTTTTGCTTCAGGAAACCCATTTATTTAGCCCTAGTTTTATTCACAAACACAAGCACTTATGCTGCGCCCTTTTGTGTTTCAGAATAATTTGTATAAACATGATACATAGTAGTGATTTCACCCTAGAAATGGAAACCTTGTTCTGTTTCATTCGCCAGATAAAGTAATTCATTGCTATGTGTAGAAGGATAATATCGTCTTTACCTAAACTGAATGACGCTGGAAACCTCATTTTCAGAGATTTTATATTATGATGCAGAAACATTATTAATGCTAAAATGCATTGCTTATGATAAATTTTTTTTTCCCAAACCCTATTCTGTTCCTGATACTTTGGAATTTAGTTGTTTCTTGCTGTGTGAAAAACCCACTTTGAGCAAGTACCAGAAATTATGGACATCTTGGTCCTTTTTTTTTCCTTTTTTTTTATTTTTATTTATTTATTTATTATTTTTATTTTTTTTTTATGGATGAAGGCCAAATTAATCAATTGAAGGAGTATAGAGGAGAGTAGGTACTAGGTACTACACAGACAGTTGTGGTGATTGGTTAGAGTGACCCAACCGCGCTTAGACCCACCTGCCAACCGGGCTGGAATTGTTTTGCAAATTCAGCTCAATTGTTGTGGTGATTGGTTGCATTGCCCCAACTGAAGTTAAACCCGCCTGCCAAATTCAGCTCAGTCGACTCAATTATGTTAAACCTGATTGCTTGAAACAATATAATTTTCGTGACGTTAGCCAAACCCTTTTCGTACTAAACATACCATAAAGTTTAGACCGTTAAACATATATACATCCAAGTGCACTTAGCTATCTCTACTTAAGGTAGTTTTGCTGCTCATATGAGATTAAATTAGCTCCAAATGACTAGGATAACAATCTTGTAAGTGCACTGAAATGCATAATACGAAGTAGATTTTGCACATAAAGTTAATATGAACATGGTTTCCAAAAAAAAAGTTACATGAACATATGTAATTTATTTTTTTTTCTTACTTGGTTAATAATCTTAAAATACTCTACGTAGATTGAAAAGGCTAAAAATAAAGGCAAAAGAAATGAAAAAGTAAACAAACAAAGAATACACAAGATTAGATCAACTCAACTAAAACCTACAGTTTTTGACTTGGATCATCAGTCAGCAAAGACCCACCTAAAACCTCACTTTTCTACTGCCTTTTTTGAACTAATTAGATATTCTTCAAAGTAGTCATTGATGTTTGGTTTGAGCATAAAGAAAGGGAGGCAACAATGTGGAAAAACTGAAGTTGTTCTAGCAGCTCATTTGCATGGTTTGTAGCTCGGTTTTCCACCCTTAGAAAGAGCTCATCGCCTAGCTTGTCGCCTATGTGAGCGTCGACAAGGACCCCACAAACACTCCGGCAGCTGTTGGCAAAGGCTTGACCTACCTCGGTTGGGTCATCGGGGTGGCTCACCACCAAGGGGCTTCCACCCCTAAACACTTCTAGCTTGTTTATGGCAAATGAGCCATTGGCTTCTACTACTTCCCTGAAGTCTTGTAAGCTTGGTGCATAGACTGGAATATTGAAGCTGTCACGTTTTTCACTTGTTATGAGACCCTATAAAATTAAAAGAAATGTGTTTAGGAAATTAAAATACAAATAATATATCTGAAGATTTTAAATTATTCTCTCTTCCTTAAAATATTTGAGAACTATTGCACATAGATTAACTAATTTCACTATGCTTATTTTTAAAACAAATTTTTTAGTGCACTTGAAAGTTGCATCCTCGTAGTATATATGACAATAATACAAAGATTGTAAGTTTGAAGTTTAAAATATCTAATCTATACATATTTTTAGTTGAATTGTTATCACATAAATTGAGTAACAAATCTTCGATTGAGTTGCCAAAAAGTTTGTACAAAACAATGCCATCATGTAATCATGGGTAACAATTAACATTCGACAATATGATTAAAAGATAAACTAACGGATGAATTAATGCATATATTAGGTAAAAGTACAATAAAGTTATCTGAGAACATTTAACAGCTGTTGATGCGTTAAAATTAGCACTGTCAAAAACCGAACCGAACCGGTGAAACCGAACCGATTCAAACCGATCCGAATGAGAACCGAACCGATTAAAAACCGATTTTTTGAAACCGAAAACCGACCCGAACCGCATTTTAGTAAACCCGAAACCGAACCGATCCGAGTAATGTTAAACCGTTTTAGAACCGAACCAAATCTAAACCGAACTGGAAAGGAAACCGAACCGAAAATAAACCGAACCGTTTCTAACCCGAAACCGTTTAAACTGGCATAAAAACCGTTATAAACCGAACCGTTATAAACCGAACCGTTTACAAACCGAACCGTTTACAAACCGAACCGTTTACAAACCGAACCGTTTATAAACCGGACCGTTTATAAACCGAACTGTTTATGAACCGAATCCTTATAAATCGAACCGTTTACAAACTACTTACTACTAGGAGTGGTTATTGGGTGGGTCAGTGTGGGTCGATGCAGATCATTTACGAAGTGAGTCGGTTGCAAGTCAAGATGAATATTTAGCGGGACATAAATAATAACCAATAACTCGAGATAAAAAAAGGAACAACATATCAATATGTAATGTGACTAAAACTATTAATACTTGTTCTATGAGATTAAAACATTTTAGCAATGAAGCAACACAATATATATTAAGCATCACTAGTTCACTACAATACAACATCCATGTCTTCTTAATTAGATGCAAAACTTTCATCTATCACTTCTTTACCAATTTCAAGGACGTTTTCTTCAATATCACAATCATAACCACGTAACCAATTTTGTGTGGTCACCAACGCCTCAACATTCTTAGGCAAAAGCGCACTCCTATACTTGTTTAAAATACGACCACCCATGCTAAAAGAAGACTCTGAGGCTACCGATGTAATAGGAATGGCCAAAACATCCCTAGCCATAACAGCTAATATGGGGTACACACTACTTTGAGATTCCCAATACTTAAGAACATCGTACTTCTGCCCTTCATAAATTGGTTGTCGAGGAGTACACAAATAAGAATCAATCTCCATCGATGGCCGATTTGATGTGTCATCCTCCTCATCATCATCATTATCAACATACTAGAAAAGTTCAAACAAAATGCTTTTATTAAATAATAAAATTAAAACATAAAATTATTAATTTTGTAAACCACAATAATCAGAAATTGATTACCTTGAATATATCATCATCCAAGTGACTATTTGAATTTTCGATAACAGCTGGGATGGAGGGTGGAGCATTTGTACTTGATGTAAAACCGGAAGACAAAGAAGAATAAAAGTTATACAACTCCAAAAGAGCATCTTTAATCACCTTCGCCTTTTCAACACATGCCTCATCAACATAAAGCACTTTTAACATCTTCATCACTCGAACAAGCTTATAACGAGGATCAAGAACAATAGCAATTGATAGGATCAAACTATATTCATCCCAATAGCCCTCAAACTTTTCAAGCATAACTTTTGCCATGGGTGCAAGTTTAGGATCTATATGGGCTTTACTTATTGTGTGCTCAATTTTTAAAACACTAGAAAAATACAAATTTGCAGTAGGATATTCTGAACCAGAAAATAACACAGTGATTTCATGAAATGGCTTTAGGAAATTACATATTTTAGTAAGGGTATCCCATTCATCATTCGAAAGTTTGAATTCATAACCTATAAACCTATCAATAACCAATTTCAAGGCTTCCTTTGCTTCCAAAGCTTTTCGAATCATCGTATATGTGGCATTCCAACGAGTCACAACATCAAGACGTAACTTTCCATTAAACACACAGTTAACCTCATGAAGAGCATGCTCAAATTGAGTGAGTCTAGAATCTGAAGAATCAATATATTTACAAACCTCACGCAATTTTTGAACACTACTATCAACTTCTTTTAAACCTCTTTGAACAATAATGTTCAAGACATGAGCTGAACATCGAATATGAAAAAATTTACCATTACAAGGAAGAGGAGAAGTCAACATTAAATCTTTCTTCAAAAGGTTAACCATAACATCCATGGATCGAGCATTATCAACAGTCATTGCAAAAGCTTTACCCTGAAGGTTCCACTCCCCAATAAGTTTTAACACAAATTTTTCTACCTCAACACCAGTATGAGGAGGACCACAATATCTAAAATTCAGAATTTTAGACCTAAGACACCAATTTTTATCAACATAATGTGCCGTTAAAGTAAGATAACCTCGATTAGTACATGCTGTCCACAAGTCACAAGTGAAGCTAACTCTACCTTCAATTCCCGAAAAAGATTGCAACAACAAAGACTTAAACTTATCATGATCATCAATACAATGTTTCAAAATAGTGTTTCTACACACATGATTCACGTTGGGGTTCAAATTCGTAAAAACTTCCCTAAGGCCATGATGCTCCACAATACTTAAAGGATAGGAATGCAAAATTATAGCTCTAGCAAGCAATTGTAAATGACGTGTTTGATTAAACAGGAGCTCAACACCACTTTCATGATTTCCAGGATGGTGTGGATTTTTATTCATGCATGTCTTAGTATGAGCTTTACAAGTTGAAGTACCAGCATTACCTGGAGTTTTATATTCATTACCGCAAACATTGCATCGAGCATATTTTATCGGAGCAAGACCAACCATCTTATCAAAAAAGGTGTAATACCTCCAAACATCTGATGTTCGTCCACGCTTACTACCACTAGTGGTACGTTGAGTAGAATCTTGATTCTGAACAGTAGAATCTTGATTCTTTACAGTAGAATCCTCATCAAAACCAATAAACTCTTGCTCCATTGCTGAAAAAACAAAAACACAACAGTATAAATCAAGTGAAAAAAAAGGCAAATTAAGGGCAAATAAAAAAAATAGGCAAATTAACACAGCAGCTCCGGACCTGCTTGCTTCAAGCAAAGCACACCAGCAACCTAGCCCAGCAACAGACAGACAAATTAAAAAATCAGAAATTAAATGAACAACAAGAACAATAAAATTAAAAATTACATGAACAACATCAAAAAATCAGAAATTATATGAACAAATCAGAAATTATATGAAATTATATGAACAAATCAGAAGTAAAAATCAAAAAATAAAGACATGCAAATCCTGCAAACAACGAATCAGCAACATAAAACCGAAATGAAAACAAAAAAATTAACATAAAATTACCTTTGAGCAGTGACGGCTTGAAGGAGAGGAAGATTTGAAGATGGAGAACTGGAGAATGAAAAAAAAAACGAGAATGGAGAGATCGAAAAAAAAATCGAAAAAAACGAAACGAAAACAAAAACAATTAACTAAAATTTACCTTTGAGCTATTGAAGGCTAAGAGTTCAGAGCTTGAGAGTTGAGAACTTGAGAGTGAGTGAGGATTCAACGCTTCGATTTGAGGATGAAGAAGAAGAACGGTGAATGCTGTGGAATGAAGAGGATGAATGAAGAGGATGAATGAAGAACCTAATTGCCTTTCAGTCTTTCACAGTTTCACGTTTCACTTTTTTTTTTTTTTTTTTTTTTTCTCTCTTTTGCATAATATATGAACCACATGTTTATTTAATCATTAAAGAATCAAAATATCTAAATTCTAAATCTAAAATGTGTTTTTCCTTTTGGTTTTTGGAGGGAAATTTCCCACCATATTTTGTTGAAATTGTCAACCAAAAAAATGAAATTAATTTTCCACTTTGTAAAAATCAAAATTTTTAATTTTATTTTAATAACATTAAACAAACTTTTATACAATTAATTAATTACATGACTTAAAAAAAAACTAATTACATTTCTCGGATCCCGATAAAACGATATTCACCTTCATAATATCAGCTTTTATAATTTTTTTTAACACACACATTAAAATATTAAGTTCTTTAAATTATAAAATGTGAATCGGTTAGCGTGTAATTTCTAGGCGTTGCGATTAATAAAAAATCGAAAATTGTTCAATAAATAATGATGTCATATCTTAGAGAGTTAGAAGTACTACGGATTTGTTATATGGTTATATTTATATCAGTTTAGCTGTACCTATAAGCAATACACTTGTAATCGTGTAAACTTATAAATGATATAGTTGACTAGTAGATTAGTACATAAATACAAATTACTTAATTAGATATGAGTTATGTCTACATGAGTGATTGACTAATATGACTATATGAGCAATTGTCAATTTAGCATAGCTGCATAACAGATTAGCAGCGTACTAGACTATCATACTCGGTAATATACTAATACCATTTCAGTATTTGATCTACTAGACTCAAGTTAAAAGTTACTCTTTCTGATTAACTTGTTAGTCTAATTAAGTAATTACTAATTACTAATTAGTGACTTAAGCCTTAAGGGTAAACCAGTAAAGGATATACAAAAATATAATAATCTTATGTTTCTCATCCCTTTATACTAATAATATCTAACTATGAGAATATGAGATGGTTATATGTTATGTATCTGTATAATCGATTGAAGGAATCAACATTACCTTCTTCTTCATTAATGTTTTCTTTCATTATACAAATCAAACTACTCTGTAATATCTTCATGTATAACTTTATGCAAATATATAATGATAAACGAGTCTTAATTATCAGTCTTGTTGACTAATTAAGTATCGAATACCAAATTGCAAATTTCGATGTCACAACAACTCATCAAATCATGATTATGACACTATTAACTAAATGATCAAATCAGAAGCAGATAATAATCTGATAGTAAAACAATAATACATTAATGCACTAAACTTTTATAATCTACTTCATAATAAACTAGTAAGATCAGTATAGCTAAACTTAAATCATAACATGATATGTATTTATAAAATTAATGAGAATTTGCATATAATATGATGCCTCAATATGAAGTGATGAAGTCTCGGCTTGATATAAAACTTGTTAACTAGCAAAAAGTTAGAAAGTAGTACAAAATTTTTTGAAATCAAAAACAGACTCGAACCGTAATTTAGTAAATCTGAAATAAAACCGATCTAAATAATGTTAAATCGTAGAAGAACCAAACCCGTGAACGAACCGAACCAGTTATAACCGAACTAAAATAAAACTAAACCAAAAAACAACCGAACCGTTTCCAACCTGAAACTGTTTGAACCGGGATAATAACCATTTACACCGAACCGTTAACAAACCGCAACCCGTCTGCACCGAACCGTTTACTACCTGGAATTTTTACAACCCGCACCGTTTACAAACCGAACCGAATTTAAACCGGGTTAAAAACCATTTACACCAAACCGTTAACAAACCGCAACCCGTCTGCACCGAACCGTTTACAACCCGAACCAAATTTAAACCGGGTTAAAAACCGTTTACACCGAACCGTTAACAAACCGCAACCCGTTTGCACCGAACCGTTTACTACCCGGACCGTTTACAACCCGGACCGTTTACAACCCGAACCGAATTTAAACCGGGTTAAAAACCGTTTACACCGAACCGTTAACAAACCGCAACCCGTTTGCACCGAATCGTTTACTAACCGAACCGTTTATAACCCGAACCGAATTTAAACCGTTCAAGAATAAACCGAAACCGAACCGAACCGATAATTATTTAAACCGAACCGAAACCGACCCGTAAGACATTTGAACCGATTTCAAACCGACCCGATTTCAAACCGAACCGATTTCAAACCGAACCGAAACCGAACTGTCAAACCGTTTTGACAGTGCTAGTTAAAATAGAACATATTTATGATTGTCAAATGCTTGATGCTTCTAACAACCTTAGTTATCATTCTTATCCAACATACAATGAACCTTTCAATTTCCCAAACAAAAGCTAGAAATTTGCCATTTTGATCAAATAGTACTTTTAAGGGATGTTAGGGTAGGCATGATTCCAAAGAAAAAGAGATAATATGCATGGTTCTTTGATAATAATAAGGAAAAATAAATGCATATAATAATCATGATTTTTTGTATAGCATGCAAATAATGGTTATGAAAATCTAGTAACTAGTTTAGTTAAAACTTTGTAATTTACCTCTTGGACAAGTTCATTCCATGCATCTTGAAAGTGGGTCCCAAAGAGAAGGCCAGCCCCACCTTGGTCAGTGGGGTCCATTGAGGTCCTTCCTAAGCAAACAAGGAACATGGACCCACCTCTCTTCATTTCAACTGCTCTTGCCCTTAAGAATCCAGCCAAATCTGTTTGGAATTGCTTTTTATAAGCATTTGATATTATCTCATTTGATCCATGAATAAATATTCTTCCTTTGTTGTATCCCTTTGACCTCTTGTCTAATATACTCTCTGGAATCTGCAATATTTCATGCAAAAACTAATTAGTAACTCCGGTACAATAAAACACTAATAACTTGACAATTAAATCCGAACATATATGTTAAATTTTAAATCCACACTGAAACAATAAATATACTTTTACAATAGCAAATGTAATTTTGACTAATCTCTTGTTTCTAATGATGATTGGATAAAAGCAAAAAAAAAAAAAAAAGTTATTATTACCTTTTTTAACCTAAATTATATTCGATAAATGGTTAAAGTCTCCCTTTTATTTTATTGCTGTTGATTTCAACTATGCTAATTACTGTATTACAGTATCTTAACTAGATTTGTAAGATTGTCATTAGCTTATACCAAAGTTATGGCTCACTTTAGCTTAGTGTATAAGCTACAGTTACATTAACATAAAGTAATTATTTCTGGTGGCATCTATCTCATTTTCCCCTCTTCTATAGATTAAACTAAGCACATAATTAATCTTTATGATCAAATTCATTTCACACTTATAACTTAAACCCTTTGTGTATTACCTACTCCCCACACCTGCGGATGTTATTCTACTTTGACTTTTTTTGTGAGACAAACACCGTTAAAATAACACAAACATTATAAGAACATAATAAAATTAAAAATAACATGAAACTTTCTCTAGGAAACTTTAAGTTATATATATACCTGAGATAGCCAGTGCAAGGAAAATGCCGAGTGAAAAACATCAATAGATCTCGCCGGGAAAAGGCGACGGTAGAAGCTACCGGGAACACCGGCAGCGAAGTAGGATCGATGCTTATCAGCAGCCAAGCACTCCTCCATGCTACCACCTCCCTCCCCATCATAGGGGTAGTAGTTAGGAAGTAGTTGAAAGAGGGTGTTAAAGTCATTGGATGGAAGGTCAGAAAAGAAGGCCGAGAACTCGGGTGGCTCGTAACCCGAGGCCTCGTATCGCTTTGCCATGTGGTTAACCATCACATCGACGATGTAGATGGTGTTGGAACCACATGAACATCCTAGGTCAACCACCACAAAGGGCGTGCTTGGTGGTCCTAGTTCCACCCTGTCTAGGGCCTCTCTTAGGAGGTGTAACATTGATTTTGCATGTTGTGCCTAAAAAAATAAAATCATGTGTTAGCATAATGTTTGTGACTAATTAATCAAGATGACTAAAATTAAAATTTATCTCCGCTGTTTTTTATTATTTACAGCAAATAGATTTTTTTATGTTACACAAATAATACTGAATCTTTTTAATGCAAATGATAAGGAATGAAGGTAATACGGATGTTTTTATTGCAAATTATTTAAAGAAGCGCAAATTTAAGTACAACAGATATAATGTAACGTATAAAAGAAAGATTTGATACGTGAATATACGGCAAGTTCAAAACTTGAAAAGGTAAAGAGGGACAAAGGAATGCTCCTTAAATCTCTCTAACTATATATAAAAGAATATCAATTTCGTTACTATTGGATGTATTTTAGGAGAAATATACGGCAAGTTCAAAACTTGAAAAGGTAAAGAGGGACAAAGGAATGCTCCTTAAATCTCTCTAACTATATATAAAAGAATATCAATTTCGTTACTATTGGATGTATATTAGGAGAACATGAATGAATCAGTTATGGTATAACAAAATCTAAGAATACAACGTAAAAATAACGTTATAATTTTTCATCTTCTTTTAAATCTTTTCAAATAACTCAAAAATTACTGATAATTAAACAGAATAAGCATCATTATAATTAGAAATATGAATTGATATCTAAATGATCTAATAATCATGCATAATCTACTAATGATATAGCAATCAATAACAAACGTTATTTATTTACTTAAATATGTGTGATTTAATTAATTATATGAAAACTGAAATAATATAAACCTGGGCTTGAGAATTATTGGCATAGCTAGTTTGATCCTTGCCACCTTTCATGCACAACATCTTCTCAAGCTTCATATTAGAAACCATGACATTCTCTCCTTTATGAGACATAGCTAATCGATCGATCGAGTTTACAACCAAATATATTGTTAAATTTCTCAAAAGTATACAATTGAAGATCAATGAATGAAAGAAGGTGAAATATATATGAAAGAAGGTGAAAGAAGGTGGAATAGGAGTGTGGGAATGATAGAAGGTAAGAATGAGAACTTGTGCTGTAGTTTGGGCCTATTTATAGGAGTCAAAAAGTTGATATGTGGGAGAAAATTTAAAAGTAAAGATAAGCTTGCCATTTGGGTTACTACTTTTAGGGTATTTATGTTGCGCATGGGGTACTAATGTGTGTGCATATTAGAATAGTATGGGGGTTTGTAGTTTGTTTGTTGAGCAATTATCGTCTGATGCTGGTGAAACTGTCTCGCACTAACTTATTCATTTGGTGTAAAGAGAGTCACATGGTACATGTATACGGATAAAACTGTAAGAATTTGATTTAGGTTATGTGTATTATCCTCAGCAATATAATCATTAAAACAAGTTGACATTTGCATGCCATTTTTGTTACATTATAATAAAAACAAAAGATAATTTATTTCAACCTCCAAATCTTAACTATAAATTAAATATTACACTAAAATATTACTTAATAGATAGGGTAATCACCTAATTCAAATAATAATAGACTAAAATATTGATTTATAATTACATATCTTAACTTCCATGGGGTTACTAAATAATTCATAATTATTATTCTGATCAACAAATGATATGAGTAAAGTGTTATCTAATAATATGGGGCATATTCACATGGTAGAAGTCAAGGAGAAAGATAGAAGGCCAAGATTGACGGCGGATTTTGGTGTTATTATTTTAACATGTTATGTTATTAATTATAATCCTAATTAAGCTTAAATTATATTAGTAACTACTTTAAAAAAAAAACAAAGCTGATACTAGTAACTCCATTCAAAAAATTAAATCAAAAGTAAGTCCCTTGCTACTCGGTCTTCTCTAATTACCTTCCCTCACTTTAATGATGTTACTGCGTGAGATCCGCGTTTTGTTTCATAGATGTTGTTTTGATTGTTTGAGGGTCAATGTTTGATCCGAAACACTCTTAGCCTTTTGGGTTATAATTTCTAGCAACATGGCCAACATCTGTGATATTATCAGCGAAACCATAATAGGTCTTAATGTTTGATCAGAAACACTCTTAGCTTTTTGGGTTACAATTTCTAGCAACATGGCCAACATCTGTGATATTATCAGCGAAACCATAATAGGTCTTGTATACAGCAGTATCGACAAATAAACTTATACAATTAACTTATGGACACATGTTTAGTGTATTGTATACAACTAAATTTATCAACTTCAATCTTGTCATTTAATTTTGACATTTATGATTTTTGATGGAATGAATATATATGTTGTATACAATACACAAGTTCCAACATTTATTTAATTGACCTTCCATAATACATATGTTCATTACATGATCTGAAATTATATGGAACAAATTAAATCTATTGAGTCGTCGGGGTTACTATTCTTATGTTTAGGTGGCATAGTAGACTTAACACATGATCAAATGTGTTTTGGGCATGTATGTGTCGCATACGCAGTCGTCAACACCTAACTTTAAGTGAATAATCTACATTGTACAATGGATTTTGTACAAATGAATAATGTGAAAGTAAGAAGATGGTGATTTTGTCTGGTACAAGTATCTTAAACTAGCAAAAGTATGATGTATATCTTCCTAAAATCCCATCTGTCATGCCTCAAAGAGTTAGACAAGCACTAATTACATAGTGTTCTACCCTCTTGGGAGACCATGCTACTGTATAACTTTCACTTAATAAGACACAATCATTTACCCTATTTTACCTCCTAATCCTAGCCATTTCATTGGACATGTCAGATATTTATAATAACCTATGATTATATGCTTTTCACTACTATTTTTTTTTTTTAACTAACAATTGTGGTAAATTATTACCATAATTTACCCTCTTTTGTAATTATTTCTATAGACTATAGTATTCATAAACAAGATTAATTATAAATCCTAGTAAATAGAACTACTTAGTTTGATCATTAGAGATATCATTTGCACAATAATTTAGCTAATAAAGTGATAATTAATTAATTTAGGTTAATTAATATTGGGTTAACCATGCAATACTGTCGGCAATGTATTTGTATTGTTATATGATTTTATCTTTACAAAATTAAATGAGAAATAATCATTCACTTAAAACTTTAAAAGGGAAGATACACACGTTAAAGATAAGCCATTGCTACTGCATGCACTTGAGCAATAATCAACTAAGAATACCCTTTTCTTACAAAAATAAAAATCAATTATTAGCTACATCTATTAATTATGAATGAACTTAATTTGAGTATATATATACTTATTATGCACTAATTCACACTTATAAATTTTAAAAGGAAGCAAGCGCATGCAAATTTTTTTATTTTTTTTTTTTGGGTTGAGAGAGTCATAAAAGACAATAATATAGATGAGATTTGATTTCCTTCAAAAGTGTTTCAAAAAAAGATTTCTCTCAAAAAAAAAAAAAAAAAACAAATATTTTATATAATGTTTTGACTACACCCATAACAATTTTTTTTGGGTACAAACCACCTATAAAATTTAAATCAAGTGAATTAGTATTTAGTTGACATCCACGTACAATGCAATTATATGCAAGTACTCATTATTTTGCATTAAAATTAAAAGTACTAATTAAGATCAGCCTATAATAACATTTTGATTGTATGATGATTCATAGAGAGAAACGTGTATTGGAGAATTTAAAATTGAAGTTTAAATAGCAAATAATAAAAAAGAATAGAGAGAGTAATACGTGATGTTCAATAACTCAATATATTAATGTGCAAATCAAATCATGAGTTCCCCCTTAGTTTTCAACAATTTCTCACCATAACCAACGAAACTTTCGTGACTTTTGTGTTCTCCTAATCTCCTTATTGCTTCTTCCTTTTCACCAATCCTTAGAAACGCAGTAGACTCGCTCGTAGGTTTAGCTTGATTTCATTTGCTAAAAAAAAGAAAAGGACGATTCTTGGTTAATTAATTAAATTTAATTTTTGTCTTCATTATGAAAGCATCAATACTATGCTTTATTAAATATATTAAGGGCCAAATTCTAGTGGAAGTATCAAATTATTGGTCAATTATCAAGATTTTTCATTGATATTAGACTTAGTTAAGTAGGTAGCTAGAGTCACATCCCAAGGATATTATATTATTACAATATATTGCATTAATTTTGAAACTTAAATCTAAAACGAGTTAAATCCCAACGTGACTATGAAATAAAGTTAACTTAATTTTTGGAATAATGTCTAGTTTTGGTTAAGTTGATTATATAAGCACACAACATGCAAAATTGCAAATAGCTACAATATATTACTGTCTAATAGCTACATACCTAGCTTTAATTAAAAAATTAAACTAAAGAGTTAAAGCAATTAATTACTTGATTTTAAATTAAGTAAACTAGCTAGACAAAATATCCCAATTTAGGTGTTTGAGATAAATGTCATATTGGTAGACATGGTAGTAAATTAGTATAGTTTGAATCATTATATAATACAGTTCGTGATTTGAATGTGTGATATAAATTCATGGGGTGGCAATAATAATTAATAATTTGTCTTATATGAGTACATCTTAATACTTGCATAATAGTTACCAAACATTCATTTCTCATTATTTTATAACTTTGTATATCACTTCCTTTCCTTTTAGTTTTACATATCATTATGATTTTTGACAAATTTTATATAATCCAATCACCTTATATCATTATTAGTAATTTATGCGTACAAAGTAATTAAAAACATAAAAAATAGGTGATCTTGTTATGTTCATCTCAATATAAACGTAAGATACATGCCCTACCCAACCCAAGTATTTTGACCCACTCCTTAGTAAAAATATACTTTGTAACTCGCAACATACGGGTGCATGCAGGATGAAAAAGTTCACCACCTTTGCAAATTCTGATTCTCATCGATATAATCACGTATTACAGATAGGCTCCATTAGTTAACTAAAAGTGAAGTTTGAACCATTCCCACTACCACTAATCTGAAAGTCTCTTACACAATATGGATACAACTAGTAGTCTTTTATAAGAACTTTACAAACCCCAAATGTTTTGTTGGATTTCAAATTGAACAATCTATACCTAGCTAGCCTCCATGTGGCCTCTAAGGTTCTGCGAATTTATCTTATTTTGACTTAATTTATGTAAAATATATTCAGATCGATAATTTAGAATACACCGCATTTTGTGTGTGGCTGACAACACTATATAGCAACTTGTAAGAAAACAAAGTAATCTCTATAACACACACTAATTGAGTAACCCCTACAACACTGATGAAGAAACCCTATAACACTGACCAAGTAACCCAATAATTGACCACATAGTGTGACCACCCACTTATAAAGATTTGCATGTGTTTTACATAAGCTTATATCAATTATTACCACTTTTGGTTACTTATTCATAGCCCTTAGTAAAGGACTAAAGGGCTATGTTTATCATTTTTCATAATACTACGTATATACTCTTTGTGTAGACAATTTTAAACAAAATCAAACAAATACTAATGGTCTGTTCTTTTCAGATTATTTTCAGTTCAGTTCAATTCTTAATTTTCTTCTCTCATAAAATATTCAGTTCAGTTTAGTTAAGCTCAATTTAGCTTAGTTCAGTCAATTAGAACAGGCCCTTAGATGATTTAATTTAAACAAATAAGTTTTTATTTCTAGACAATATAAGTTAAATATAATAGATTAAAATTATTTCAAATATGTTTGAATTTTCAATTTCAGACAAGATAAATTGAGTCAAACACTATTAAACGAATTCAAATAAAATTCCAAATCCATGACTGAATTCCATCATACTTCGACCAATAAGCAAGGCAAGCATTGCAGCCCTTGGAAGGTTTATTATTGTATTGCATGTCTTCTAATCTTTGTACCTTGGCTTAAAAGGAAGAAATAATATGTTTTCTTTTTTGCTTTAACAGAAAAGTTAAAGTCTTGTTTCTGACCATGCAAATATATATATTAATTATAATAAGAAGTTCTCTTTGTCAAAAAAAAAAAAAAAGAAAAAAAAGAAAAAAGAAATTATAATAAGAAAACTTTTTAGATTTTATGGCCATGAGAATGTGCCTTTTTAATTCTTCATCCTTTATTGTTTGGCCTTTTTCTTTAGGGTTTCTAATTTCTATTTTGCCTTGTTAATTATTTCTGATGCTGCCGGTTGATGCTTTTTAATTTCTAGGTCCCTCCCCTTAACTTTTGGGTGCCCACCATTCAATTTTATGAAAAATGGTATCTT